TAGCCCGCGTCCCCCATGATAAATGCGCTACTGCCTCGCAACCCCGCACCTAACCTAACCCATATGTGCTTAACCATGAACCACTAACCCTTAAGTGCTGAACACCTGACCTGGTGTTGTACCAGTTTGTCAGAGCGTTTTTACATTCACTTGAGTTTTATCGGGAGTGCTCTTCTGTCACGCCGTTTTAACCAAACCAATTAATCCAAGACGAGGCCAACGCTCGGCTACGTGACAGTAAATCACTGCCTGTGCTAATTGCAATTAAAATCCAGAGGAACTCAGGCGAGACGTTGTGAAGGCTACTTACCCTCAACGTTAAATGGAAATCGTCTGTTGGTTTTTGTTTGCGTCCAAGTCATAACGACCTACGAGGAGGGGCTCTCATTAAGAACCTGCAAAACGGAGATAGTTTACTGTCTTCAAAAGTCCTCAGACGCTGTGGAGGAAGTCCATATCACTTTCACATGTGAAGCGGCGCGAGCTCGTTACCAAAGCCACACTGGAAACGGTGAAGTCATAATGTTCCGGTTCACAAGTGTCATTAGAGAGGGTTCTGAATCTACAGCATCAAATGGGAAAGGTGAGGATTATAGTTAATGCATTATATTTGTGTTTGTTCCTGAAAATGAAATATGGCTTTTGAAGACAGATAGAATAAAGAATACAAGAACAGATAGTGACTGCATAAGAAAATCTTATAGTAAGGTTCATCTTGTCTTCTTAGTAGAATAAATTAAAAGTTATTTTGGTTATTCTGTCCCGGTCAATTAGGAAGAGGAAAGAAATGTTATTAACTTGACATATTGTGACATTAAATAAATGTATATGTGGTAAATAAAATAATTATAATTCGTCAGCTTTTTTGGAGAAATTAAAAGTACTAATACAATCACATAAAAAGTATAATGATGAGAAAATGCTATAATCTGTACTTTCGAGTCTCTCCCAAATCACTAAATTAGCAGCACATTCCTGTCGACTACAGCTGTCATAAAACACATACAGCCTCAGCTTCATCCTTCTGTCGGACATTCTTCTCTCGGCCGCATCTGTGACTGCAGCCTTTATACAATTTATCTTAGCGAGCCCTGTGCATCCTCTGTGTACTCAGAACTCGGGTTGTAACACGTCCAGGCTTCGATTACATAAGGGCCGCGCTATAGTTAGACCAGAGTTTGAGAAGCGCTGAGTGGAGCCGACGGAGCGCCTGTGGAAGAGTACAGAGCTCAGAAATCTCATTTATTATAACTATGTACTTCACACCACACTCTGCTTATGAAAACATGAGGGTGCTCCACATCCCACCGCCACCACCGGCTTCTGCAGCACCACCGCAGCACCGGGAAGGGGATACAGTATGTGCACCATCATTTCTGCAGGCTTCTATTGCTGGGTTGCAAGTAAAGCAGAGATTTAACTGACTTTTATAATGTTAGTACTTGTGTTTAAAGGCACTGATGGGCAATGCTAACATAGACTGTATACATGTGAACAATGCTAACCTGCTAGCTCAATGAACCCTTATAGGAAAGCACTCCTGATGCTGCAACTCGCTCTGGCTCCTATTGACTCAGATGGAAAAGTAAACTTCTCTAGCTCAGTAACCATTTGTGTCGCACTCACAATGAGCTTAAAAATCTCTCTCTATGATCCTGGTGTTTATATTGGGACTCAGTCCTTATATGGTTCATGGTGATGTCACACTCCTAATGTTCAGACTACACTACTTGCCTGAATTATGGCATTTTCTGCAGGATCCTCCTCTGTCACAGGTGTTATGAAGAAAATATATAATGGTCTCTTGCTGTTTTTTGGGTTAGGTAAGTGCAGAGTTGGCATTAGCAGCAGTCTGAGCAGAGACAGTAGTGAGAATGTTTAAAACAGTTGTGAGATCAGTTTAGATGTAGTCACTCCTGCTCAGCTCTAGCTCCGGTGCAAGTTTTGTCACTGGAAATCAAGAGTAGATGGATACATGATTTATCACAGAGTGTTTGTATTGTCCTAATCCAGATGCAGAACTCTCCATGAGTCTCTATTGGAGACATGTATTAGACTGATTAGTAGTCGATCAGAAAGTCCTTTTGGAGTTTAGGGATGTTGATAAAACTTTTTGAAGCAGACTTTCTTGAAAGAAACATGTTCCTGTCAAAAGTCCAACACATAATTATTTATTGGGTTTAATTAGTTTTGGACCGTGCCTGACGTAGGAGTTTGAGACGAACACGCTACATCCTTCACACTGAGTTGGATGAACTCCAGACATTTCTCTTCCCTTAAGTTGAACTACATACTAGCTGTAAATAGGGCTCCACCATTTTGGTAAAATATCAAAATGAGATATTTTTGATCAACTTTTTGATTTCTTGAATGTCTAAAAAGTCGTTTGTTCAGAGTAAAAGTTAAAGAAGTTCAATGGGTCTTTTAACTGGTCGCCCCCTGCCCGGACTCGGGGGCTGCTCCCCCTCAGGGCTCCTACCTGGAAGCCTCTTCAGTCCTGGATCTCCAGCCAACATTTCTGGACATTGGTCATCCCATTCCCTATGGACCAATGGGTGTCTGAACTGTGTGATTCTCTGATCTGTTGTTGGTGCAATAACTTTGTAAAGTCCTCTGAGACAACTGCTGTTGTGTTTTAGGGCAATACACAAATATATTGAATCGAATTCCATTTGAACAAGTGTACAAACAATTCTAAATTCCCACACATTTTAGAATTTTAGCTGTTAAGTTTTTACGTGTTGTATGAAACATTTTTCATGAAGAAATAAAAAGATTCACTGACATTTAAAAACATGTCTAACATGAGATGAGATGACCGTTTTCCAGTTATTAATCTTGTCCTTGTTCTTAATAATAATGATTATCTGTTTATCAAACGCATCAATCGTCAGGCGTAGATTTATTACAGACAAGCCCTCTTCAATCAGAACGTGCGCTGGACATTGTTTTACTCAGACGTGTTTTATTTAAAGCCGAACACTCGGCGTGTGCAAAACAAAGGCGTCGTAATGAAGTGATGGTGGAGTGTGTTGTATGGTCGCCCTGAAGCGGTCCTTCTGAGGCTGAAGAGAGACACACTGTTCCATCTGTGTGTGAGCGCTTTGGTACATACTGTATCAGACTGGTATACATATGGACAACGCTAACTCGCTAGCTCAGTGAAGCCCAATAGGGAAGTGCTCATGGAAAAATTTGGCTTCAACTCGGACGGGCTCAACTTACATGTATAAGTTAGCTCCTCTAGCTCAGTTTGTGTCACACTCACCATTTTAGGCTTAAAATCTAGTGCTATGTGATCCTGGTGTTTATATTGTGATAGTCTTTGTAAATCTTCTCTCCCCGAACTTGGCTTTAGCAGCGAGTAGTGCAAGAGGAGACACACCAGCGCTGCTCCTGATTGGCTCCTGTTGATTCAGTCGTTGCTACCAACAACATTTGCCTACATTTGAACCCACATTCTCGCTCAAATGTGTTGTCGTCATGTGACTGGTTTCAGCTGGAGTACCTAACCCCGGACATTTAACCACATTTTATTCTTGTATCTTGGTCCCAGATTGAGGCATGCTAAAATTGTATACTGTACAATTATGATACAATATTGTTTTTTGGTTCGGGTCCTGCTATCTGAATTTACAAAGACAATATCATAATATAAACACCAGGATCACAGAGTACTAAACCGATTCAAGCCAAAAATGGTGTGACCCAAACGGTTAATGATCTTACTGAGCTCACTTTTACATGTAAGTCAATGGGAGCCAGAGCAAGTTGAGCAAAACTTCACCATGAGCACTTCCCTATTGGGTTTCATTGAAGGTCGGCCTTCTCCTTCTGTGTACAGGCTATGGGTAAAACCGATGCATTATTTATGATTGTAACAAGCGTTAGACTAATTAGCAAAGACTTCAGGAAGCCACTCGGACAATGGAGTACTCTCACCGTCAGCTGTCAGAGAAACTCCTGCTGTCCTCACGGTGCGCCGCTGCGTCTGGCGTGGACCGTGTGTTCGCCTGGAGGTGGTCTGACTGCCACATGTTTCAGACCGGATTATAGTGAAAAGCCAATGAGCCGTCAGCTTTAGGTGGCAGACCATTCAGGCCATTATCTGAGATCTGGACAGGCGCGGGCACAGGGCTCTGGACAGGCGCGGCCAATTCAACTCAATCTATTTGTGTATCGCCCTAAATCACAACAGCAGTCGTTTCAGAGGAGTTTACACAATTGTGGATTCCCCAACACAATCTAATGGTTCAAACACAGGAAATAAAACCTCAGGGAGGCCCATATTGTCAGAGGGATCCACTCTCAGGCTGTAGATCCAGGACTGAGGCTGTAGATCCAGGACTGAGGCTGTAGATCCAGGACTGAGTCTGTAGATCCAGGACTGAGGCTGTAGATCCAGGACTGAGGCTGTAGATCCAGGACTGAGGCTGTAGATCCTGGACTGAGGCTGTAGATCCTGGACTGAGGCTGTAGATCCAGGACTGAGGCTGTAGATCCTGGACTGAGGCTGTAGACCCAGGACTGAGGCTGTAGATCATGGACTGAGGGTCTCAATCTTGGGTTGAGGCTTTAGATCCAGGACTGAGGCTCCCAGGCGGGGAGGGGAGTGCGCGGGCACAGAGGCAACTCAAATAAATGCAGCTTATAAAAACCAGCCCAAACATAGATTAATATCATCGACGAGGACGAGGCAATTCCACATTTTGAAGTTGCCGTCATCGTGAGGATAACGCCATGGGTGAAGGATAATTTCAGATTATTTACGCTGAAGAGAGATGTTTATTTTCCCTGATGATTGCTTCCCTGACAGCATCTCTCCTCCACAGCACATTCATTATTTACTTGAAAATTGTGTCTATTTTCATTTTTCAACGTATAACAGGATACAAAAATAAGCAGAAATACACAGTTTGATAGGGGGTAACACTAAACACACACACACACGTGCATATGCCTTGAATCCATCATTGATTTGTCGTTTCTCTGTATTTCAGGGGATTCCTTCACACAGTTTCGATTTTCTGACGAGAAGGACTGGGACATGGACTCATTTGTGGCTGCGCAGGTAAATCCACAAGGACTTCAGCTTGTTATTGGAGAACGGAACAGATGGACAGAGAAATCAGAGTTTATTTGCCTAATTCTGCCTTTGAACCAAAAGTATAGACCACACCATGTTATAGTTGGATCTAAATCAAGTAGAGTCGAGTTTCCCACATTGCAGTCGCCTCTTGCTTCAGGGGGCTTTAACATGAGACCATTTATGTGGCTTAAAGCATTGACGGTGACAGGTCAGTGGTCATGCAATGTTAGGCCCCAGTTTAAACCAGAAAACCATGAGAAAGTTAACGGAAAAGTGAAGGGCTGGTCCTTCAGTTTCACACTCACCTTTAGACTTTTGTGTGTGTAATGGGCTTATTTACAGCGTGTGTATACTCAATCATCATTTATGGTCTTTCTCTTTGTCTTTCACTCTGGTGTCTCTCTCTGGTACCTGTCTTGCCTCTCTCTGATGTTTCTCTTGTATCTCTGGCATCTCTCTCTGGTCTCTCTCTATCCATCTATCTAATCTCTCTCTCTGGTCTCGCTCTAGTCTCTCTCATGTCACTAATGAGACATGAGAGAGACTAGACTTCTTGAATTTTGCATCTGGCTTCAGCTGTTGATGTCATAACGATGTATTCATGACTCCTGCCAAAGCTCTGGTCTCTCCCTCTGTTAACGTATCTGTTTTTTTCTGATGCCTCTCTGGTTGTTGCTGATGTCTCTCTGGTTGTTGCTGATGCCTCTCTGGTTGTTGCTGATGCCTCTCTGGTTGTTGCTGATGCCTCTCTGGTTGTTGCTGATGCCTCTGGTTGTTTCTGGTTTCTCTGGTTGTTACTGATGCCTCTCTGGTTGTTGCTGATGCCTCTCTGGTTGTTGCTGATGTCTCTCTGGTTGTTGCTGATGCCTCTCTGGTTATTGCTGATGTCTCTCTGGTTGTTGCTGATGCCTCTCTGGTTGTTGCTGATGCCTCTCTGGTTGTTGCTGATGCCTCTGGTTGTTTCTGGTTTCTCTGGTTGTTACTGATGCCTCTCTGGTTGTTGCTGATGCCTCTCTGGTTGTTGCTGATGCCTCTCTGGTTGTTGCTGATGCCTCTCTGGTTGTTGCTGATGCCTCTCTGGTTGTTGCTGATGCCTCTGGTTGTTACTGATGCCTCTCTGGTTGTTACTGATGCCTCTCTGGTTGTTACTGATGCCTCTCTGGTTGTTGCTGATGCCTCTCTGGTTGTTGCTGATGCCTCTTTGTGTAAATTGCTGCATTTGTTGTTGTGGCCTGCAGATGTCGGCCCTCGTGGATCTGACGGCTTTGTCCCGGAGCCTCCAACACGTGCCTCTCCCTCAGCGCCTCGGCCTGCAGCCTCAGCTCGTCCAGGTACCGCCCTCCACAGAACAGGCTTCTTCTGAGCTTTTCCATAACTTCTCCCCAACACCGTCAGTCAGAATAGAATTTTGTAGAACACAGGCGGCTGCTGAACTAAAGGTGAGCCAGAAATCGAAACGACGTAAAATCACAAATCAACAGAGACTGAAGAGGGAGGAGCTTCACTGTGAAAGTTATTTAAGATATATTGAAATATTGTTTTTAATTGAAATACCATGAAGAGGGAGCAGTGTCTGTACTCAAAGCTCTGGATGTACCACTCAGTCTACATCCCCTCAGTCTGAGCTTTGGTTAAGGACCAAAAGGACGAGTTTGCGGATACAAGCGGTGCTCATGAGTTTCCTCCAGAGTAGAGCCCCCTTCAAGACGGGGGGAGCAGGGGCTTGGAGTAGAGCTGGTAGTTCGGGACATGTTACATGTGGAGGAGACCAGCGATAAACCCAGGACACTGTGGCGGGACCGTGTCATGTAAAAGCTTGTGATAGATACAAATTGTTTTTGTGAGCGATAAGACATCATTTTTTTGCATTTGTTAATAGAATTTGTTTTTCCCAGTGCTATTTATTTTAAGAATTATATAGTTATCATAATTTTTCCTTCTTTTATTGTATTTATGTTTTTTTGTGCTGATCGCTCAGCTGTAGTATTAACTTCCTGTTCTCTTGTTTTCAGATCTCTGCTCCGGCCGAGCTCCCGCCACAGCCATCTCTCATACAGGACACGGCCTCCAACACAACCTCCACCCCGAGCACTCCTTCAGCTGCTGCCAAGGCGCTCGGCCAACTGCACTTAGTCTCCCCTCGTTCAGGAGCAGTGACATCACAACCCCCTCTGAACACGGTCCCGTCACCACAGGAGGGCGCGACCGAAGAGCTGGAGGAGCTGCTGTCTTTACACAAACCAGAGACCGCTCCCATCAGTCATCTACACACGGAGAGAGGTGAGCTACTCTGCCCTGCCCTATCCTACTCCAATTACTCTTAAAGGAGCTATACCCATTCAGTTTGAATGTTTAGCCCCGCCCCCCAACTCGCTCACAGGCCTCTCATTTTGAGAAACCCTAGTACTCTCCCCTCCCACGGAACCAAATCAACCGGGCTTGATGTCTTCTTTGATCATTTTTTTGAACTAGTTCCTTCTTCTCCTCCTCACTTGTGCGTCGTTTACGTTGTGTTGCTGTGTATGCAGTTACAGCCAGAGGAGGTAAAGCCACTTTCAGCTTCCATGCTGTTCTGTTTACATGCGCTGTAGACGCTAGAGGAGGCGTGACCTGTTTTCAACAGCACCGCCCCTTGTTCTGCAAGTGGAGGAGAATTGGCTTCACGCAAAGTTTCTACTCAGCACTTTGCATGGCCTGAATTCATACACGGTCAAGTTTTCAATTAAATAATGGGTTTTAATCCAACTTGTATGGAGTAATACACATTTTTATGAACTCATTAGAAAATAAATCGGGTATAGTTCCTTTTAGTTTCTGGTGCCATATCCACCTAACCTCCAACCTACCCACATCAAACCAGTATGCAGGGAAACCATATCTTCCAGCAGCACTCTGGCCAATCACTGCCAGTTTAAACACTTAAGTCCATCCTGGTTCTATCTAGTCCGAGCTGGTACTAAAGAAGGACCTGGTACTGTTCCGGTAACACTCCCAAACAGGGCTCAGTAGAGCAGAGTCGAGTCAGACTGGTGGTAGCAGGGCATAAGATGAAGTCAGCATGTTGTGGACTTTCTGCTGGAACGATGGGGATAAAGTGAGGTACCCCTGCTTTAAAAACTTCCGGTGATAAATTCAAACGCTCTCCACTCCTGTCAAATCCGTTCACACCATTTTGTGTCATTAAGAGGCTGTGAAGTAAGTGATTATTTTCTCTTTGTAGAGTGTGACGAAGTGAAGAAGGATGTACCGCAGGAAGAGGACAAAGAGGAGGAGGGGGAGGAAGAAGAGGACGCAAAAGAAAGAGAAGACAAAGAGGACAAAGTGCGAGACATTGACGTCACACAGAGTTCTGTGAAAAAGCAGCAGCTGACGGAGGATGATCTGGAGGACTGGCTGGACAGCATGATCTCCTGATGAAGTTCAGAGAGACCAGAGAGGGAGAGAGACCAGAGAGGGGGAGAGACCAGAGAGGGAGAGAGACCAGAGAGGGAGAGAGACCAGAGAGGGAGAGAGACCAGAGAGTGAGAGAGACCAGAGAGGGAGAGAGACCAGAGAGTGAGAGAGACCAGAGAGGGAGAGAGACCGGAGAGTGAGAGAGACCGGAGAGTGAGAGAGACCAGAGAGGGGGAGAGACCAGAGAGGGAGAGAGACCAGAGAGGGAGACAGACCGGAGAGTGAGAGATACCGGAGAGTGAGAGATACCGGAGAGTGAGAGATACCGGAGAGTGAGAGAGACCGGAGAGTGAGAGAGACCGGTGAGTGGGAGAGACCGGAGAGTGGGAGAGACCAGAGAGTGAGAGAGACCAGAGAGTGAGAGAGACCAGAGAGTGAGAGAGACCAGAGAGTGAGAGATACCGGAGAGTGAGAGAGACCGGAGAGGGGGAGAGACCAGAGAGGGAGAGAGACCGGAGAGTGAGAGAGACCAGAGAGTGAGAGATACCGGAGAGTGAGAGATACCGGAGAGTGAGAGATACCGGAGAGTGAGAGATACCGGAGAGTGAGAGAGACCGGAGAGTGGGAGAGACCGGAGAGTGGGAGAGACCAGAGAGTGGGAGAGACCAGAGAGTGGGAGAGACCAGAGAGTGAGAGATACCGGAGAGTGAGAGAGACCAGAGAGTGAGAGAGACCGGAGAGGGGGAGAGACCAGAGAGGGAGAGATACCGGAGAGTGAGAGATACCGGAGAGTGAGAGATACCGGAGAGTGAGAGATACCGGAGAGTGAGAGATACCGGAGAGTGAGAGATACCGGAGAGTGAGAGAGACCGGAGAGTGGGAGAGACCGGAGAGTGAGAGATACCGGAGAGTGAGAGATACCGGAGAGTGAGAGAGACCGGAGAGTGAGAGAGACCGGAGAGTGGGAGAGACCGGAGAGTGAGAGATACCGGAGAGTAAGAGAGACCGGAGAGTGAGAGAGACCGGAGAGTGGGAGAGACCAGAGAGTGAGAGAGACCAGAGAGGGGGAGAGACCAGAGAGTGAGAGATACCGGAGAGTGAGAGAGACCGGAGAGTGGGAGAGACCAGAGAGTGAGAGAGACCAGAGAGTGAGAGAGACCAGAGAGTGGGAGAGACCAGAGAGTGGGAGAGACCGGAGAGTGGGAGAGACCGGAGAGTGGGAGAGACCGGAGAGTGAGAGATACCGGAGAGTGAGAGATACCGGAGAGTGAGAGATACCGGAGAGTGAGAGATACCGGAGAGTGAGAGATACCGGAGAGTGAGAGATACCGGAGAGTGAGAGATACCGGAGAGTGAGAGATACCGGAGAGTGAGAGATACCGGAGAGTGAGAACCGGAACCGGAGAGTGAGAGAGAGAGACCGGAGAGTGAGAGAGACCGGAGAGGGCGAGAGACCAGAGAGATTCTAGATAAAGGTAAATGTTCCGGTTCCGTGTTTGATAAAGAATCAGATGTTCCTTCACTCTCTGCTTCACAAACAGACTTTAAGACATTTGATGGATTATTTTTGCCCTTTAAAATGTTTCATGTTTCAAATGTGATAATAACTGAAGTAGAAAATAATTGGATAAAATGCTTTCTGCCTGTAACTCCTTGTCCTGCCACTAGAGGGAACTGCAAACACAGAGATGTGACTGTAAATAACCTAAACTAATTTAGGGGAAACTCAAAAATATCTACGCTATCTTCAGGCTTCCCAAAATCAGACCGTTCATGTGGAGCTGATGACACACTCAGACACACACACAACCACACACACAACCACAACCACACACACACACACACTCACATTCACATTCTCTTAAATTATTGTGATATTAGTTTCAGTCTGAGTTGCAAAGCGTTCATTGCTGTTTTTTCCAAGTGGGAGGCTTTCCAATATCACAAGAATGCTCTCCGTTCTCTTTGGTCTCCCCCTCTCTCTCTAGTCTGGTTTCTCTCTCTGGCCTCGCACTAGTCTGGTTTCTCTCTCTGGCCTCTCTAGTCTGGCTTCTCTCTCTGGCCTCTCTAGTCTGGTTTCTCTCTCTGGCCTCTCTAGTCTGGTTTCTCTCTCTGGCCTCTCTAGTCTGGCTTCTCTCTCTGGCCTCTCTAGTCTGGCTTCTCTCTCTGGCCTCTCTAGTCTGGCTTCTCTCTCTGGCCTCTCTAGTCTGGTTTCTCTCTCTGGCCTCTCTAGTCTGGCTTCTCTCTCTGGCCTCTCTAGTCTGGCTTCTCTCTCTGGCCTCTCTAGTCTGGTTTCTCTCTCTGGCCTCTCTAGTCTGGTTTCTCTCTCTGGCCTCTCTAGTCTGGTTTCTCTCTCTGGCCTCTCTAGTCTGGCTTCTCTCTCTGGCCTCTCTAGTCTGGTTTGTCTCTCTGGCCTCTCTAGTCTGGTTTCTCTCTCTGGTCTCTGTATCTAGGACAGAAGGAGTGGAGTTACATGTTCCTGATACTAGCATGGAAAGATCTAAAAACAACTCCAGCTCTGTTTGAGGAAACAATATCGTAACACGGTCAGAACCTTAAAGTAATTTTCCACAAAACTTCTCCTTTAAATAAACCAAACACATTTGTCTTCATTGCGTCAGTTACTTTATTCATTCTTCCCTCTGATCAAAATAAATGCATTCTTCACCAAAGTTCCTACAGACAAAGATCTGCACAAGAGCAGGAGCAGTATCCGCGATGCTCCTCAGGGGGGCGTGTCGTGGGCAGAACGTGGGATCAACAGTTTGCCGGCAGGAAATCTAACATCTAAGCAACATTTACGCAAAGTGTCTCTACGTTTATTTATTTTTTACAATAAATGATGAACTAGAAGTCACTAAAGCCAAAGCTCTCATTCTGCAAGTAAATATCCGGCGGTACAGCGCACTCGTGTTGTGAGGGAAGAAAACGTTTTTTTTTTTTTTTGCATAGTTTCTCTTAAGGCACAGCGGCTTCAGTTTAACATTTTCACAATCAGGTTTGGTCTTGGAGACAGCGAACACGCCAAGACCAGAGAGGACTTCATTCAGCAGATAAGACTCATACAAAAGGCAAAAACAACCCCAGATCTCGATAAGATTCCACTGTGAGAGTGTGAGAGACTAGCGGCGCACAATCGCTCGAGTTCTGAGTGAACTTTGGGGTAGACACTCTTCAAAATTGTGCATATTCGAACATTCAGTCGTCAAGCCGTGAACCTACTGCATAACAATTGTCTACAAACAACAATTTGTGGCAGAGGTTTGGGGTTCGCAGGTGAAGCAGAGATGCAAGTCACACAGTTCTGTCAGTCGGTGCAGAGACTCGTCCACAATGTTGTCGTTTATATATGTTTAGTTTTGTCAAAATAATGTGTGTGTCAGTCTTGTAGCTTCGGCCTCGTCGTCGTATCAGGTTTTTGTCCAGTCAAGAGTGTGGTTTTAGCCCAGCTGGTCTTCATATTGTTTCCTGAAGCAGTCTCCGGCCGGGAAGAAGTCCCAGCATCTCTCCTGGTACATCTTCCACACGTAGGACTCCTGCACGGGGACAAAACAGATCAGCGTCACGGCCTGCAGCTCACATTAGATTGTGCTTGGGACGTGGGGATTTCGTCATTGGACTTTTATCACTTTTGTGCACTTGGGCCGAGGTGAGGCCTGTGCCCGAGGATGGACTTTTTATGTTGTTAAACCAAATGCCAAATCATGAGTTCGCCGCGGGGGGTGAAAGGGTAAAATATCAATCACTTTCTGAACAAAACTCTTTTACGTCGCTCTATAGAGAACCAACATGACTCAGAGCAAAATGTCATGATTGTCAAGACTCTTAAGCCCCCTGAAGCTGCAGTACTGAACTTGGAAACCACAGAAAAATACTCAATAAAGTGCATGTAATTAGTTCTCCACAAGTCTGGTTCGTTCACTGGTTTTCACTTCATGCGCTACCTCTGGTTTCTCTCTCTGCGCTTCCTCCCTGGTCCCTCTCTCTGGTCTCTCTTTCTAAGTTAGTTCATCAACTTGTTTCAGCACTAACAGAGAGTGAGTGTGTGTGTGTGTCTCTATCTCTGTGCTTGTGCGTGTGGGTGTGTGTGTCTGTGTCTATCTCTGTGTGTGTACAGTATATATGTGTTGAACAATGAAAGATCCGTCGTCCACGTGAGCTCGTCCTCAGTCCAACTCAGTCCATATTTCTGGGTCCTGTGCTTGTCTTCCTTCACGTCTCTTGAACCGGTTCCAGCTGCCTCCGACAGACTGTGGTCCAGATGGTCTCAGACTTTTGCACCCAGAAGGACACCAACTCTGTCATCTCTGTCGCAAATGAATGCCACTTCCTCTGGTCTCACTCCCAGCTCCTCTGACTCTGACGGCTTTCTCTACAGCCAATAAAAGTGTTTTTTTTTTTCTTCCCTAATGGCTAATTTTGTGTCTTTCTACATGGACGAGACGCAGATAAATAAATGTCCCGACTGCCCACGCGCTGGTTCTTCTCTCTGCTAAGAACCACTTGTACAATGTTTCTACCCACTTCATGGTGTTGCATAAGAAAAGCACAAAAGCAACACATTATAGTTTAATGTTTGCAGTTCAGGCTCAATGCATCTGTTAAAAGTGTGTGTGTGTGTGTGTGTGCGTGTGCGTATAAACTGTATAATGTCCACTGTTAATGCTGCTCACAATAAAAAAGAAAATACATAAAAAATATGAGACAATTTCCAATTTTAGAAGGTGAAAAAATCTCGGCATTAATAATCTCTAATTTGTGAGCAATACTTTTGTTTTATAAAGCAGAAAACTGAGTGTGATGGCATAGTGGTCCTGGATCTGCAGCCTCAGTCCTGGATCTGCAGCCTGTGGGCCTAAGGGCTCTAAAGAGGATCTGGAACATTTAAAGTGGTTCTCACCCCGCTCCTCGGAGCTTACGTCACTCACATTTCCTGTTCAAATCTTCCTCTAAATGGGCGTAGCCTGGAGGACTAAAGGGGGCGTGAACGAGACTGGGCCGTTTATATTGCTCTGGGCGGGGGGCTGCTGACGTCAGGTCTTGCTTCAGACGTCAGGTCTTGCTGCCGTGCCAGTGTTGGCGCCAGATTCAAAATTCAAATGTAGTAATACAGGTCGCCAGCAGATGGCGTCTCACAGACGGTTTTAGGCAGAAAGTTTAACTTTCAACTAATTTGCATCGAAAGTGACAAAATTATGACCAGGATATGTAGACAACACTATTGGACACTCATTTATACCAATTATCAGCAAAAAAAAGTGGATTTGAGGGTGAGTTGTCCTTTAAGGACATGTCTAGACAGTAGTCACTGTGGACCAATGGCTCCTTTGTGTTCGTTATTTTTGCATTTCCTGTGTTTGAACAGCTGCTTTGATCCTTTAACCTGTAAAACCAGCTTAAACAGATCTGAGCCTCGTGTGTCGGTCACCTGTCCTGTGTGCTCCGTCTCGTCCTTGTTGATCAGGTACATGAGGAAGAACCTGCAGAAGAAAAGCAGCTCAGAACACTCTTCATCACTCGTCATCAGTCACAGAGCGTGGCACTCACAGGTAGTTGGCGAGGTTGTGTTCTTGTAACGTGTGGGTTTCAAAACCGTGTGGCGTCCGGTCAAAGTAGTCGTTCCCGATGCCACAGATGAAGCACTTGGTCTGAAAGATCAAAGAAAGGACGAGTTTTTTTTTAATCAAAGAATTACTTATTTAATGTCTATAATAACAGAGATAGATAGAGAGACCATAGAGAGAATATTAATAATGGTGATCAAAAGTATAATGCTAATTTGTAAAATGGAAGGAAAACTAGAAGATGGTGGTGGGAAAAAGGAAAAAGTGTTGCCACTGATTGATATAATGCCAAAGAATGTTTACCCATTTAACACAAACAATATATAACGGGCCGTACCTCCATGTCCTCCTTAACCTGCTCCTGCTGGTCCCTCAGCTCCCCGAAGGCATCGATGATCAAACCTGAAGCAGACACACGGATCATAACAACTTGCAGTGGTCTCAAACATGCGTTTTGTCGCCCCCTAGTGGACATTAAAGTTTAATGCCAGTGTGGCTCCGATTGAGAGTCTGATCTATGACATACATAGATTTCAAGATTATTTAATGTAAAAAAAAAAAAACAACAATTCGAAGCAATAATTCAAAGTAAACATTGTTAAACCAGTCAACAATACAAATAGTCTTTGCTTTTTGTCCAGTTTTTGTTTCAATCACAGCATCTGGACTCATTTTATTCATAGAAATATATAAAAAATATATGAATGTCATATTCCATCCATCCATCCATCCATCCATCCATTTTCTACCCTTTAATCCATTTCTGGGTCAGGGGGGTGGCAATCAGAGATGCCACCCAAGTCTCATAGCACCAGCCCCTCACTGACCCTCTGCAGGTGGTGAGTCCACAGGAGGACGGCTGCTCTCTGAGTGTGAGCATAGCCTTGATCTTTCAGTGGGGGCTTTGGGCAAAGTGGGGTTAACAGTCTTGCCCAAGGACACAACGACAGCAGTCATCAGTGGGAGTCGGTGGAGAAGGTGCAGAGGTGTCATATTCAATAAAAGTAATTGTTTGATCAAAATACCTTCATGATCATAAAAATGTCACAGATACAAATAATGAACCATAAAATATTCAACAAACACTTGATTCTTGGTTTTCCTGCTTTTGTCTTTGCTCTATGAGCCCAAACGTTTACTTTTTCTACTGTTAATGTTAAATGACAAGATGCACAGTTTGAAATGTAGCGGTTTATTATATTTATCCAGGAGCTAAACTGTGTGTGCAAAGTGAAATAGCATGAGCAGTTTTAGCGCTTAGATTTATATATAGTATACATGAAGTAGGGTTAGAGGCCTACATTTCCCACTCTTTTTAATGTACTGTGAATGTTATGCTTTGTGTGATTGTAATGCCTCTTTTCTTGTTTTCCTAAAGCCCTTTGAGTTCCTATGCAAAATATATAAGTTGAATTACAGAATTAAATGGACTTTTGAACGATATTCTAATCTTCAGAGTTTCACCTGAGCTGGTTCTGAAGCAATGGGAGTGTTTTATAGTTGAGGTTAGATCTGAGATGTAAATACAAACCCTGAATGATGGCGAGGAGGATGACGATGACGAAGAAGAAGAAGGTGATGTCGAAGAGGATGCGGTAAAGTTCGTAGGGGTCTCCAGCAGGGTCCTCCAGCTCGTCCCCGATGCCCCCCCCGGCTCGCACCCCCACGTACATGTGGAACAGGTAGCACTGTGGAGCAGACACATATTTTATATTTTATATTTTATACAGCAGAGTAGAGTAGAGTAGTTAAGAGTAGAGGGAGAAGTGTAGAGTAGAGTAGAGTATCCATGGATGTATTATAATCTGGATAGGGTTACTGGCTTGGAGCTGAAGGACCCATGTGCTCGGGGGATTCCAGATATTTTCCCCATAGAACTCAATGTAAACTAAAACAGCTCAACCTCAGCTGACAGAGAACCTACAGATTTTAGTGTCCCTGGTCATCCTGAACTTTTTCCTTCTTAAATCCTTCGGTTTTCTTTAAATCCACACTTAAGTGCAACAAACTGCTCTGGCTCTGCTCTGATCAGCAGCTCTGATTGAGTTCCGCTCATCTTTCGGTGCCCATGGTGGCGCATGCGCCACTGAGCACAAGCCATTCATTTGAATCACTTGGACTGCTGGGGTTTGAGTGTACCCCATTGTACAAACAGCTGAGTGTGTGTCTCTGCAGACCTCAGACTCAGACTCAGACTCACCGTCATCATGTCGTCACACTTCATGTCCGGCTCGTCCTCGTCCTCGCTCTTGTTGTAGAACTTCCTGAAGAAGTTGAAGGCCACCACAGTGTAGAGGTAGACCACCACGGCCAGCAGCCCCACGGTCAGCACCAGCTGCAGCCACGAGCAGAGAGTGAGTGGTCACAGACAGATTCAGATTCACCTCAGTTACTACTATTACACACAGTACATAGATGGACAATGTTTTATGCTTAAGAATATGTTGTTTATGTTTTGATAATGTCTCTGTAAATCCAAATATGTACATCTATCCTATCTACAGACCAACATCCTCATCCTGGAAATACAGCCTGTCTCTCCATGGGAGCGAATCTCTCTCTCAATCTCTCACCTTTTCCCTCACTGGGTTTCTGAGTGGTTCTTTGCAGAGGCAGGAGGCTCTAAAGACAGTCATGATCCAGGACATTTCTGAACATTTCTGAACATTTCTGGACAGTGGTCATCCCGCTCGCTATGGACCAATGGCTCCTATGTGTTTTTTCTTATTGCATTTCCTGTGTTCAAACTGTTTGACTCTTTGATTTGTGGTGAATCCACAATTTGTGAATTCCTCCAAGATGAGTGTGGCTGTGATTTAGGGAAATGCACAAAAAACGTTGAATTGAATACTTAAAATACACTACCTAAAAGCTTTGGTTTGTGCTAAGAGGAGGCATGTCTTGGCAGGTCTCTGAGGCCCGACTCCACCGGCTGCATAAAACCTACTACATATCCGTCCAAACGTGTCCGTTTCATCTCCGTTTCCATGAGGGTGAATGGAAGTGGCTCCACGGCCCGCGACATGCGTCCGTATGACGCGCGTAGGGAGCAGTTCATCAACAAAGGGTGCAACGGACACGGAAGGACAAAATAGAAACAATCCTATTTTTTACGTACGTCGACGTGCGTATGTTTTGTTTTCCGTTGAAAATTACCACATTATTATACATGTATTGACATATGCTGTAGTCCTTGGTTATAAGTGTTTGTTAATGACAATGATTATGAACACGTGTGTAATTTTTTTCATGTCGTTTATTTGTCGCGTAATGTCAATATTGACTCGCTTTCAAACCAGCCTGGATATGTTGGAGTTCTTTTCTCTCTCTACCCTTTTTTACCAATTGCTTTCAATGAAGTTTTGTCTCATCCATCGCAACGTCCTCGATGCTTCATTAGTGCCGTGCTTTGCATAGATCATAGCCACAGCTCATGCAAATCACACACCGCTTCTTTTATTTGACGGGTCTGAAGTCAAAACAAAGCCCTAAACACGAGAGTAGCTTTGCTGATGCACAGCCAGAGCTGCGCTGCTGAAGCCGGTGTGGCCACTATTACATGTTATGCCGGGGGAGTCTCAGACAGCACATGCAGGATGTCTCCCTGTGCTCTGGCGCCCCCTGCTGACCGCTCACCTGTTTGCCGTTGTGTGTGACCGAGGACAGGATGGTGCGCAGCGTCTTGATGCCCATGGCGATGTCCAGCAGGTGAGCCGCGAAGAAGAAGTTATTGCAGTGTCCGAAGAAGGACATGGTGGTGTACCAGATGAGGTACAGGAAGAACTGAGGAGCAGAGAACATGGAACTGTCACAGGGACACAGCTCACTACAGCTCATTCTGATGTGATTTGTTTCACTATCTTAATTGACACATTATTGATTGCAAAAGTGTTTGTTTAGCCTCATTTCCCTGTTTAACCAGTACCACTCTCTTGGCCCGGGATGTATCCAGACCGAGCTGGTACTAAAGCGTTCTAACTGACAGTGATTGGCTGGAGTGCTGCTGGAAGCCATGGTTACCCAGGAATTTCCCTGTATACTGGTTTGTCATAGGGAGGCTGGTAGAGTGGAGTAGGGCCAAGTTTTGAGGATGGAAACATTTGAAGCTTTTTTTTTCTTTCCTCTTTTTACAAAATTGTTAATTGAACAATACAATCATCCTCATTCATCCTCACCATGTGAGCTGTGTAATCTCTGACCGCATGTGTTACATACATATTAATTAAAAGGACACATCTGAAGAAACTCACATTATCCGTCAGAACAACACCCATCTTCCAGATGTGGTACTTGGTGTCGATGGAGCTCAGCCTGAGGTCAGACACAGAGACGTCATAAAAACAGTTTTTCTTACAGAACGCAAACAATAATAATGTGAGGCTGATGTGAGACAGGTCTGACCAGGACATGAGCGAGGCCTCCCGCTCCTCCGTCTCCACAGTGGGGTCGAAGTCCAGAGCACTCTTGTCCAGCCCAAGCAGCTCCGCGATACGCTCTGCTCCATACAGGTACCCGTACTTGTTGATCACCTACAGACAGGGGGCGCTCTGTGGTCAGCTGGAATGCTGGATCTATAGCCTGCGAATCCCTCCCTCTATTGTACATTTCTCCATTGTGAGATCAATAAAGTTTATCTTATCTTATCTCAATGTGCGCCTTCCCAAGGTTTCTGGGGAGTCCTTGCCGATGCAGGAGGGTCAAAGGACAGTGGTGATGATCCAGGACATTTAGTGACATTTATGGGCATGGGTCATTCACCCGTTATGGACAAAAGGCTCTGTGTGTTTTTTGTCATTACATTTCCTATGTTTGAACCGTTTACAACACAGATCTGAGATTCAAAGTACTCCCAAATAACCACTTGTGATTTACGGCTAAACAAAAACAATTTGAATTGAATTGAATTGACCGCTACAGACAGCTCAGCCGGGGGGTGACAGGGGGCGCTGCAGTGGGACAAGCACTCACTCAGAGTGGAATACATCACAGCCAAGGTTTAGTACCGGGTCACAGCAGGATTGATAATGTACAGCTGTGGTCTCTGAGCAGGTGATATCACAGGCAAACAAGAGTAGATGATACATGGCCATGCATTACTGGCACACACATAAGACAGAGAGACTCGAGGGAGAGACCAGAGAGAGAGAGAGAGACTCGAGGGAGAGACTAGAGGGAAAGACCAGAGAGAGAGAGAGAGACTCGAGGGAGAGACTAGAGTGAGAGACCAGAGAGAGAGAGAGACTCGAGGGAGAGACTAGAGGGAGAGAGAGAGACTCAAGGGAGAGACTAGAGGGAAAGACCAGAGAGAGAGAGAGAGACTCGAGGGAGAGACTAGAGGGAAAGACCAGAGAGAGAGAGAGAGACTCGAGGGAGAGACTAGAGTGAGAGACCAGAAAGAGAGAGAGAGACTCGAGGGAGAGACTAGAGGGAGAGACCAGAGCAAACAGAGAGACTCGAGGGAGAGACCAGAGAGTCTCTCCCAAGAAAGAGACCAGGTCCATAGTACAGGGGCCCATCTCCAGATGTTGATGTTCTTCAGGACCAGAGCTGGTGGATTTTGCCTATTTTGCACATGTTTTAGTGGTAGGGAAAACCGGAGCAACTGGAGGAAACCTATGCAGACCGCACACAGAAGGGCCCACTCAGCCACTCATGCTAATTGGTTAGAGTCTTACCTTTCTTTTTATGAACTTATCCCAGTAGTTATTAGGGAAAGACCTGCAGAGACACAGTGGACATTGTACAGTGGCAGTTTCAGAGAGAAAAACAGATTCGGGTCTTCCATATGACCCCAGCGTGAGACTCACGGAGTGTTGATGACCAGACGATCCCACTGACCCTTGATGTCGTCGTCCGAGGGCTGCTCTGTGATGTACAGCCCGTCAAACTCCAGTTTACGGGCGATCTCCTTCTCTCTTTTAAACACCACCAGAGGCACCTGGAAGTGATTTGACAGTTTTGCAACACAAGGGGCAGCGATGAGCACAGAACACTGAATTAACCTATAATAGAATGTTGGGATTTCATACATGTTTACAGATTGTACATTTCCTCAATTTTATTCCATGTTTCTTCCTAAAACCGCACATAGAAATAAACATTGCAAGGTAAGCAAAAATTCACAGTATTCAAAATAGAGAGAGCAGACAGAGAGAGAGACCAGAGCGACTAGAGAAAGAGAGACAAGAGAGAGAAAGACCAGAGAAAGAGACCAGAGAGAGATTAATCAAATCAAGAAAAAATAAAATAAGAATTAATAAAAGGAAGACAAGAAAAGAATAAGGAAACAAATATGAATGTCAATAATAATAACAATTAAGCTAATAATACATAAAAAAGTCACTGATTCTCACTGATTTGGCAGATTTCTAAAGAGGCAGAATATTGTGTCCAGTTCTGTGTTGGAGATAATAAAGGATTCCCTTAAAGCCCTAGAGAGTGTTTCAGATTACTGCCCCCAGAGATGGTTTCGTTTTGGGCATTAGAAGAATATGCATGTTGGGGCAACTCTGTGGTTTACCTTGAGGCAGTAGTACCCCAGCACACAGACCAGGGAGATGACCGTGTGGAAGACGGCCAGGAAGCGCAGAGCGGGTAACATGTAGCCCGTGCTCTCCTGAAGCACAAACTCATCCATGTCGAACAGAGTATCCTCATCATCCTCTTCCTCCTCTTCACCTCCCCAGCCGCTCTCCTCAGGCGCCTCCTCCTCAGGCTCCCCAGTCACCTAACAAAGGCACAGTTAGGTGATCACATGTTCAGGTTTTCTTCAATAATGGCTGTTTCTTCAAATGTGATCTTATAAAATGTATTGTTTTCTTTCACTAAACACTGAAATCCGCTGTTCCATTATCTCATGGCTGATGATGGGACCCTGAATCCTGAACCGCACAACCTCAGTCTTGGATCTACAGCCTCAGTCCTAGATCTGCAGCCTAAGTCCTGGATCTACAGCCTCAGTCCTGGATCTATGCAGTGGGGGAGGGTCCCAGCTCAAAAGTGCCCAAAATGACGTGCGCTGACATGCTTGCAATACCACCCCGGGCCGATGGGGGTGGACCCAGAAGTAGAATTAGCCAATGCTAACATATAGCATTGGCAGACCTCTCAAAAACGTCTTTACAGGATGGTCCAAAAGTTGGCTCTTGGCCCAAAGCTCCGTTCCACATATGTGTCAATGCTGAGGGGAGTGAATTTTTTTGGTCCACTCTAGTTTACTTGCTGTGAATTTTCTCTCGTTCAAATGAATGGAGTTGCGCCGGCTGACGCATACGCAGATGCGTTTTTTCACAATTTTCTTGTGGGCGGGACCACTCGTGGCCATTTTGGATTGCTCCAGTAGAGCACATTTTTTGGCCCATTAGTTAGAACGGCAGAGATAGGCGTGACTCTGTCCATTAATATATACAGTCTATGGATCTACAGCCTCAGTCCTGGATCTGCAGCCTCAGTCCTGGATTTACAGCCTAAGTCTTGGATCTACAGCCTAAGTCTTGGATCTACAGCCTCAGTCCTAGATCTACTGCCTCAGTCTTGAGTTTACAGCATCAGTCCTCCTTCTATAGCCTTAAACTTAAAGCTGGGGAACCTAATAATCAAACTCACAAAAAATAACGTATCAAAGTCCATCTCACTGGTTCCTCGCTTTCAAAACTAGTCACTAGTTTTCACATGTGTTCTGGCCTCTGTCCCATCTTTAGATCCGATTTTTTTTAGACCAAAAGTTAGTAAAGAGAGGACCACCCTCACTCAGGCACTGATTGGGTACTTAACCCAAAGGGTCAAAAAGGGACTCACAGGGATCTTCGTTTCAAATATGCAAAATATAACATGTTTTCTAACAGGATGAAGACAGCATTATGTAATTTGATTTGTTCAACATTTTACTCTTTCTGTCGACAAACTAACAAACAATAAATGTTCTATGTGGGGAAAGTGCAGTACCTCAGCTTTAAGTGAATGTATGAAGAGAACAGGGCGGTCACCTTGTAGAAGAGCAGAATGAAGTTGATGGCAAAGCAGACGAACAGGGCCAGGAAGCGGAGGTTGTAGAAGTTACGAGCCAAGTAGTTCTGAAGAGAAATAACCAAACATATATCATATTTTATACATACATGTATTATCTGGGACCCTATCTCTTTAATTATCTTAACGTTGCTAAATGTTTGAGGGAAATAGGATCTAAACCCCCAGCACTGTTCAGTGTTCATTGTTGCTTTTGGACGCCCTCTGGTGGCAACAATAGGAAGTGAAACATTTTAAAATATGCAAAATGGACTGATTTCTTTTAAATTAACATATTAAAAAATACAAACCCTGAAGAATCATAAATGTAGCTAAAATGTTGTGGCCAATACAGAACAGTGTGAGAGGATAAAATCCTGTCTTCCTACTGGGATAGAGCATTACTTTCCCTCCATCGAAGAGCCCCTGATACCTCACATTTGTTCTACATCTTTGCATCTCTGAATGCACTTGCCGCTCTTGTAATTTAGCATATTACAGTGTGGGTTGGTTATTTTGTTATTTTGAGGATTTAAATAGGTGCGCTAATAATATGCACTCAAAAAACATACGGTGTGTTAAAAACTGGTTCAATTAAACAATTTTCCCCCCAGATCTCATGGAATGTTATGAGTCTGATCTGCGTTTTCATCAAACCAACTTTACTATAATCTAAAAAAATTGTTTTTTCAAAAAATCTAGCTCCAAATTATTCTTAATTATTCTGGCACTTGGAAGAAACCAGTGTAGACAGGGAAATGTCACCGTGTCTCCCATCACAGTTCTAAGCAGGCTCTGTGCCGCTTAGCTTATGAAATCTCACTGGATCAGGTGTTCACCTGCAGATGGCGCTACAATAGACATATATGCAACATGTCTTGGTGACTATTATCCATTATCCAACCGATGCAAATTGGTTGTTTCAGCCAACATCGTTTTAATTTATGAGATTTTCCAACCATTGCTTTTTTATAGTGTGGGTGAGGAAGAGTAGAATAACCGATGTGTATATACCACAATTTTGGTCAAGTAGATGTCCAGGACAGCAAACACACTGGACATGAAGGCAGGAGAGGACTCGTCGCTCTCACTGGTCTTGGGCTTAGGCTTCTCTTCTGTCTCTGGCTCCTTAGACTCCTCCTGCTTTGGTTTGTCCCCTTTCTCTTGGTTCTCAGTTCTGGAAAAAGCAGAAAAGAATAGAAAAAAAAACCTGATTCTTGCCTAACTTTGGCGAGACGGTTGAAATACAATAGACATGTATTTTATATTTCTTGAAAATTCAACGGTTTGATAACTACTGTTGAAATGTAGGACTATACAAAAGTGATCTGAAATGAATTGAATTATATATACAGTAGGGATATAATAGAGGTGATCATGAAACTCACTCTGCTTTCTCTTGCTCGCTCTCCTTGGTCACGACTGGTTTCTTCTTGGCATCAGCGCCTGATGCTTCACCCGGGTCGGACATATCTCCCAGACCGGGCTCCACGTGCTTCCCTCCTCCTTCCTTTTTGGACCCCAGCAGCTCCATCATCAAGTCGGCTTCCCCCACCTCTCCAGTCGGGACCATCGCTGTGTCCAAGCTGCCACTGGACTCCAGCGCTTCCACCTTCTCCCCTTCCATGACGTCGCCATGGATACCGAACTGGGTGGGGTCCGGCATATTCCCAAGAATGTCAGTCACCTTGATGTTTTTGGCTCCCTCCACCAGGCCGCCGCCAAACATGGACGACCAGATGAGGTGGAAGAAGCCGAAGATGAGGCCGAAGATTCCCTTGAAGAAACCAATGAAGAGCATCCAGAAGAAGGAGAAGAAGCCGGTGATCACCTCTCGGATGCTCAGCTTTCGGGCCTTTTTAAACTGTTTGCGCAGGCTTTTGAGTGACAGCATTTGGCGCACACCAGCGATCTTGGCTTTGACGGAGCGGCAGGCGCTGGTGAACGCCGACACGGACTCTACCTCCTCGTCCGAGCGCTCCTCCAAGAAGCTGTAGGCCTCCTCCTCTTCCTCCTCCTCGGCCTGCTCCACCTCCTCAGGGTCGGAGATCTGAGAGGCCAGCTGCATCTCAAAAATGGTGTCCTCGCAGAAGTTGACGAACATCTCCATCTTCTCGCTCTCGCCGCCCTCGTTCACCACGTCGAAGATGAACTGCCGCTTGGACTCTTTGACCTGGGGCTTCTCCCACTGCTCTCGGCTCGACTCGCTGATCTCGAAGTAGACCCTCTCGATGCGTTTGGCGCTGCCCATGATCTCGATGCGGCCCAGGTACGGCTCAAAGTACCCGAGCAGGCTCTCTGCCACGTCCAGGAAGCTGCCCAGGCGTGAGTCATGTGGCATGTGCTCCGAGAGGTTGGTCAGCAGAACTGCCACGTTGAAGCCAATCTCTTTGGCGGGTTCATGGAAACGCTCCACGAACTCCTTGTAGTTAAACATGTCGTTCTCGTCTACCTCGGCGCAGGACAGCAGGAACTCGATCTCTGCGCTGCTGTACTGCTTCTGGCTCTCCATGGACTTCTGAAACTCCTTCTGTGAGATGAGGCCCTTGCAATCCGGGTCGTACTCCCTGAAGTTCTCAGACGTGGTTAAGTCCTTTAGCTTCAGGAACATGTCGAAGAACTTCAGGATCATTTCCACGTTGCTGGAAGACTCCACCAGTGTGTCCACCATCTGCTTTCCGATCGTTCCATTCACCACGTTGCCTACGAGGGAGACATTAGCATTAGCATTAGCATGTGTCACTGAGATGTAAGGAGTGATGATTGTTGTTACCTTCAAGCAGAGACAGCAGCATGACCACCATGTCCTTTTGTAAATCCATCAGCTCCTTCAGCAGCTCAATCTGACTGGAATCCTGAGGCAAAAAAAATCTATTGAGATTTTTACATCCTGAAAGGGTGTAGTAGAAAAATACCAATAATATGATATCATGTTATAGTTTATAGCTATCCATGATATAGCTGCTGTGTAGCTGCTCCACTCAGCAGCTACACCTCCTCTGCTGCTTTGACCTAAAGTGCTGTTGCGCTTTATTACTATTTTAAGTAACTTTTAGAATGATGTGTTTATTTATTTGAATGGACCACAATTTCTCCTACTGGGAATCAATAAAGTTTCTATCTATCTATCTATTTATCTATCTATAAACAAGCTTTCCACAAACCCTTAACAAGGACAAACATTTATTCTCTCTACTGTTATTGATAAGGAATGAGAAGAGGGCAACGATTTAAAGATATGGCTATTTTTTATCAGTCCAGGAATGAAACTGTGTGTGTAAAGTAAAATAGAGTGAGCAGTTTTAGTGGCTTCACTCTGTTTGCAAATTTGCAATTGCATATATCTTTTTGCTCCAATGTTCACATATTTTGCACCTACACAAACAGGTTATAAACATTCCCCTTAATGCAGTCCAGCGCTTCACCCAGACTTTAATCCTAGCTGAATGAAATTAGAGAGCCCTGTTCTACAAGGTCTATGTTACCTGAGACAGCTTCATTTGGAGGTTGGCGAACACATGTAAGAAGCCCACTACTGCGTCCCACAGTCGGCTGTGGGCCAAGCTCTGCTGGTTCCCGATGCACGGACCCTACAGAAGACACATGTGAAGAACATGGCACACGTGTGAAGCCATCGAATAAGTAATATTACAGTGTAACAGGAAACAAAAACAAATATGTGCCGACATTTAGAACCACTTTAAAAAATCAATGTGCTTCTCAGAGCATGGAGCTCTTTGGGTGAGTAATAAACATGTTCAAACCCGATGATATTAAAAACCTTTTTAAGTGCTGAAGGAGGTGTGTGCATGTATCTGTCTGTGTGTTTTGTGTTCTGTTGTACGAGTGAGAGGATTGGAGCTTCTCCCAACCCCTTTTCAGACTGTGTATTTCAGCTTTTTTTTGGTTGTTTTGAAAGACATGTTTATTTTTGTTCTGTCTACTTCTTGGTAACTAAAATAAACATGTCTGACCTATGGTAAATCAGCATGAATTAAACGATTTTAAACAGCCACCTCATACTTGAATTTGTATTTAAATATGTACTAGGATGAGGATTAGCTGATTTTAGACAGTAGACTCAGGTGACCCACACTGATAGGCAGAGATCATTTGTGCTCAGGCAAGGAGGTGATGATGTTGTTTGTCTTACAGCGAGATATTCTAAACTCTCTCATCTCGGATCTATCCGACCAGAAATGCAACATACACGCGTTTCAACTAACTCTTAAGTAACTGACATTGAAACGTGAACAGGAGCTTCACCTGTATGTATTCTGTGAGTGAGTTGAAGATCTGTTTGGCCACATCCAGAGCTTTGGAGAAGTTGAGTCTTCCAGTGTCGTCAATGACGTCTTTCCCAGAGTAGTACCAGTAGAAGTCACTGATGGATTCCTGTAGAACAGATGTTTATGCCACAAGAGCAATGATTCATTGCACAGCTAGAGCGGAATGAAGACCTGAGCTCATCACTAACGGCTGCATTTCTCATTTTCGTTGGGGTTTAGACCCAGATGACTCTAACACCAGGGTAGACCTGGCGGACTCTAGGTTAAGATGCTCATAATCACTAATAAATCCCTCTCTGCATATATCATGCGATGTCCCCAAATGCAGTAAATATATTAGCTCATCCTCATGATTCGGACAGGTCTAATATCTGATCTACAGCTACAGTATAACAAATATAAACATGACATAAATAACATTCTAATCTTTCTCTTGAGTCGTTCAGATTCTGGTCGCAAACCTGGAGCCGCAGCAGGTAGTCCACGGTGCTGATGATTATATTGACAGTCGTAGTGTTTCCCGTTTGTGTTCTCAGGAAATTCTGGAAATCTGTTGTTAAAATGATTTATGTATCAATACAACACATGGGACACAGATATGAAATGTGGCAAAGTGAAGGTTACCTCCGTTGTGCCCTTCACACAGAAGTTGCAAAAACCGGAACAAGTCTTTGGTAAAGTCATCGTTTTGTAACACTTTAGAACCTGTGAAAGAAGACTCTTGTAATTACAAAGTCAAAAACCAACTAAAGTTTCCTCTCAATGACAAGGGTACGAGATCTACCCTCAGAAGGATTCCATGTGACGCAAGCATATGTGATGTCAGTTTAAATGGCCTTTAGATTACAGGTTGAACCCGAATCCAAAGCGTGTGTTGTGCTAAAACAAAAGAACAATCCCAGAAGCTGAAGGAAGCCTGAACACTTGGACATGCAGGCCGCGGGTCAGCCTGGAGAAGCACGAGAGCAGGGGACGAGAGTGGTGACGAGTCATCGGAAAAGAACAACAGCAGAGCTCATGTTTGTGTGCGTGTAGAACTCATGTAGAGAAACCAGCTGGAATGAGCCTCAAATCCAAAGCAAGACAAAGCTTTCCAGTGGACAAACCCGAGTAACCCTTATAGGAGACACTGGATCAGTATGGGACTACATTAGTAGCATGTCACACAAAGGACAGGCAGTGCAGCTGTAGGATGTAGGATGTAGGATGTAGAATGTAGGAACAGCCACTGGCCACCAAAGAAGCAGGGAGAATAGACCACAGATATAAGACATTCAGGGTGAAGCAGAGCCAAATCAGGACAATCTTGGTTTTCTATTTACCCCGCTGAGTGTGGACTGCCATCGATGGGTATTAAAATGACAGGAAGGAGACAAAGAATTCACCATGACATAAGCAAAAAGAGAGGACATTGTGTTATAATACATAGAGGTATAAATATATTAGCTACGGGTGCACAACTTAAAAACATGCACCTCAAAAAGAAGAGCCAAATTTCTGCCACTTAATATTAAATCATAATGACTGTTACTTAGATTTAAACATACAATGGGTTGTTAATAGAAACACATTGGATATGCATGAAGACAGTTTGATGAAAAGTGGGAAAAGCTGAATTAATGCTGGACCATGTGCTCAAGGATTCACCCCTTCTGTTTGAAAACTCACAAACTCAATACATCACAGTCTCATGTTCAAAAGTCTCTGATGAGTACCACCAAAAACAGGGGAAATACTACTACCCCACTGACAGTCAATGACAGTTCTTTACATACTACAACCTTCAAATCAACAGCCGGCCTTGGACAGACACATAACAGGGCAAGTGTCATGCCCAAAGACAAAACATCAGTGTTTACACAGATCACTGTTCAAACAAGAGGTTTTCAAACCACCAACATCAACCATCAGACCGGAAGACAAGTTTAAGACCCTCAGAGCAAATCATTGACATAGATATAAGGAAACAATCTTGCTCTATCTTTGGCTGTTATCCATTCAGTCACTCTCGCGATCGCTGAGCACAGGGATTGTGTTCAAGTATTCCCCCAGACATGTTTTAGTGGCAAAGGAGAGCAGAGTCCCCAGAGGGAACGTGTACAGGCACGGCAAGAAAATGAAAACTCCCCTGAGAAAAGCTCCACAGAGACGTCCTTATGATGAGGCTGAAGTGTTAACCACTCTCCCAGTGGATCCATAAGTAAAGTGAATCCACATTATTCCCAGCAGGTAACATTATGATCTACTGAAGCCCCGTTTCCACCAGCTCTACTCTACGAGAGCTTTTCCATTACACTTTAGTATCCGGTACTGTGTCCTCGCTACCTATCCACAACAAACCAGTATCCGGGGAAACACCTTGGCAACCATGGCTTCCATCAGCTCTCTGGCCAATCACTATCATTTAGAACACATTAGTAACAGTTTGACTGGATAGAACCACTCCCAATTGGAGTAGAGTATAGTAGAGTAGGGTAGAATAGAGTAGGGTAGAATAGAGCAGGTTAGAGTAGGGTAGGGTGGGGTAGAATAGAGTAGAATAGAGTAGGATAGAGTAGGTAGGGTAGAATAGAATATAGTAGGGTAGGGTAGGGTAGGTATATGGCTGGTGGAAACCGGGCTTAATATTATCGCTGCTCATGTGGTGACGTTACGTCCGGTTAATCCCCGATACAAACATGTGTCCACAGAACACTCATATTACTCATATATTTGCATGGTTCAGCATTAGAACTTTTAACTTAATCTCAAAACAGTATTTTCATTTGTTTAATAAAAGCAGGTTTCACTCACTTGAACCTTCCTCTGTCACCATCCCCAGTCCTTCTGCTTTATTCTGCCTCTCGAAGGCGTTCAGGTCTAGGACACTGCAACACAGTCATCCACATCTGAACATGTGACCAAGATACACACCAAGATACACAGGTTCTAGTGTTATTAAAATATGTTTGTGCGACCTACCTGCATGACTGCATGAGTCCTGAGAGACTCTTGAAAAAGCCAGCGTCTCGCTTTTCTTTCAAATAATCGAGCATTTTCTGAGGAATGGAAAAATAAACACTATCGACATAGCACTAATCTATAGACAAACAATGATACTAAACAACAGACACTGTAGGTCCCTGACACACAGTAAGTAAGTAAGTAAGTAAGTAAGCTTTTATTTATATACCGCCTTTTCACTGCACATCGGAGTCTCAAAGCGGTTTACAATTGTTATTATTTTTTTGGGAGTGGGGGTGCCAGTACAGGAGGCACATGCCATACCTATTGTACATATTTTTAGTGGTAGGGGAAACCGGAGCACCCGGAGGAAACCTACGCAGACACGGGGAGAACATGCAAACTCCACTCAGAAAGGCCCTGGTCCAACCGGGATTTGAACCCAGGACCTTCTTGCTGAGAGGCGAGAGTGCTATCCACTCAGCCACCGTGCCGCCCGCACGGTGCAGGTCCCAGACGCACAGGTGCAGGTCCCTGACACACAGATCCCAGACACACAGGTGCAGGTCCCAGACGCACAGGTGCAGGTCCCTGACACACAGATCCCAGATACACAGGTGCAGGTCCCAGACACACAGGTGCAGGTCCCTGACACACAGGTGCAGGTCCCAGACACACAGGTGCAGGTCCCAGACACACAGGTGCAGGTCCCTGACACACAGGTGCAGGTCCCAAACACACAGGTGCAGGTCCCAGGCACACAGGTGCAGGTCCCTGACACACAGGTGCAGATCCCAGACACACAGGTGCAGATCCCAGACACACAGGTGCAGGTCCCTGACACACAGGTGCAGGTCCCTGACACACAGGTGCAGATCCCAGACACACAGGTGCAGGTCCCAAACACACAGGTGCAGGTCCCAGACACACAGGTGCAGGTCCCTGACACACAGGTGCAGATCCCAGACACTCAGGTGCAGATCCCAGACACACAGGTGCAGGTCCCTGACACACAGGTGCAGGTCCCTGACACACAGGTGCAGATCCCAGACACACAGGTGCAGGTCCCAGACACACAGGTGCAGGTCCCTGACACACAGGTCCCTGACACACAGGTGCAGGTCACAGACACACAGGTGCAGGTCCCTGACACACAGATCCCAGACACACAGGTGCAGGTCACAGACACACAGATCCCAGACACACAGGTGCAGGTCCCTGACACACAGATCCCAGACACACAGGTGCAGGTCCCTGACACACAGATCCCAGAAACACAGGTGCAGGTCACAGACACACAGGTGCAGGTCACAGACACACAGGTGCAGGTCCCTGACAGATGCATCACCTGCTGGACGTGCACGTTGCCGCCATTTAAGATGGCGATCCCCAGTTTGAGGGTGCAGGTCACCATCGGCCCGAGTCGACCTGAGAATAAGGATAGAGTAAATATACTCCATTACTCTAACAGTGACTCAGTGACGTGTGAGTGTTACCTTTACTGGCACTGATCATCTGCAGAACCATCTCTGCGGCTCCACGAGCGTGAAGTCGCGCCTGCTGGTACAGGATCTTCTGCTTCTCCATCTCTTTCTCCTGATGACATTAGAATAACAGAATAATCCATTATCATGTTACAATATCAAATGATCATAACAGAATAATAATATCCATCATATTATCATGTTATTAAAACATGATGTACCGATATTATCATATTATAATAACAGTGCAATAACAGTATAAATCAGCACTTATTTATAAATGTGTAAGGTTAAACTGAGGACAGGGCCGAGCCGTCCGCTCTGTTTACCATTGACCAAATGGAGAGATACAACTTCAAAGGAACCATGGGGTTCAACCACAGGAGCAGATATCCATCATGAGGATTCAAACGCCAGACGGACCCATAAAACAGCGGGATACCCATCTGGGGCCTTTTTCATGTCAACAGAGAATCTGATACGAATCAGCATTGTCACAATGCATTCCACGGACCAAGGGGTCCACCCGCGGCCCTCTGGCGCCCCCCAGTGGGTACTGGACGCCATCACACCCAAGGCGGACACTCAAAGGACATTATTCGATGATATTATGATTGATAACCGTTACGGACCTCACATGTGTGTATCGATGTCAAAGTAATGAAATACGGTGTGTGTTTGTACATGTGTTATGATCATTTGCATCAATCCGATGTGTTTCCTTTGCAAAATGTCTGTTGTGAAGGGGTCTGTCCACAGAGAGGGGAGGCGAGGACACGCCTCCCCTGGGGAAGTCAATATAAGCACCCACAAGCCATTGTACTTTCTCTTGTTTCCCCCGAATTCATCATAACAACTATCCCGTTTGGTACGTGTCCCCTACACGGCCTACGCCCGCCACCATCTCGGGCCTGTACATCCACGAGGACAGCAACCACTCTCGCTGTCGGAGACGAGGACCTTCTATCGCCACTTTCGGGCTCCTTGGACCACCCCACCACAACGCTATTCTAGACCGTGTCGTGTGTGGAACCCACGCCTGGACCCGACCTGCCGGCTCCCTCCTGCTCCCTGTTCGAACAAAGACCACGTGGACGAGACATCGCCTCCATCCTATTCTTCACTCTCATCCTTTCTTCATTCCTCCATCCTCATCTTAACCACCCATCTCCCTCTGAACGGCTTCAAAGTAAGACTGCTCCATGTTAAATGTTCAATTTGAATGAAATGTGTACAGCTCCTACTCAAATGTGACCAGAAATCCCTTTTCGTTATGTTTTATCCCACTTTGTAATCAATAAACCCCTTTTCTTTAACCCAATCCTATCAGAGTCGTGTTGTTAGATCTCGGACTATCCCTGGCAGATAAAACGTATTCTCTACCTTTAGACTAAGATTGATATCGAGGCAAAGATTTGGTTTGGTCTGTGCAATGTGTCCCACACATTGCTGGTGCCAAAATAAATATAAAGCAGACCCACACTACCAAATTTATACTAATAAGTAATTATAATCAGCAATATAAGTAGTTACCCTACATAATGGTACCCTGTTTGTGAGATCCGCGTATATAACCTGATTTATCAACTCGTACTCTGTGAATTGACCGGTTAATACACGCTAACCCTACTGCTGCTACGCTCAAAGCGTTTCCCCCCACTCCCGCACCCCCTCTGCTCCCCTGCCCCGTTGCTATGGTGAATTCGAAAACAATTTGAGCGCCCCCGCGCCCTCGCTAGCGTATAGCGCCCCCGTGCATGCACCAGACTATTAATTTAGTCTCAAAATCCTGGCTTTTGCACAGGTACTACACATCTCCTGCAACGTGTCGCCCCGCTTGGCCAGCGGGCAGCGTGGAATGTGAAGCCGCTTAAACTCTTAAGAGAAAGCGCAAAATCTTATTCTTATAACTCCACTGTACACCGTGTCCAGAACACGGGCGTACGGATCTACTCTGTGTCCCTTTGTGACCCAAGTCACACAGGATTTTAACCGAGTATATCTGTGTAAAAGGCTGTAAATGGCAGCTGTGTGAATGTGATGCTATTATTCTGCTAAAGGTGGCTAACGCTAACTCTGTCTCACCACTTTCTCCTGCTACTCTGCTGTTGGACATACACACACCAAGACTGTACTGCACAATACAGACAAACACCATCCCACCACTGTGATTACGTGCTTGTGCGAACTGTATAACTCGCTCCAGACTTTCGTATATAAACTACTGCTAAAACGTGCCACGCTCGAAAGCTAATGGCTAGCTACCCTCCTTTGTTCTAGCATAAGGCTAACTTCCGCCCGGGCCCCGCTAGCCTCAAAGCTAACTCTGACAACGCCGTTGCTCCTACTACTGCTCCCACTATAAGCTGCTTCTCTACCGTTAAAACTAGTGCCACTCTGTTTAACCGAACTGCATTCGGTCACCAAAACTCATTGTTTATTGCCTAAACTGCTGCCAAAATGTCCCGTTGCCGGCAAGCTACATGCTAGCTACGCTCCTTTGTTTTTAGCATACGGCTAACTTCCGGCCCTGGCGCGCTAAAAGCCAGAGCCGCATCCCCACTGCTAATACCATTCTGCTGCATTGTCTACCTGCTGTCTAACAATAACACTACTTACTATACTTCGTACTATCCTATCCCACTCTGATTCTGTGTTCTGACGATCATAAGGCGCCAGCCGTCTCGGCATACCGCCAAACGGGCGCACCTCTTTTATTGTCTAACACAAAATTGCTTTCCGGTCCCGGCACTACTTCCGGGACCAACATTGCTGCTGTCTTGACACTTCATTCTGGCACCACGTCTTTAATCATCTGTGAATGTGGCTCTAACGTGAAACGGCTTTGCTATACCTCCGTGCTGTTTTGTTACACCAACTCAATAACCACATTACTGCCACACATTGGTAAAGCTAACACTCTATTTCTGTTTCTCCTCTTTAACGTCATTGCTACACTACATTACTGCGTTAGCCAAGTTTAATGCTGTAAACTCTGCTCCTTCTACTGCATGTCGCGGGTGAAACGCATTCTATGCTTTATTCCTGCTCACTCACTACTGCTAGTTTACGGTAACACATCTGTGTGGTGATTTAACAAATACTGCACTCCCACACACACCCCCCCCCCCCCCTACCACTGATAATACGCATTATTGTAGTGACCAATCCTATGCCGTGTTGCTGCTTCACGGGTTTCTGCTGCATATCACCTTTGTTTTAAGTTAGACCACATTACTGCTATACATGAACAGAGGCTAACACTCTGTTTCTGCTTCTCCTCTTAAACATAATTGTTAGGCTACATTACTGCGTTAGCCAAAGTTTCATACTGTAACTCTGCTACTTCTAGCGCATGTTGCTATTAGAACACGTTACTGCTATACATGACAAAAGCTAACACTCTGTTTCTGCTTCTCCTCTTAAACATAATTGTTAGGCTACATTACTGCGTTGGCCAAGTTTCATGCTGTAACTCTGCTCCTTCTAGCGCATGCTGCTATTAGAACACATTACTGCTGTACATAACAAAAGCTAATAATCTGGTTCTGCCTCTGTTACTGCACGTTATGAATAACACATTACCGTGGTAACTAATCCTATTCTGTACTTCTGCTCCTGCATGATGCGCGTTATTCTTGAACCACACCGGTGTGTGATCTGACAGATACTGCACTCCCACCCCCTTGTACTACATCAAAACTAATACTCTATTTCTAACCCTCACTGTCACTAAAACTGCATTACCTTGCCTCAGCCTGCTGCCTTTTTGCTACTGCTTACTTGAGCTGCGTCTAAAGCTACGCCGCGGCCCAAAACGCAAGTGCGTACCAAACGCAAGTGCGTACCAAACGCAAGTGCGTACCAAACGCAAGTGCGTACCAAACGCAAGTGCGTCCAAAACGCAAGTGCGTCCGAAACGCGCAAGTGCGTACCAAAAACGCAAGTGCGACACAATCGCAAGTGCGACACCAAACGCAAGTGCGACACCAAACGCAAGTGCGACACCAAACGCAAGTGCGACACCAAACGCAAGTGCGACACCAAACGCAAGTGCGAGACAAACGCAAGTGCGAGACAAACGCAAGTGCGAGACAAACGCAAGTGCGACACATACGCAAGTGCGACACATACGCAAGTGCGACACATACGCAAGTGCGACACATACGCAAGTGCGACACATACGCAAGTGCGACACATACGCAAGTGCGTCCCATACGCAAGTGCGACACATACGCAAGTGCGTCCCATACGCAAGTGCGTCCCATACGCAAGTGCGTCCCATACGCAAGTGCGCCCCATACGCAAGTGCGTCTCCCACGCAGGTGCATCTCACGCTGCATCTCCTACGCCGCGTCCCTCACGCTGCGCCTTACGCAGCGTCTAACGCTGCGTCCCTTAGGCCGCGCCCCTCACGCTGCGTCTTACGCCGCGTCTAACGCTGCGTCCCTTAGGCCGCGCCCCTCACGCTGCGTCTCTTACGCCGCGCCCCTAATACTGCTACTACAGCTGGCGCCACTGCTAAACCTACGTGCGCCACCGCCACTAACCCCAACGCTCTTCGCTGACACACAGGTGAAGAAGTACTAACGCCCGGCCCCTGTCCTAGGCCGCCCACTCGCATACACCGCCACACGGAGAGGACGCTGTAGTCACGGCTTTGACACACACCAAGGTTCGCACCACCGCACGAACTACAGCTGTACTACCCGCTCTATAGCACTGCTTTCCTCCTTTCATCCTCCCACTGTGTCATGCACACACGTTCCAAATCATACTCGCATACACTCACCCACACAAATATGGAAACCGATGGCGGAAACTCGCCACGACCGAGCGAGCACAACAGTGTCATGGAGGAACACGACGTAGTGGATAACTTTCTGCGCGACTTCACAGAGAAGTTATCCCCAGGATCCTACGACATGCTTGAGCACGGCTCACCCTCTGACTTACTAGATGCCACCTCCACATTGGCATCCGAGGCTATTACGAAGAAACTTGAAGGTAAGACCCTGACCCAGTGGCTGGGACAGCTAGCCACGGTCTCCAGAATAACCTTACGCGACTCCGAAGCCCAGAACCAAAGGCTTCAAGACACGGTAGGTGAACTGGAACGGCAACTAGCGGAAGCTAAGAGGTCCGCCGCGAGCCGCTTGGAACCAATCCAACAGGTAAGTAGGAACCACCAACCGGGACTGAACACGATCCCAAACGCGACCATGGATCTAGATCGCGCAGCGAGAATCGGGGCCGCTACTTCAAACGAAGCCGGCCGATACTGTGCCTCCGACCCACACTCCCCTCACTCCGACCGCGGCGGACCATCGTCCGAGAGTGAACGCAGGAGCGTGGCCGAACTGGTAAGTATCATCACAGGAAAGGACCAGAATCAAGGTCAAAGGCACGATATACAACCCAACAGCAACAATCGGAACAGGCCCCAGCGGTCCGTCGACGACGGACTCGACCACGTTGCGCGCGACCCCAACCATACAACGGGACCGCCCGCAACTACAGCCAACCCTCAACACTACATTAGACACATCGACCACTTTGACCCCAGACTCGACCCACCGACGAGCCAGGCAACGTACCACGTGACAGACCGCTCACGGGTCCCCGGGGACCCCTCCGCCTATGAGAGACAACCCCCGGCCGGACCCGCCGCAGCACACCGGCACGTTAAACACGAAACGCATGGCCACCAGACCCATACACACGGACTGACCATGGACCGCGGCGAACAACGGCCAACAGCCCGCCATTGGGGCGGTGGAGACCACCTCAACCAGGGACGGGACTCCCACGTCGCCCCCCCGGGAACACACATGGACATGCGACGCAGCCAACATGACTACCCGACCCATGACTCTGACCCACCTGACGTCCATACGAGACATGTTTCAGGACTACCGCCATTGGGACGAAAGGGCCCGCCCTGAACATGGCGGACAACCCTACAACGACCCCCCTGGCCCACATCAGTACATGCTACATGGACCACACGACATACGGTACCCTGAGCCTGGGCCGCCCGCATATGCTGCGGCACAACGACCAGTGACCCGCCATGGGAACGCCGGGGACCTCCCCAATCATGGAGGACAACCCCACAGCACCCCCCCGGACGCACGCCAGGACTTGACCCCGGGACAACGGTACTACCCGGACTATAGAGGGCGCGACGCCCGTTACGCGCCCCCGATGGGTCGAGACCCGCTCGGGCCATCCGACCGCGACTTCGACCGCATAGCTAGACACATAACCCGCTTTGACCCCCGGCCCGGCATGCCTACAAACACCCGATCATACCTCCGCGTCGTCGACTTCCACGCCGACCGCATACCACACGCGTCTCAAGATGACAAAATATACTTGATTAGACTCACGTCCAACGGAGAGGTGAATGACTTCATCGAAAGGCAACCAAGGGCTATAAAACATGACTACAACGAGCTCTGCAAAGCCATCCTAGCAGAATACTCAGACTACGGCGCCTCCGGGACCCTCACGGCAGCCATGGCAGTCAAACAAGCTCACAACGAGCTTGCGGAATGCTACTACCACAGGTTGCGACAGGCCTTCTTCGGCAACCGAAACTACGAAGGGATGGAGGAAGACACGAATTTCAGGGCCCTGTACCTCCAAAACCTCCACCCCAACCTTAGCCAGCTACTGGGCGTGTACGCCTGCCCCCTTACACAGGACATACGGCAACTGAAGACCCTGGTGGCACGAGCACAAGGCAAACATCTGCTCAAGACACAGGCGAAGCCGCAAACCCAACCTACAGTGTACAGTGTGGAAAACCACATGGAACTTGAGGGCGCACCAACGGCCCGAAAACACAAATGGGGAACCAACCACGGACCCCAAAGGAATAACCAGACACACGTGGACCCGAAGAACAAATCCCAGACCGACAGGACAGACCACGCGCCACAACGGCCCCACCAAGACCGCACCGCTACAACCATTAATAAAGACAACCTTTCTAGGGAGGAACAATCCCTCCTCCGCACGCTCCTGCGCAAAGCCAGAGAGAAGAAGACAGACAACGCCGACGTGTTCGCAGTGTCCGTGTCGGATGACGCCGAGAATGCTCCCCACCACATGGACGACTGCCTCAGCGAACAGGAGCTAAATGATGACTACTCAAGCGCACAAACGGTGGACATCTGCTACGACCAGAGGGATGTCATGGTAATACAGGTAAACTCCATCACGGACCCACGAGAGGACGGCCCCCTCAACAACCAACCGCGAACCACCGTTCCGCCAATTCATTGGCGATCTACAACAAAGAGGTACCTACGGGAAACTCTACCTGCCCGTAACACTCGAAGACCATTGGGAACACGAGGCGCTCGTGGACACAGCTGCCGATATCAGCCTGATTGGCGAAAACCTCTTCGGTAAGTTACAGTCTATGGCCAGTAAATCCCACAGACACCTAAAAACGCAGCCATGCGACTTAGAAATACACCCCTATTCCCAGGTGGATACGACCATACGTAAAATGGCCCTAATGCGACTGACCGTGGGCCCCATGACACTGGTCCACCCGGTCTACATCTCCCCATTCAACACGCATCCGCTCCTATTGGGCCAGGACCTTCTAAATCGATTTAAGCCCCTAATAGACTACCAACATCTAAAGATCTGGACACAGGTCCGGGAGCCCTTGCCCATTCCGCGCCCGTTGGGCGAAAACCACCGCTACTCCGTAAACGCGCCGCCCGCGAACGGCCCACAACCCGCCGCAGCACAAACCGATCAGGGGACGCCCACAACCTGCGCGAACGCCACGCGCACGGCCCCCGACCTCGACAGGTCGGACTTAGCCTCCCTCCGACATGCGGACCCCACACTGGAACGCCCCCCCACCGCCATGGTCGCCACGACGCTTAGAATCTCCGGCCGTGATGAAGACACACTGCCGATACGACATGGGCTGTTAGGTTCTGCTTCCGATACACTCACTTCGTCGGTGCTCGTGGTGCCTCGAAGCATGAGGGGGGTAATGTTGGCACACGCCCATGACGCACCTACCACGGAACAAACAGGTATAAACAACACACGTCAGGCACTACAACAGGTAGAAAGGACGGACCGGACGGAGACCGAAATACTAAGGTACGTATCCCCAAACCGGAGTGACGAGAACGTGAAACTCCCCCGGCTCCTGAGGACAAACCAATACAGGACCGACCCGCAGGACCACCTCCAGGTCAAAAACCAGGTATGGTATTACACCTTGGCACATTCCCCAGGACACGTGGGAACCGGCCCCACCAGACTACGCCGGAAACCGCGACCCCGCTGGTCAAGACCATACAGGGTGGGAAACAAACTCTCAACCGCAGTGCACCAAATCGAGGTCACAAAAGGTAGAGAGCCCACCCTCAGATGGGCCCGTTACAGCCAAACCAAACCACACAAACAAAGCCCCATGGGACAAGCAGGGCACACTTCAAACCCCAGTTAGGAACACACCACGTGACCTCAAACACGATTAGCCCAGCACTCACTAACACTCTTCTCGGCTGCACTAATCGACTCTCTCTTTCTTTGTCTCTGTCTAACCCCTAACAGTTGTTTCACGCCTTGCAGAACATGTGGCCCACTTTCCTTCTCGTGCTGACCTGCATACTGGGCCTCGGCACCCCAGAAATTATTGAGACCGGACCAGCCTCCGGGATTGTTTTAAAAGAACAACCCGGGCTCCTCATCACGGACGTCCGACTCCACACACAGCGAATCTTTGTCAGACTCAATCCTAGTGAAGTCTGCCGCAAGAACCTGCCCTTGAAGGTCACACTCAAAGATTGGGCAGGTGCACGCTGGACCCAGACGGTCGTGGAGCACGCTGAGGCAGACATACAACACATGCTGACGCAACTAGAGAAGTTCACGATCACTAGGACAGAGCTCAGCGACCCTCGCCCCAGACCCAAACGATTTATTGGGGCTCTCCTCGGCGCGGCGTCCGCCCTGGGCACCCTCTTTAGCTTAGGGATGTCCACGGTAAACGCCATCAGCCTATCCTCCCTCAGACGCCACCAACAGGAAATGGCCTCTGAGCTCGAGGATGTCAAAACCAGACTTGACCAACAACAGAACGACGTGGTAACCTTGGGAAAATCCCTGAAAGGAACCATGCTAGTACTTAACACGCACGAGGTTGCGATTAAACGTACCTCCGCTGCGGTCAACCAACTCTTAGACGTCCTCCAACTAGACTACGCCCATACTCTGCTGACCACACAGCTGATGGAGGACATGTTACGTCACCTCAGCTCCTCCATCGAAAACCTAGCCATGGGCCGTATCCCGCCATACCTCGTGCCGCTATCGCTAGTTGAGGACATCCTAGCCGTAGCCACACGGGACGCTGTAACACCCATGCAAGCCCACTTAGCGTACACGCTGGGCGCTGCAGTCCCCATCTATGTTAATCCTCTAGACCGCGAGGTAGCCTTCCTAGTCACCTTACCGATAGTTCCCGGCGACAAAATCTACCGACTGAAAGGGATCACTAACCTAGGGACCTGGAGGGACAATGCCCACGTCAGAGTCCACACGCCAGACATAGTAGCCTACCACGACAGCAACCCCAATTTGTACCTAACGCCAAATCTAAGGATGTGCACTCTCACTAAGGACATCCATTACCTCTGCCCCAGCAAACCTTTCGTCAGGGACAGTACAGATGGCATCTGCGGCCTGAGGCCCATGACTCCAGGGAGTCGATGCCCCGCGACGGTCACCTCTCGGAAGCAAATAACCGAAACCAGAGCAGAGATTGTAGGGGCACGATGGCTAGTGAACACTCCCCTTAGAACGGCGACCCTGACCTATGACAAACATGACACCTCGTCCCGGGTAAGTCTCCCGGACGAAACCTTCTGGGTCAACGTCCCAACCGACGCTATCCTGCACATAGGCGACCTGGCACTATACCACCTGTACCCAAACCAGTACGAGGCAGAGATCGAGGTACCAGAGTTCTTCGAGAAAAGGGCTCTGGAACTCCAACCCTCCACCCTAGTCCAAGCCACCTACGAGGGGGCACAAACCGTGGACGTTGCGGTCGTAGACAACCTCCTTCAAGAGATTGCCAAGCGACCGACCATCCACCACCAACCAGTGGCCTACTCCTGGTCTGCCCCCGATACAGTCGTAGCCATCGCGGTAGGAATCGGGTACGGCCTGGCCATAGCCACGGTCTTCGTCCTAAATAGACGGGTTAGGCGACTCCGCGATAGCTTTAACAGATGCGCGGAGGCAATGACGAGACAGATCCGTAAACGACCAAACCGGGGCGACAGCGCCGTCGAGCGTGGCAATTTAAGTCGGCGTCCCCAGGTCAACGAGTCAGAGTACGAGGACCTCCAAAGTCACCCACTCGAGACGGTCACTCTTTCTATCACGGAAGGTGAACCAAGGGCCTAAAACCCCACTAAGAGTCACCAGCTCAGACCCAACCAAACTACCTCGATACCTAATCAGTCTCTTAGACAATCATACCTGTCATCCCCGTTTATATACAGGAAATGTCCCTTGTAATTAAAGCCCCACTTGCTACGTCATATATTCGTGTAACCCTTACACTCCCCTTTTAGAACGAGCAAGATGGGAACCCCTCACCATCGAGTGCCTTAATGACGCTCCTACCCGCTGCCAAGGCAGCCACCCTTTTTTTGGATTTTTAAAGTTTCCTATTTTTGTATCCTAGTCCCCTAGAGTAGAAACTCCTGCCACTCTCTTGGTTTGGAACTTTGAGTCTTCCAGACCAAGAGACCCAGGAGTCAGGCACACCGGCCCAAACCTTAGAGTTCACGGCCGGAGCTCACTCCCCAAACCCCTGATCCCGGTTAGAACTAGCCTGTAGGGCCAGGACTCGCCTTAGAGAAAACCCGGCCTCGACAAACCAAGCCAGAGGCCCGAGACCCAACCGCTACGAGCCTGGCCCCAGTTAGGCGCTTGCTAGCTACTGAGTCACATTGAGACGGGAATGTTGTAACATGTCACCACAAATTGTACACTAACACCCGAACAGGCGAGACGACCGACTGAGGACAACCCCACAGCATATCCGACATGACATGCACCATGTCGGAAGGTGCATCTCTGCCGTGCGGGGGGTATGTAAGGTTAAACTGAGGACAGGGCCGAGCCGTCCGCTCTGTTTACCATTGACCAAATGGAGAGATACAACTTCAAAGGAACCATGGGGTTCAACCACAGGAGCAGATATCCATCATGAGGATTCAAACGCCAGACGGACCCATAAAACAGCGGGATACCCATCTGGGGCCTTTTTCATGTCAACAGAGAATCTGATACGAATCAGCATTGTCACAATGCATTCCACGGACCAAGGGGTCCACCCGCGGCCCTCTGGCGCCCCCCAGTGGGTACTGGACGCCATCACACCCAAGGCGGACACTCAAAGGACATTATTCGATGATATTATGATTGATAACCGTTACGGACCTCACATGTGTGTATCGATGTCAAAGTAATGAAATACGGTGTGTGTTTGTACATGTGTTATGATCATTTGCATCAATCCGATGTGTTTCCTTTGCAAAATGTCTGTTGTGAAGGGGTCTGTCCACAGAGAGGGGAGGCATGGACACGCCTCCCCTGGGGAAGTCAATATAAGCACCCACAAGCCATTGTACTTTCTCTTGTTTCCCCCGAATTCATCATAACAACTATCCCGTTTGGTACGTGTCCCCTACACGGCCTACGCCCGCCACCATCTCGGGCCTGTACATCCACGAGGACAGCAACCACTCTCGCTGTCGGAGACGAGGACCTTCTATCGCCACTTTCGGGCTCCTTGGACCACCCCACCACAACGCTATTCTAGACCGTGTCGTGTGTGGAACCCACGCCTGGACCCGACCTGCCGGCTCCCTCCTGCTCCCTGTTCGAACAAAGACCACGTGGACGAGACATCGCCTCCATCCTATTCTTCACTCTCATCCTTTCTTCATTCCTCCATCCTCATCTTAACCACCCATCTCCCTCTGAACGGCTTCAAAGTAAGACTGCTCCATGTTAAATGTTCAATTTGAATGAAATGTGTACAGCTCCTACTCAAATGTGACCAGAAATCCCTTTTCGTTATGTTTTATCCCACTTTGTAATCAATAAACCCCTTTTCTTTAACCCAATCCTATCAGAGTCTTGTTGTTAGATCTCGGACTATCCCTGGCAGATAAAACGTATTCTCTACCTTTAGACTAAGATTGATATCGAGGCAAAGATTTGGTTTGGTCTGTGCAATGTGTCCCACACATTGCTGGTGCCAAAATAAATATAAAGCAGACCCACACTACCAAATTTATACTAATAAGTAATTATAATCAGCAATATAAGTAGTTACCCTACAAATGTATTGATGCTGCACAAAATCAAACCTCAAACGTCTTTTCTTTTCCTTCTTCCTCCTCCTCCTCTTCGTCCTCTGCACAGCTCTACAAAACAATAACTTTTAGACTGGAGGTTTGTATTGAAAGAACTAATGCTGGTTTAGTACCTTTGCCATCATGTCTGCGTATGCAATATACAAAGGGTCTTCTTCCAAATGACTGAAAAGTGTGCAGTAGTTCAGTGCTTCAGTATAAACCTACATATATATATGTAGAGTATAAATGTGTATGTTTTGTTTGTCTGCTCACCTTCTCTCTGTCAGAGCGTTGTGGCTGAAGTGGAGGATGAGCTGCTGGAGAGGATCAGGCTGATCCTCAGCCTCAGCTTCTTCCTCCTCCTCCACCATCTTCATCCGGGTTTTCTGCAGATCAAACAGACTGTTTAAACACACATAACGATACAAAGGGTAATAAAAAAGTGTTAATTGATTGAAATCATGTAAATAAAACATGAAGTTACAGTATGAACACTCATTGATGCACATGCGTTTGAGATCACAGACGTGCTGTTACACGTGAGAATGGCTGAACATGAACAATGTCTGTGGACTCAACAGATTTATCTCCTGAATGTTACATTCTCTTTTGACCTTTGACCCCATGTGTGACATGGATCCTTTGAGCTGAACGTGTTCAGTGCAAACATGCCGCATCACGAAAGACTCTAAACTAAAGTGAACATACGACTGTTGGATCCATGAGGCACACAGCTGCTCTGCTGAGTGACCGCTGTCCCTGAGGCATGCAGTCTGTGGCCCCTGACAGACCGAGACCGTGTGGTGGCTCTGCTACAGCTCTGTAGCCCACTCTCCCTCTCTCCCACAAGGACACGCCCCAGCTCAGCGGGCATGAAAGCATTCAGCAGACAGACTGCAGAGGGGCCGATGCAGGTCACACAGGTACTTACTGCCAAATCCTGAACTAGTTTCTCCTCAAAGGAGTACTCCTCTGTCTCTATCCAAAGTCTCTGATAGGCCGGGATGAAGAAGTTGATAGCACGATGCCTGGGGAGGGGGACATGAGGGAATGGGGAGTGAATGAAGAGGATGGGGAGGTAGAGTGAGGTTAAGGAGAGTCCTGGTGAAGAAGAGATGTGAGGGAGGGGTTACACGAGGGCGTGAAGCAGGAGGTGACAGCTCAATGTGGAGGCAACTGACCCTTCTGACTGGTCAATACAGTTTTGGTTAAGATTAACACTCACACTACACTATGTAGGAAAAATAACCAAACAAGCAAGTATATTACATTCAATATAAAACATTTTGAAGCCGATGGATCAGAATCAACAGTCAGTGGGCAGACCCTGTTCCCGGTGATGAGGAGGGGTTTGAGAATGCATTCGACTCGTGGCTTCACTTTACCGTGAGCAGAGAGAACAGGCGGTCAAAGCTGGAGGCTTTGAACGCCCTTTCCAGCCAAACCACCCGATAGCCATTCAGGAAGTAATTATTAATTTTGTATCTGAGGAAGGATGAGGAGGTGATATGTACAAACAACACAGAAGAAAGTGTTATTAAACATCGAGACACAAGAAAACACATGTTCTTGGCAGAAGTATGTTTCTGTTAGACATTAGTTTCTTGAGGGCAACACATTACTGAGGAGAAGAAGATATTACTCACCGTGGGAGGTTGTACAGCGGCGCCATCCGGAAACACGCCACCACTGCACGTTTGCGTTGTTTGGACAACAGCTTGTGCCAGACACACTTCTTATTTCGTAACGGCTGCTCCACCTGGAGAATCAAACACAGCCATGGATGGATGGATGGAAAACATAGATTCGCGCTGTAGGATGTGTTGCTAACGCCACTGAAGAGATAACCACATAAGGAAATTGGCTCCAGCTATCCTCTAGTCAGCTTCCTCTTCAGCTTCTTCAGCATTTATGTCAACACTTTGTTGATGTCACACTCAGTCAGTGTACTCATAATATACGCTATGGTCTCTCTCTGGTCTCTCTCTGGTCTCTCTCTGGTCTCTCTCTGGTCTCTCTCTGGTCTCTCTCTGGTCTCTCTCTGGTCTCTCTCTGGTCGCTCTCTGGTCGCTCTCTGGTCGCTCTCTGGTCGCTCTCTGGTCGCTCTCTGGTCGCTCTCTGGTCTCTCTCTGGTCTCTCTCTGGTCTCTCTCTCGTCGCTCTCTGGTCGCTCTCTGGTCGCTCTCTGGTCGCTCTCTGGTCGCTCTCTGGTCTCAGTCTGGTCTCTCTCTGGCCATTCTATGGCCTCTCTCTCTGGTTTCTCTCTGGTCTCTCTCTATAAGTGACAGTACCTGCTCCAGATGGAACACAGCAGCAGAGATGCTTTGCACGCGGTCCACAGTCTGCTCTGAGTTCGCTGGTTCATCGCTCTTCACCACGTCTTTGTACAGGTTCAGCTGCCACTGGACCGCCGGGTCTTCAGACTGAACCAAACACAAAAATCACCAGTTTTCTTCAACTATTTTCAATGTATTTACATTTCTTACGGAGGAAACATTTACCTTGACCTGGAGATGAAGATTCTGACGCAGCTGGTCTTTCACCTCGTCGTCAGTATCTTTCTATGACAAAAAACAAGGACATGACAAAGAGCATACTGACCAGCAGGGGGCAGGATGCCACCGCCGATCAAAAAAAATACAAACTCATTGCTGTTGCTATTTAAACCTTCTTGAGAGTTCAGGAGAGTGTTTATCCAAAATTATTCACGTGTAACAGATAAAAGATGAAGCCTGAAAAGTTATCTCTATAGTCTCTCTCTTTCTGCTTTCTCTGCGCTCTCTCACTTGTTTCTCTCTTGTCTCTCTCTGTTCCCTCTCTGGTCTCTCTCTCTAGTCTCTCTTTCTGGTCCTTGACTCACCAGACTGTAGCGTGACTTTGCGAATGAGATGAGTTCCTGGTCTCCTGGGGTGCAGAGGTTTAAACCGATCGGGAGCATCTTCTTCAGAGCCGCCACGATGAGTGACGTCTGTATGGTGTAGTACTCCCCTCGTCTCCGCTTGTGTTTCCTCTCCTGGTCCCCACCTGACTGTATCAGAGCAATTATCAACCAACAGGTTCATGCGACACCACAACATTCCAAGGACCCTATAGTTAAACATTGTGGTGGAGGGCATCTGACCTGGTAACCATGGTAACTGTAAAAAAGCAAGCTTGTAGTTTTGAGCTAATTTCTCTGTAACTCAGGAGCCAATCCACATGAAAAAAACTGTCAACAATATGTTTTTCTTTGTCCGCACATAATTTGTGCTCTCTCTGGTCTCTTTCTCTGATCCCTCTCGGGTTTCTCTCCTATCTCTCTTTGGTGTCTTTCTCTCTGTGGTCTCTCTTTCTGGTGTCACTCGCTGATCTCTCTCTCTCTCTCTCTTTCTGGGCTCTCTCTCTTTTCTCTTTCTGGGATCTCTCTCTGGTGTCTCGCTCTGTGGTCTCGCTCTGTGGTCTCGCTCTGTGGTCTCTCTCTGTGGTCTCTCTCTTTTGGATTTCTCTTTGGTCTTACTCGCAGGCCTCTCTCTGTGGTATATCTTTCTGCTCTCTATCTTTCTAGTCCAGCAGATAGAATTGGAGTACCTTTGACATCTTAGCTTTGCCTTCTCCGGTGAGGAATCCCAAGTTGTTGATCTCGTTTTGCACCACAAAGTTCTGCTCTTCCCGCTTGAAGTTCTGTTTTCAGACAAATGTTTGAGAACATAACAGGAGACACCAAAATGAAAACCAATTAAAGCGTACATTCGACTTGCACCAAAGGATGAAGATCTCCGCAACCATCTGGAAAAGCTCAGTGGAGCTTTCATCTGGTTCTTTCAGCCACTGAGACCTGAAGGAAAGAGGTAAGTGAAAATAACATTTACTAAATAAATACAGTGGTTCATGGTTCATCACGGGGAGAAATTAGGTAAAAATAACCCACAACAAGCAAAATGTTGTAAGGCTGTAAAACCCCTCACTCACGCTTTATACGCTTTTCTAACCTCGTGAACTCACGACTGCTGAAGTGTGAACGCAGAGACATCAAACCTGTTGGTTGCAGGTCTGAGCGCTGCTGTAGCTGTTAAAAGTCATGCATATGCTGTAAAATACAGCTGCAGAGTAAACCGCGCTGAGGAGTAGGAGCAGGACCAAGGACTATGGGGAGACCAGAGAGAGAGAAGAAAGACAGATCAGAGAGAGAGAGAACCGAGAAAGAGAGAACAGAGAGAGAGACCAGAAAGATGGAACAGCGAGAGATTGCGCTGAGAGGCAAGACTGTGGGCTACAGGAAGACCACAATAGTCCTCTGAACTAATCACGCCGGGACACAAAAGCCACAAATAAATGTATCTGTCATGTCATACTTGTGGTTATACAATATTGTATATGAGTATTAAAAAAATCTTTTTTTTAAACAGCGAGGTTGCGCAAGTGAGTGAGGGACCACTGGTTCTCCTTTACCTGCTGTTGTCCACATAACGGATGAGCATGGGGTAGAACGCGTACAGGTCTCTGCAGAGGACCGCAAACTCGTCCAGAATGAGCAGCTCAGCCTCCTGGTTGTCTCCTTTGCTATCGGCCTTCAACAGCTCCTCTTCAGCGGCAACCTTGAGATAAACATACAGTATATTCATATACAGTATACTCTTTTCAGTACTCTATCTTTCTCCAATGTCCACTCAGTGGTCCTCAAACTTGCCCAAACAGCTCTTTATCCTGTTATCAGAGAACGAAGATAATTCTCCGCTGTTTAGTAAAGGACTCTCTCTTTCTCTCTCTCAATTTTACTACTTCTAATCAATGTGTATCTCAGTGCGGGGAGCAACTTTCTGGACGAAACTGACTTAAAAAACATGTTCAAACTGGTTACAAAATAAAAACTAGAATTAAAAAAATAATGACGGAATATGTGGAGGAAAGAGTGATGTCCACAGCACAAATCTATCATTTCTACAGTCATAATGAAAAGGCAACAACATCCAATAAAATTATTCTAATTTTAACTCAATGGCAATTTGAGAAACAATGATCCAAAACATCTGTTGTTTCATAATGACCTTTATCGTCTTCTTCCGGAGTTTGTCCACAGTCGGCAGAAAATGACTGCGGAGAAGGTCAGCTCCAGATTTACAGATGATCGGCTGTGAATAAACTGTGACAAACATAGAAGCTCTGAGTGTGAAATCGCAATGACAAGGATTACAATATATATGAATAATATATATATATATATATATATATATATATATATTACTTATATTATTATATGTATATTATATAATATACTAATATTATCTTCATATTTTCTAATTAAAACGTCAATGTCACCTGCGATTCTCTTCATCCAGGGAGCATCCTCGGTGCCCAGGTTGTTGTTGAGGATGCGGAGGATGTTCCCCATGATGATGCTGAGGTGGTCAGAGGTCACCACTGTGCAGCAGTTGGAGTCTGCAGGACAGTTCTCTGGGCCTCTCTCCCACCAGTACGAGAGGTAATTACAAAGCATGGGCAGGATCACCTCAATGACCTACAGAGGAAAGCTTACATTTACTGATAAAACAAAGATAAAGTTGTTCGAGAGGGACAGGAAGAAGCTGGGTAGGGTCATCAGGAAGTCCAGCTCTGTCCCCTGGACACAGAGCAGCAGTAGTTGGTCTTGGACAAACTAACATCTATTCTGGACCATGACTGTCACCCCCTGCAGGACACTCTGTTTGCTTTGCAGACTGATCCACCCTCGCCGTGTGTCCTGCTGCTAAAGAGCAATATGAACCATGTTTAAATGTGAAACCTCCTGACTTCAGACTACAGTGTGTCCTCTACAAGTGACTTATGACCCCAGTGCAATAAGAGTCCCAGAGTTTATTACCTGCTTATTTTCAATAATCTTAAATACCAATCTTTTATGATGTGTGTATCCTGAGAGCTCTTATTTCTCCTGTAATGACACTGACATTGATCTTATCTGATGTAAATGCGGCCGTTCTTCACCTGCGGCATGTCGCTGTAGCGTGCGCCGGACTCAGAGATGTCGTTCACATCCTTCAGCAGTTTGTCAAGAGTCGGCATTTCAGGACACATCTCATCCACCGTGTCGGGCATGCTGAGGACTGCACACAGAGTCAGGGGGTCACAGAGGTACAGCTGCAGCAGAACCTCGCCGTGTGAAGGAGAGGTTCTGCAGGTCCTTCCTTCCTGCTGCCTTCAGACTGTGCAATGAGAACTGCTGAGCCTGGACATGTGTCATATTCTCTGCTGCTACAGTACAATATTAAACATATGTAAATGTGAAACCTCATGTCTTTTGCTCACTACAGTGTGCACTCCACAAGTGACTTGTCTTTCACATATATCTCCGGAGTTAATCATTTCATTATGTTAATAACTATTAAATAATAGATCCTGTTTGATGTGTGCATAATATGACTGCTCTTATTTCCCCTTCTATTCTGCTGTAACGTGCACAACCATGACATTGAAATTTCTCCACTGAGGGGATGAATAAAGGTTAATCTTATCTTATCTCAGATAGTTGAATCAGAAACTTACTGGCCCGCTCTCGGGGAGTCTTGGTGTTGAACACGGACAGTGGGTTGTACGCGTTCAGAGGAGGTTCTAAAAAGGCGACAGGTAGAGCTCCCACGAGGGTTGCCAGGCATTCTCCAAGAGCAGGCAGATGTCTGAGTCCAAGGACAAAGTACACTTTAGTTTAGTTTACTTTAGTCCCCTTAAGCCACTGAGGTGCAATTACAAACCATATACAAAAAATAATACAAGTACCAAAAACAAACAAAAATATATGTATATATATACATATACAAAAAAACATATTGTGTAAATTTGTATTAAAAAAAAGGCAGAATGTACAATGAATGTTCTGTGTGAGTTTAACACTTATCAAACCAAGGGAATCCCCCACCGTTCCATGAAGATGTTTTTTCCTGTTCCCAGAGAGTACAGACACGTGAGGATGCGATAACAAGACAACTGCACATCATTCACTGAAAACATAACATACACAATTACTCAGAAAACTGCGTTAACACCAGCAGTCAGTTTTATGCCATGTACATTTCTCCATTGTGAGATCAATAAAGTTCATCTTATCTTTATAACAATAAACTGGAATGGTCCCATAACACTAACGCTCTGTTCAAGAAGGACCAAAGCCACCTCCACCTTCTGAGGAGGCTGTGGTCCTTCGGAGTGAGCAGGCCTCTGCTCAGGGCCCCTGGCAGCACTGAGCGAGGAGGTGAGGGACAGGAGGGTGCTAGTCAAAGTTACCTCCATCATGGACAACACCTCCCACTGCACAGGACTGTAGAGGAGCTCCTTCAGTCGAAGACAGAGGCACCCTCAGTGTAAGAAGGATAAAGGGCCTTTATCCCCACCGCTGTCAGACTGTACAATAAGTCACTTTAAGTCACTAATGCACTAGGGCTAGGGCTGCACGATATTGGAAATTAGAGCAATATTCGATATGAGTATTTACTATTATTGCGAGATTTTTTTTCTTTCACCTCAAATTGCAATCTGCATTGAACGCAAGAGACAAATAACAAAAACATTAATGACATTCAAATGTGTATATTTATATACTTTTTTGTTTGTTTGTTTGTTGTATTTGTTGAATGCTGATGTGTCTATCTGTTTTGCTGTCTTTAATAAAAAAAATAAAAAAAATTGCGCATATTTTTGATATGGATATTGCACGCACCAATATCGCGATAACAATATTTTTTTGATATATCCTGCACTGCTAGAGCCACTTTTATTGTACATATAATATCCTGCACAAAATAAACTATATTTTTAACCTTAACATGTGTCACAGTTCATGCCTTTTTGCACTATCTGAGTGATTCTATCAGTGCCAAATGTGACATGTTAATTTCTCCACTGTGAGATCAATAATGTTTATCTGATCTTAGCTTACTATAGAAACACAGTGTTTTTTGTCAGCAGTTATAGCTTTAATTAAAAGTAAATAAAGTGATGTTTGAACTCATGTTTGAATAGGAGCAGTCTTAGTGAGGGGAGTTCTAGCAGTTTCAGATTGTTAAACAATTATTCATCTGAACACCCACAGAGGAGATCTTCAGCGAAGCCATAAGTGGTGATGTGTTCAAAGATGGCGACCAGCGTGGGCAGAAGGGCCACAGTCACGTAGTTGATGCTCTGGCTGACACTCTTCATTTGGGCTCGAGATTGTAAGAACTTCCCCAGTTTCAGCATCTCCAGCAGCTTCTCCAGGTCCTCCGCTGCATTTTCAAAGAACGCACGAAACCCGGCTTTGACGAGCTCCGACCCCGACTTCATCACCGTTCTTTGAGGAAACAGAGAAACAGGTGAGTGGCATTTAGGGGATGATTTTGTTAATTTCTTTTCTTATGGGGACTGCAGGTTTGCACTCAGTTGGGATTTGAATCTGATATTCAATATACTGCTAACAAGAGTGACATGTCTGTCTGGAGAAAGTGTTTTCTAAGTAATTCACAAAGTAGAACAGAGGAATACTAATATCTGGGACATCTGCTGAATCTCCTCTACTCTACCTTGCCCTGATTTCCACAAGCCCTGTTTAACCAGTACCAGGTGTTTCTTTAGTCCCTCTTGTCCATCGTTCTATTCAGGCCGAGCTGTAATAAAGTGCTCTAACTGACAGTGATTGGCCAGAGTGCAGCTGGAAGACATGATTACCAATACATCCCCAGGAATACTAGTTTGTTGTGGGTAGGTGGCTAAGATATGGTACCAGATACTAAAGCATAAAGGGAACGCAACCAGAGAAGAGTAGAGTAGAGTAGGGTAAAGTAGAGTAGAGTAGAGTAGAGTAGAGCTGGTGGAAAAGGGCCGGATGGTCGATGATTGATCCAGCACTTAAGTTCAGTGTGTGACTCCTGGCATCTGCTATCTTTGTTGTGGTCTGCTCCTGTCTTTTTTTAATGTCTATGGACCTTTGTGTTTGAAATAAAGCTCAATAATAATCATGACTGGTGAAAACATCTCTCAAACACTGTAGTGGAAGTATTACCGCGTGTCCAGTGAATGAGCCAGAATGTCCAGACAGCTGACCATGATCGCAGAGTCACTTCCTGAAATACAAACATGTGGAGTTAATGGTTCAGTGCTTTGGTTTTAAAATGTGGTATATAAAAAAATCTGACTATTTGACCTAATTTCTCTAAAATCAAGAAATATCATGTAGTGTTTTTCTTTCCATTAAAACGTTGTCATATCATGTTTTAGAATGTGAAGAAGAATATATGTGCTGAAGCAAGTATGTAGAGCATCATGTTTTGAGTCCAGTGAAAGCTTGTATAATGTTATGTTTTAATCATCCCGCGCCCCCCAATTTGGGAACCACTGCCTTAGGGCAAGCAGTGACATCACAAGAGTTTAGAACTTACCAAAGAGAGAAATCCTGTGTCTGACAAGAGCTGCAAGCTTACAGAACAGGCTGGAAAGGAGAAAGTCAAGAAGGTACAAAAGAGATTGAGGAAAAGACAAAAAGATCAAGGTAAGACACAGAGAGAGAGAGAGAGAGAGGGAGAGAGAGAGAGAAAGGCAGAGAGACAGAGACAGACACCAGAGAGAGACACATCCACACACACACAGACCACAGAGAGAGACAGACACACACACACACACACAGACCACAGAGAGAGACACATCCACACACACACACACAGACCACAGAGAGAGACAGACACACACACACACACACAGACCACAGAGAGAGACAGACACACACACACACACACACGCTTACCTGGTGACCATCTCCTTCTCTTTATAAGACGCACATCCACAGCTGCTCAGAGCCATGTTGGGCGTGGACAGGAAATACAGGAAGTGGTTTTTAAAGGCTTGATCTAAGAGTGGAAGCAGCACCTGGAAAAGCACAATAATTTAACTGAAAAAGGTAGACTAAAAAGTAAAACAAGCCAAAAATATTTAGTCTAGAATTGAACCTTTGCAAAAAACTTGATTTCTTGGTCGTGGGGAGATTTGTCGGTCTTCCCACTGGTCGCCATCGCCTCTGAAAACATGATCAGAATATGAATAGTTGAATAGAATATAAAGTTGTAACTAAACTGTGTTTATACCGAGATGGGCGATGAACTCTTGTGCTGAGTCCACGTATTTAAGCATTGTTTTGACAAATTTGAATGCATGGCGCTTTTCCATCAACGACGAGTCCTGCTCCATATCTTTCACTCCTCTGAGAAAAACAGACTGAGGTCAATGTTTGGCATCTGTGTCGTAAAATCCATAGTTCCTCGCTCTAAAATCAGTTTACTTCTCTACTAGTTTTCACATTTATGTATTTTTGGCCTCGGTTACATCTTAAGAGATACTTTATTTGTCCCACATTGGGGAAATTTCATCTTGAGATCAGCTTTTTCAGACAGGAACAAAAGCGAGACCAGAGACCTGAGAGAAAACCTGAGAGAGACCAGAGCGAGACTAGAGTGAGACCAGAGACCAGAGAGACTAGAGTGAGACCAGACACTAGAGAGACCAGAGAGAGACCGTCACAAGAGCAAGACTAGAGAGAGAACAGAGAGCAGAGAGAGCCCAGAGCCAGACCAGAGCAAGACCAGAGCAAGACTAGAGAGACTAGAGGGAGACCAGAGACCAGAAAGAGACCAGAGAGGTTCTATCACTTATAGACACAAAAGTGAGAAAGAGGAATCAGTTCTCTTTCATCTGTCCAGAACAAAGTAGATTACAGGTTTTTCAACATCCAGAAAGAAAAGGGAAGGGTGAAAGGAGAAGAGGAGAGAGTTTAGAGAGGGGGGAGAGGGGTGAGAGTTTGAAGAGGAGAGAGAGGGGAGAGATAAGAGGAGGGAGTGCTTGGAGAGCAGAGAGGAGAGGAGTACGGTGGGTAGATACGAGATTGAACAGATCTCTCATCAATCACTTGACACAAAACCCTATAAATCTGAACCTCTGCTGCAAAAGGCTCCAGTGACAGTGTGTGAATCAGCAAAAACCCTCAGTCGCCTCATAACAGACATGTGAAGGCTCTGTTTTAGACCTGTCATGTCTCATCTGAAATAAACTGAGCAATAATCATTTTCCACTACAGGTTGGGACCCTCATTGACCGTGGTATAATATGAAAAATAGTGGTATATTTCAAAATAGAAAAAATGTTTATTTGACAAAATATGGTTTCACACAACCACTAATGATGAGTGGGGGAAATATGACCACAACAGTGACATCTATGTTCAGTGTGTGAACTGAATACGAACCTCGCAATAGCACATCCGCTGATCTGTAGGAACTTAAAGAGCTCTTGGGCTTTCTCTCGGTCTCGCTGTTTCTCTTTAGCCGTCAGGGTGTCATAGGGAACCAGCAGTGGGTGGGACCCTCCTCCTTCACAACCAAAAGTAACAGCAGCAAATGTAGCAACAATAATAATAATAATAATAGTAATGTGAAATCAGACCTTTGCTTGTGAGCTCCATCTTTTTCTTTTTAGCCCAAATGTTGTGGTAGTTTTCAGCAACTACTTCCACCATGCCCTGCAGATGAAATATGTTCTCAAGGAAGCTCCCTGTAGCCCTGTGTGTGTAGCCCTGTTTCCACCAGCCCAACTCTGCTCTACTTGGCTAGGATCTTCTCTAATCTGGTTGTGTTTCCATTACATTTACTCTATATAGTACTGAATCCCAGAAACCTACCCACAACAAACCAGTATTCCGGGAATTTCCTTAGTAACCACGGCTTCCAGCAGCACTCTGACCAATCACTGTCCGCTAGAACACTTGGCCAAGAGGGACAAAAGAAGGACCTAGTACTGGTTAAACAGGGACAGTGGAAACGCTCCAAATCGGGGACATGTAGAGTAAAGTAGAGTTGGGCTGGTGGAAACAGGGCAAATGAAAACAGACTGACCTGAAGCTCTCTTGACAACGTGACATTGTGCAGGTCCACTGGAGCAGGACTGAATCCATCAACCTACAAGGACAAGGACAAAATGTGAAATTAATCACCACATTTTAGTCCGTCAGAGGGAGCGGATCCTTCTCTAAATGTCGGCCTCGTCTCCCTGAGGTTGCTCCTCTTTCCCCACTGGGTTTCTGAGCGGTTCCTTACCAATGTAGGACAGTCTAAGGACAGTGATGATCCGGGGACATTTATGCACATTTATTAACATTTTTGGAGAGTGGTCATCTCGCAACTACAACACAAAAGCTATCATCGTTGTCATAGAATTTAAAGGGGAAACACACTATTGAGAAGTGGGAGATGGATCATTTGAAATTTCTTCCAGGAATAATATTGGCGCTGACAAACATCAGGTTCAGTGCCACACTGGTATGGCCGTCTTTTAAAATTGTAATTGTTTGTTTGATAAGTGTGTTCTTGTGTGTATGTTATTGATAACCAAATACTAATGGAACAGGATACTGATAGTGCCAAAGCAACCACAATACCTCTGTCTTCTTCTCACTTTCGCGCTGTTGGAACGTGGCCTCTCCTTCCTTGGTCCATTCAATATTCCAGCCCATTGTGAGCATGCTCTTCAGAGACTCCTTCACTGGCCAGCGGTAGGTCTCCCGCTCCTGCAGAAAACTGCTTTAATGACGGAGTATATTTGGTGATGACCACTGGCTGGGCTCATGGGACCAGAGAGAGACACCAGAGAAAAAGATCAGAGAGACCAGAAACATCAGAGAGGTAGACCAGAAAGAGACTAAAGAGGGACTAGAGAGAGACTCAAGACAGACCAGAGAAAGATTAGAGAGAGAGAGACTGGAGAGGGGGGCAGAGAGACTTGAGAAAAACCAGGCAGAGACAAAAGAGAGAGTGACTAGAAAGAGAGAGAGACCAAAGAGAGAGCGAGACCAGAGAGTCAACTTCAAGAAAATGAAATAAAATTGATGCATTGAGTTTACCTTCTCACTCAGAGACTTAAAAGGCTTGAGCAGAGGATGTGTTTTGACTTTATCATCGATGCTGTCTCCGAGTTTCCAGCCGGCGGCCACCTGGACAGTCACACAGCAGACGTTCAGCAGAGAGACACAGACATGATGTCACATGACGGAGATGTACCTTATCTGAGGACCACTTGTCATGGGAATGCTCTGCATATTTGTTGGCAATGTGCTCAAGTTTATCAGGAAGGGAGATGCTGTTGAGAGTTTGAATAGATCAGAATTAGGCTCAAACACCACATTGTTTAGCAGTTTTTGTTAAGTGAGAGAATAGAGACATTTGTATCGTGAGCATGTCATCAGAGACTCTAAAAGAAAACAGCTTTAATTATGGAGTAGATTTAGAGATGACTGACGAGATGAGACTAGAGAGAGACTAGAGAGATAACCGAGAGATAACAAAGAGAGACTTGAACAAGAGACCAGAGAAAGATTAGAAAGAAAGACCAGAGACCAGGGCAAGACCAGAGAGAGAGACCAGAGAGAGAGTCCAGAGAGAGAGATCAAAGAGGGAAATACCAGTGAGAGAGACCAGAGATCAGGGAGAGACCAGAGAGAGACCAGAGATCAGGGAGAGACCAGAGAGAGACCAGAGATCAGGGAGAGATCAGAGAGAGACCAGTGACAGAGGCTAACACTATGGTGATGTCGCACTCAGTCTATTCCTCATATACTGTCTATGGTTTAGATAAGATATGTGTTATTGTCAACATGGTTGTGCACTTACTTGGCAGTGTTTATGGGTTTGGGGTCAAAGTTTCCCTGTGCATCCACAGAGGCCTGTTTTTCAAGTGCAGCCCCAAGAGTGGCGTCCACAAAGTCTGGAGGCAACGCTCCGGCGATCGCACTCAGGCAGGAGTTGGCCATTTTGAACAGTTCTACATCATACTTCTATAAAAGAAATGTGAAAGTGTGACATAAATGGTTCTGTTACAATCCTAGTTTAGCCCCAGACACCAGACTCTGAATCACACACAGGGAACCACATATTCGGAACCACACACTGGGAACCACACACTGAGAACCACACACTGAGAACCACACACTGAGAACCACACACTGGGAACCACACACAGGGAACCACACACTGAGAACCACACACTAGGAACCACACACTGGGAACCACACACTGAGAACCACACACAGGGAACCACACACTGAGAACCACACACAGGGAACAACACACAGGGAACCACACACAGGGAACCACACACTGGGAGCCACACACACAGCTGACGCTTCCATGGGGCAGTGGCTTGAAATGGAAGAGATCGTTTGAATGTAAATTTAAAAGACTGCAGAACTTTGCGACACATTAAGACTTACATTACACAAGGACTCCCAGAATTCTGAAACTACTAGAACTTTCAAATTAATGGAACTTTGAGAAATTTCCAAGAAAACAGTTCTAGGTTATCACTTGTTGTATTAAAAGTAAGTTATTTACTGTATGTATTTATTTTTTATCTATAGAACTTGAAATACAGCGAAATAATTTGTTGAAAGCTAATGCTAATGCTAACTGCTGGCAGGTAAACATGGTAACTCCATGGATCTATAATAATAACTGGATAGGGTATTTCTAGCTTATAGCTAGTAAAAACAAGCTGTGTTGTCTCAGAACCAGAACAATCCAGATCAAAGCAGTCAACAAAAGAACTCCTCAAAACTAAAAGCCGTCAAAATGACTGCTCTGGGAGTTCTAGTGATAAGTGCTAAGTTTAAAACTTTCAGAGTTATGAGCTTTAGCTTCTGCCTGTTCCTCTTTCAGACCTTACTTTTGTAGCTTGTCGCCAAGTAAATAAAATAGTCTAACATTTCTGAAATAAATAAATAAACTGAACTGATTCTATTCTAAATCACATGTTTATTTTGATTACCTTTTGAGAAAGGGAGTCAAAAATCCCCCAAAACAGTTTCTTTGTCAGAAGCAGCTCCTCTTCAGAGGCCATCCCGAAGCTGCCCATCCCAGACGGGAGGCAGTAATACTTCCAGTTTTGCTCATAGTGGTTGGCTAACAGCTACAGAGAAGAGACACAATCTGAGTAACGATAATGACAGTATAGTGGAATAACAGAAGTCTGTGTTACCTTTAGAGGCATTTGGCAGTAATCTGAGAGCATAGGGACGTCAAACACAAGACGCCTCAGGAGCTGCTGCATCATAGACGGACGCAGATGCCTGAGAAAGAGAGGAGGAGGAGGGGTTACTCTCACCCTTCTGTGGGGGTCTGCATACACCGAGGGGAAAGGCCAGTTTATTAGCACTGTTCTCACACAAGGCAACAAGTGCTTAACCGGATTATAAACATTAAAATCACACAAGGCATTAAATTCATAAATATCACTGTGCAAAAATACAGGCCTCAAACCGGCAACCGAATAATTTGTGTTATTTCTTATATACCTTAAATTCCAGATTATAAGTAGCTACTTTTTTCTAGTTCTTTGAACCTTTTGGCTTATATAGTGTTGCGGCTAATTTGTGTATTCTTTGTGTGATAGACTTGACACTTGTTATTGTTTGTTATCAAAACTGATGAAGGTAAATGAGCCCTGGAACGGTGAATGAGTCATGGAAGCTAACGGTGAATGAGTCATGGAAGCTACCGGTGAATGAGTCATGGAAGCTAACGGTGAATGAGTCATGGAAGCTAACGGTGAATGAGTCATGGAAGCTACCGGTGAATGAGTCATGGAAGCTAACGGTGAATGAGTCATGGAAGCTAACGGTGAATGAGTCATGGAAGCTACCGGTGAATGAGTCATGGAAGCTAACGGTGAATGAGTCATGGAAGCTAACGGTGAATGAGTCATGGAAGCTACCGGTGAATGAGTCATGGAAGCTAACGGTGAATGAGTCATGGAAGCTAACGGTGAATGAGTCATGGAAGCTAACGGTGAATGAGTCATGGAAGCTAACGGTGAATGAGTCATGGAAGCTAACGGTGAATGAGTCATGGAAGCTACCGGTGAATGAGTCATGGAAGCTAACGGTGAATGAGTCATGGAAGCTAACGGTGAATGAGTCATGGAAGCTACCGGTGAATGAGTCATGGAAGCTAACGGTGAATGAGTTATGGAAGCTAACGGTGAATGAGTCATGGAAGCTAACGGTGAATGAGTCATGGAAGCTAACGGTGAATGAGTCATGGAAGCTAACGGTGAATGAGTCATGGAAGCTACCGGTGAATGAGTCATGGAAGCTAACGGTGAATGAGTCATGGAAGCTACCGGTGAATGAGTCATGGAAGCTACCGGTGAATGAGTCATGGAAGCTAACGGTGAATGAGTCATGGAAGCTAACGGTGAATGAGTCATGGAAGCTACCGGTGAATGAGTCATGGAAGCTAACGGTGAATGAGTCATGGAAGCTAACGGTGAATGAGTCATGGAAGCTAACGGTGAATGAGTTATGGAAGCTACCGGTGAATGAGTCATGGAAGCTAACGGTGAATGAGTCATGGAAGCTACCGGTGAATGAGTCATGGAAGCTACCGGTGAATGAGTCATGGAAGCTAACGGTGAATGAGTCATGGAAGCTAACGGTGAATGAGTCATGGAAGCTACCGGTGAATGAGTCATGGAAGCTAACGGTGAATGAGTCATGGAAGCTAACGGTGAATGAGTCATGGAAGCTAACGGTGAATGAGTCATGGAAGCTAACGGTGAATGAGTCATGGAAGCTAACGGTGAATGAGTCATGGAAGCTAACGGTGAATGAGTCATGGAAGCTACCGGTGAATGAGTCATGGAAGCTAACGGTGAATGAGTCATGGAAGCTAACGGTGAATGAGTCATGGAAGCTAACGGTGAATGAGTCATGGAAGCTAACGGTGAATGAGTCATGGAAGCTAACGGTGAATGAGTCATGGAAGCTACCGGTGAATGAGTCATGGAAGCTACGGTGAATGAGTCATGGAAGCTAACGGTGAATGAGTCATGGAAGCTAACGGTGAATGAGTCATGGAAGCTACCGGTGAATGAGTCATGGAAGCTAACGGTGAATGAGTCATGGAAGCTAACGGTGAATGAGTCATGGAAGCTAACGGTGAATGAGTTATGGAAGCTAACGATGAATGAGTCATGGAAGCTAACGGTGAATGAGTCATGGAAGCTAACGGTGAATGAGTCATGGAAGCTAACGATGAATGAGTCATGGAAGCTAACGATGAATGAGTCATGGAAGCTAACGGTGAATGAGTCATGGAAGCTAACGGTGAATGAGTCATGGAAGCTAACGGTGAATGAGTCATGGAAGCTAACGGTGAATGAGTCATGGAAGCTAACGGTGAATGAGTCATGGAAGCTAACGGTGAATGAGTCATGGAAGCTAACGGTGAATGAGTCATGGAAGCTAACGGTGAATGAGTCATGGAAGCTACCGGTGAATGAGTCATGGAAGCTAACGGTGAATGAGTCATGGAAGCTAACGGTGAATGAGTCATGGAAGCTACCGGTGAATGAGTCATGGAAGCTAACGGTGAATGAGTCATGGAAGCTAACGGTGAATGAGTCATGGAAGCTAACGGTGAATGAGTCATGGAAGCTAACGGTGAATGAGTCATGGAAGCTAACGGTGAAGCTGTTATACTCCTCATTTAATCAAGTTGTGACCAGTTTAAACAACTATCTGCTAAATTATGAAATGGAAACTTGTGGCTTATATTCAAATGCGGCCTATGCGTGTACAACATTGATTTTCTTTTAAAATGTTGCTGATGCGGCTTATATACAGGTGTTAGTCCATAAAGTATGGTAAACTGGGCCTCTAACCCTCTCGTATAAGGCCGAACTCACTTGCATATGGCCAGCAGACACTCCTCGATGGAGTCCCTCTGGGCTTTGGTGAGGGAGCGGCCCTTGGACAGACGGTAGATGGTCTGGAGAGTGGAGTCCACCAGTTGGGCGTAGTGCTCTGTGTTGGCAAACAGAGCTGCACAGCGGGTCAGCAGGGGCAGCAGCGCCGACCCGATGTACCGGTTCATGGCCAAGGCCGTCTCTGTGGTGCTCAACACCTCCTGAGGGACACGCACAACAACACTACACAAGTTTAATTGTATCGCACAGTACATACACAAGGCTACTCAAAGTGCGGAACAAAACAAAATAGAACCAAGGCATTAAAATAACTAAATAATCAGTTTATTAAACAGATTGAATATACAATCCTTCAGTTGTATGCACAGCTTTAAACTGGATTTTCAGAGTAAAAGCCCGTCTCATATTTCCAGGACATGAATCAGAGTTAGCTACATTTTCCATAAAAAAAGAGACCTTAGTATGAAAGTGTAGCCAAAAAAGGTTGCGGCACCAACCAACTATAAAGTTTGGGCCCAGCAAAAATTTGATCAGCTTTTTGCACATTTTCGTTTAACTTTTGTATTCTAACTAGAAGTGATTTAGTCTGGAAATACAGTGTGATGTGTTATGGTGCTTTCAGACCGGATCAAGCGCTGCGTTGGCTTTCAATGCAAAGTCTATGGTGACGCGCGTTCGACCGTCGCTACGCACGAACATCTCGGGAAGCACGAACGGACTGTTCAGTAGACTGCGCGGGAAAGTGGAAGGGGAAGCAGGAGCAGAAAATGGACGCCCAAAGAATATAAACTTTGCTCAACCTTTCCTCGGGACGTTCGTGCAGCGACCAATCAGAGAGCCGCAAAGTGGTCACAGGGACATTAGTGTCTGAGCGAGCAGACTGTACACACTGTAAACAGCCAAAACAGGAGCTACACCAGGACTTAAAACCAGGGTTGACATTGGGGGACTGTTTGCTTGTGAATATATGCATATGCTCCCGTGACTTTATGGAACAGCTTTGAGTGTGTTCGCCGATGCGGAAGTACCGTTTAATAATAAAATAAGTACTACTACTAATACTACTGTTATATAAAGCCCGTGGAAGGTCTCTGAACAAAGACACGCTGCCAAGCTGCATTATTGGAGAAGATCTTTACACGAGAAGCTGCTAGCATAACTCTGTTAGCATTAGAGCCGGCCGGCTACTTCCGCCACTTCCGGCGCTGGCCAGGACGTTCTGGTGTGAAGGCACGGTGGCTGAGTGGATAGCACTCTCGCCTCTCAGCAAGAAGGTCCTGGGTTCGAATCCCGGCCGGACCAGGGCCTTTCTGAGTGGAGTTTGCATGTTCTCCCCGTGTCTGCGTAGGTTTCCTCCGGGTACTCCGGTTTCCCCTACCACTAAAAATATGTCCAATAGTTCTGGCATGTGCCTCCTGTACTGGCCCCGCTCCCATCTCTGTGTGGAGTGAGAGACAAATGCCCAATATTAACAATTGTTAACCGCTTTGAGACTCAGATCTGCAGTGAAAAGGCGGTATATAAATACAAACTTACTTACTTACTTACTTACTTACCCCTGCGTCTGAAAACTAGAGAATGCGCGTCTGGTGAGCGGGGCTTCAGCGTTTGAGCGTTTGTGGTCTGAAAGCACCATTAAACAAGAAAAGCACCAATCTCACCGTGTCCAGAGAAGCAGAGGCTTTGAGGTCAGGCAGGAAGCCAACCTCCAGCAGCTGCAGCAGGAAGGCCTGGTCCTCAATACCGTACACTCTGTCGAGGAACAGCACCATGGGGGCCTTGTGGTCCGGGCAGAAGCAGGCCGACATGTCCGGCTCCGTCACGGAACCATCTGTAGGGAACATACAGCTGAGAATTGATATTAAGAAAAAATATGATGTGTTTTGGGACTATACTATCTATATTTATCATGTTTTTAAATGAGAAACACTACGAAGTAGAAATGATATGCTGAAACACATGAGGATGAAGAGTAAAAAAGGATTTCTGCCTGTAACTACTGTCAGGAATGAACCAGACGGATCGTGGTGCGCCAAGCTCTGGAAGTTTATTTAGGTTTCTCTGAAGTTACAGTGGTTTCAATTGTTTCTTTCTCTCAGACAAAATGGAGTCAGTACATGTTATATAGTCATTGTTACGTCACACATCGGAAGACATACGTGTCACACAGAGACAGAGCAAATCATAGTCATAAAATGGATACACAATCAGAGTCCATGTATAGTCTTGCAGTTGTCCTGCACATAGGCCAAATAGCTATCTAATCCTCACACTACCCATGCCACCTCCACCAGAGGGAGGAATAATTTATTTTTACTCAAATTTAAAAGTTCATGCCATTGGAAAGAACGTAATTTCACCTGTGAAATTATCAAAACTGATTTATGGGCAAAACCTTTGTTTTGAAAGGCGAAAAACTTCACTGAGTGTGATGTCATAGTGGTCTCTCTCATCTCTCTGGTCTCTTTCTTCTTTCTCTAGTCTCTCTCTCTTTGGTCCTTCTCTCTGGTCTCTCTCTGGTCCCTCTCTCTGGTCTCTTTCTAATCGCTGGTCTCTCTCTGGTCTCTTTCTTCCCTCTCTGGTCTCTCTCTCTGGTCTCTCTCTGGTCTCTCTCTGGTCTCTCTCTCTGGTCTCTCTCTGGTCTCTCTCTCTGGTCTCTCTCTCTGGGCTCTCTCTCTGGTCTCTCTCTGGTCTCTCTCTGGTCTCTCTCTCTGGTCTCTCTCTCTGGTCTCTCTCTCTGGTCTCTCTCTCTGGTCTCTGGTCTCTCTCTCTGGTCTCTCTCTGGTCTATCTCTCTGGTCTCTCTCTCTGGTCTCTCTCTCTGGTCTCTCTCTCTGGTCTCTCTCTCTGGTCTCTCTCTCTGGTCTCTCTCTGGTCTCTCTCTCTGGTCTCTCTCTCTGGTCTCTCTCTGGTCTATCTCTCTGGTCTCTCTCTCTGGTCTCTCTCTCTCTCTCTGGTCTCTCTCTCTGGTCTCTCTCTCTGCTCTATCTCTCTGGTATCTCTCTCTGGTCTCTCTCTGGTCTCTCTCTGGTCTCTCTCTCTGGTCTCTCTCTCTGGTCTCTCTCTGGTCTCTCTCTCTGGTCTCTCTCTGGTCTCTCTCTGGTCTCTCTCTCTGGTCTCTCTCTGGTCTCTCTCTCTGGTCTCTCTCTCTGGTCTCTCTCTCTGGTCTCTCTCTGGTCTCTCTCTCTGGTCTCTCTCTCTGGTCTCTCTCTCTGGTCTCTCTCTCTGGTCTCTCTCTGGTCTCTCTCTCTGGTCTCTCTCTCTGGTCTCTCTCTCTGGTCTCTCTCTCTGGTCTCTCTCTCTGGTCTCTTTCTTCCCTCTCTGGTCTCTCTCTCTGGTCTCTCTCTGGTCTATCTCTCTGGTCTCTCTCTCTGGTCTCTCTCTGGTCTCTCTCTCTGGTCTCTCTCTCTGGTCTCTCTCTGGTCTCTCTCTCTCTGGTCTCTCTCTGGTCTCTCTCTGGTCTCTCTCTCTGGTCTCTCTCTCTGGTCTCTCTCTGGTCTCTCTCTCTGGTCTCTCTCTGGTCTCTCTCTCTGGTCTCTCTCTCTGGTCTATCTCTCTGGTCTCTCTCTCTGGTCTCTCTCTCTGGTCTCTCTCTCTGGTCTCTCTCTCTGGTCTATCTCTCTGGTCTCTCTCTCTGGTCTCTCTCTCTGGTCTCGCTCTGGTCTCTCTCTCTGGTCTCTCTCTCTCTCTCTCTAGTCTCTCTCTGGTCTCTCTGGTCTCTTCTCTGGTCTCTCTCTCTGGTCTATCTCTCTGGTCTCTCTCTCTGGTCTCTCTCTGGTCTCTCTCTCTGGTCTCTCTCTCTGGTCTATCTCTCTGGTCTCTCTCTCTGGTCTCTCTCTCTGGTCTCGCTCTGGTCTCTCTCTCTGGTCTCTCTCTCTGGTCTCTCTCTGGTCTCTCTCTCTGGTCTCTCTCTGGTCTCTCTCTCTGGTCTCTCTCTGGTCTCTCTCTCTGGTCTCTCTCTCTGGTCTCTCTCTCTGGTCTCTCTCTGGTCTCTCTCTCTCTCTGGTCTCTTTCTTCCCTCTCTGGTCTCTCTCTCTCTCTGGGCTCTCTCAGGGCTCTCTCTCAGAGAGCCCTGGCAGAGTTGTGTGCCAGAAGTTCCTTAACTTAGCATGGATGGATATTTAATAACAACTCCAGGTCTGTTTATGATGAGAGAAAAATCCCTTTAATGTGGCATGTACCGTGGTGTAGAGTCACGTTGCTGAATGAATGTGTAAATACAGGATACTTGCCCTTGTTGACCACATACCTTTGTTGACCACTGGCATGTTCAGGGGGATGCTGATGATTCCCACCAGGTCTGAGGTCGGCACCAGCGAGCGCAGGATCGCCCGGATTCGCAAAGCTTCACCTTTACCAGCATTGATCAACTGCAAATGTCAACAACAGCATACATTTGAGTCAGTGTGTGTGTGTGTGTGTGTGTGTGTCGCCGGATTATTTTATCCTTTAAATGCTGAAGAAGGTACATTACTGTGCCTTGAGATGTTGTTTGGTGTACCTTCAGAAATTATCCAATATAACATGATTGTTCATAAAAAGTGATAAGAAAGAAATGTGAAAACACTTTTTTTATTGCTTGTTTGACTCTCTACAATACACTTTGATTTCTTTTATGTTAATATAGGCTGCAGAGTTAAGAAAATAATAATTATCAGCTGGTGGTGTGCCATGTACCTCTGGAAATGCTCATTGAGCTCCGTTAACAGGTGGGAATCAGAACAAGTTACTTTACAATCGAATTCTCCGTGCAAACTCTTGACGTCACTGACACCTACCTACAACACCCGCCTCCTCCGCTGGCTGATTGGTCGGATGGGATACAGCCGAGGTAACCGCACTAAGATCAGACCCCGACATACATGCAGTGATGGGAATAACGCCGTTACTTTTTTCAGTAACGAGTAATCTAACTAATTACTTTGACTGTAACTATAACGCGTTATCATTTCCGACATCCCGTTACTGCGCGTTACTCAAGACGCACAATGAACTTCTCTTTTTACTTCGTGATAGGACTCGTGCGCGTGTTGTCATGAGAGAAGGGAGGATGAGAAAACCTCTCAGCAATTATTGGCTGATGTAAAACATATTTCCTTTACAATCTACATGTCTACAGTTGAGAGGATGGCTCATAAATTGTGTTTTTGAAACAAATGGGTCTTAATCACACTCAACCACGGCTTGTATCAGCGTGAGGCGTCAGAGGAGCTCATGTGAGCGCAGAAGGCTGCATACAATTCCATCAAAAAGCTCCTTTCTCTTCCTGGTTTATCTGCTAAGGACAGCAGCAGGTTTGGCTAACATACATATAACACATTTTAAGATAATTTAAAATGCACTTAGGGTAATTTTTCAATGACTAGGGGAATGATAAGAAAGAGGTGAAGTGTAAGACGATTGGTTTTAGAAATTGGATGCACCCGGCTGCAGCAAAACAGAGGAGTTTATGGAGGACACACGCGTTTTGTTTTACTTTTTAAAACTCATTTCCAAATGGAGGATTACATATCTACGCTCAAACTATTATCTGGACTTAAACACAGAACTGGTCTGAACCGAAATGGACTGTGCAGGTCATTTATAAAGGTAAGACCCATAACTCATAGTTTTGCGTTTTGTTTGAACAAACAATGCATGAAACATATTCTGCTGTAGCCAAACAAACTGTCCAGTTGATTTATATGATATATATATGTTCATCTGATTGGGCTGAAGTCAGTGCTTCACCGGTGTTTCCACATTCACAGTGGCGGGTGTTTGTGTTTAGTGCTTACTCTACAGCACAGAGACAGATGAAGAGTGAACAGGACTTCAGCAGAAAAACAACCTTTTCCAGATGGAAATATCGGCAATATTTCAGACTCATTGAGGTTAAAGGTTAAAGGTAAAAATGCGCACATCGAGTGCACATTATGTTCCAGAACAAAACGAAAAAGTAACGCAATAGTTACTTTTACTGGTAACTAGTTACTTTTATAGTGGAGTAACTCCGTTAGTAACTCAGTTACTTTTTGGGAGAAGTAACTAGTAACTATAACTAATTACTTTTTCAAAGTAACGTGCCCAACACTGCATACATGTAGGGAAATGATAATTGACTGACTGAGAATACAGATGTCCAGGCTAGGATGAAACATTTCTCTGTAAATTATGAATTGTGAGGTACAGTACAGTGCCACAGAAAGTGTGGAAAAAATCTTGTTTATGACCTCAATCTGAGGCATGAACCAGAGAGGCTTGAGGAAAGTCGTGTCCAGGTCTTGTCCTTCGTGTTTGGGTTAGCTTACATGCATCTCCGGAGCGCAGCGTCCCAGCAGGTCGATGAGGGCAGAGTAGAAGGACATGATGGCGTTCCCCATGTGGATCACTTCACCCTCCTCCTCGCCACTCCTTCAGCATACAAACCAAAGCAATTAACCATATTAACTTTAACTTAACAGCTGCAAGAAATGATGGCTGTTATTTGGCAATAAACAAAGAATTATTTGACAACGCAGACTTTTACAATCTTACTCCACACAAAGACTTTTACATTTGCAAACTAATATGATCTATGGCCCAACGGATATTAATGTCAGACTTTGCCAAGCTTTAAATCACTGAGATTTGGATCAGGCATTGCCTTAAACATTACCATTGTTTCTTTTAATCTAAAACTAATAAGAAAGGCTTCATACCCAGCGGTGGCTGCAGCCGGAGGGAGATCCAGGGCTGGGTTCTCAGAGATGGATATGGCTTCTTTCATTGCAGCCAGCAGCCCTTGGCCTCCCTCTCCCCTCAGGGCGGGTCCAAAACACTCCGGGCGCCGGATCAGCAGCTTCACCACCACGTTAGCATTCTCCTCCACACTTTCACCTGAACAGAAAAAATGCACAGGTATGCAGTGAGGCAAAAAAGATTTAGTCAGTCACAAATTGTGCAAGTCCCTCCATTTAAAAAGATGAGAGATGTCTGATTTTGCTAAACTGGAAGCTTCCCCAGCTGCAGATGCTGAGGTGCTCACATTTCACGTTACCTGGGATCCTTTTATTAGGTTTACTGACTCAATGACAGTTCCTCATAACCTGGAGGATTAAATTGTTACAAGGGGACTAGTAGTAGTAAGTAGTATTTTTTGTATGTTGTCCTTTCACAGACCAGAGTCACAAAGCGATTTACAATTTTTTTTTTTGGGCATTTGTCTCTCACTCCACACAGAGATGGGAGTGGTAGGGGAAACTGGAGTACCCAGATGAAACCTACGCGGACACGAGGAAAAACATGCAAACTCTGTTCCGACTGGAATTCGAACCCAGGACCTTCTTGCTGAGAAGCGAGAGTGCTATCCACTCAGCCACCGTGCCGCCTGGTATATACAGTAGCTGAGTGGACAGCACTCAAATAGGTTATTTGTTTACACAATTTACTTCACTATTTTCCATTTGTGTATGTGTGGGTGTGTGTGTGTCTATGTTTTTTTGTTTTTTATTTTCATTTATAATTTTTTTTGCTGTGGGATTATAAGGCGTGACATTTGGCTATGTTTTCTTTTTTGTCTTTGTACAGTCTTTTATATCCCTGAATGCTTGTCTGTGTATATTATTATTGTTAAAATGTTCAATAAAGTAAGTTGGAAATAAAAGGATGAGAGATGTCTGGAATGCTTATCAGAGTTAAACCTCAACTATGAGAACAAAAAAAATATGGTGGAAAATCAGTATTTAGTCAAAAACAAAAACTTTGTTATATTCCCAATGACAGGGACCTAACATTTTCTGTCAGTCTTCACAAGGTTTTTACAAAAAACATGAACATTGGAGCAAACTGATTTATTATGCTATTTATTATTTCACTTTGCATACACAGTTTAGCTCCATCATAAATATGTTTCAAACAGCTTAATCTTCTCATTAACAGAGACGAAAATAGGAACACTAAGAATCAAGCGTTGGTGTAAAGTGTTATTGCTCATTTGTGATTTTTATAATTAAGGTTTGACCCACATGTGTGTGTGAAAGGTTGGTGACACAGACTGGTTGCCTTGCTTCTGTCAGTGTGCCCCAGGGCAGCTGTGGCTATAATAGTAGTTTATCAGCACTGTGTACACAGCAAATTAATAATGCTGTGAATCGTCTGTGAGCATCCTGAAGAGCGCCAAATACACCGGTGTGTTATACAATCAAAGGATGCAACACTGACATTTCCAAGATTTGAGACCAGTTGAGGATCTCTTATATCATCTTAAATGAAGAATAATGACGGATAAGTTCTCACCGTTGCAGAAAACGGCAAACCTCAAGAACAACAGGTATCGCTCTCCCTCGATGGGGTTCCAGCCCAGATCTGGGTAACCCTTGGCGACCAGGATGGCACAACTCTGCAACCCGCAGGCTGCCAGGTATGTCACCACCTGCACAAACACGCACACAAGCTCAGTGATTACTGATGACGGAGAGCGCCTTTTTTATCAATATGTATGTGTGTGTGTGGGTGTTAATAAATGCAAATATTTATTACACATTTACTTATCTCTAAACGCTTCACAACAAGGACACACACTGTAAGCTTTTGTATGTGGTTGCAGTGTTTTCTATCATTCTGTTATTTTTGTTTGTAAACATCTTGATTGTTTGATGTTCACCTTCTCCAGGTCCGGTTCCTCTAAAGCCAAAGCCAGTCCGTTATTGTCCATGACAGACGATGCCGCAACATCCAGGGGAGTGGACCCTCGCATCGCTTCAGAAGCTTCGGAACAAGATCAAAATCACAATGACACGGTGGTACAGGCAGGCAAAGAGATTCCCAAGCTGTGGACAGTGGTCTTACCCAGGCCCACGCTGCTGTTCTCCAACAAATAGCTCAGATGGTCAAACATGGCTTTCTGATTCTGACGACTGATCCGGCAGAAGTAGCACAAGAAGCGGCAGCAGCTGGCCACCATTTTGGGGAAGGCAATTTCCTGTGGGCAAAAAGCTAGTTGTAAATAAGCCTCAATATACAGGTCCTGCAGGTTCCTGTCAGGAATCTGGTGGCAGTATGTATAGCCCCATTTCCACCAGCCCTTCTCTAGGACTCTGGCCAATCACTTTTAGAGCACTTAAGTACAAGCTCAGCCTAGATAGAACCAGGGCCAAGAGGGACTAAAGAAGAACCTCAGTCCTGGATCTACATTGTAAGTCTGGGACCTACAGTCTAAGTCCTAGATCTATAGCTTAAGTCCACGACCTACAGTCTAAGTCCTAGATCTACCCCCTCAATATTTTACATACTTGTAAAAAAAAGTCATGCAAGTCATAATTTCACTATGTTGAGGTGAGTGAGGGTGGTCCTCTCTTTTGCAATTTTCCGTCCATAAACACATGAGATATAAACCAGGAATGAATGGCATGGATCCTAATACACAGGCTTTCATTACTTAATTTAAAAGTCAGGTACTCCAGCTTTATTTGATAATGACACATAATATTTTGCCTGTAGATAATGATCAAATACAGACCTGGGACTTGTCTCCTCCCAACACATTGACCATAACATCCATGACCGTCTCGTGCATGCCGAGGACCCTCATCAAGTTTGGGTGTTGATAGAAAACTTTATTGTTCATAATATCTCTACAAAACACAAAAAGTGAAGTTTTAATTTGACAAACGTAGAGGAGAGAGGAGAGCTCCAGTTTTTTTCCTTATTCTCTGCTGCAAAAGTACAATATCAACCATCTGTAAATGTGAAACCTCCTGAGTGTATACTCCACAAGTGACTTATCCTTGACACAAGTAAAATTATACAGTAGCTCCAGAGTGTATTATCTTATTTTGTATTTTTTTATTATCTATTTTTCATCTTAAATACCATATTTTCCACACTACTTTTTTGTAAAATGTTTGTGTTTTTTATTGTGGTTATTGAGCTTTGTAATGACAGCGGCTCCTTGACAACAACGCAGCGAGCACGTGACCAAACGTGGTCATAATGTACCCAGGGTTACTGCAAGAAACAGAGCTGGACTATGGAGCCTTAAAGGAGTGTCCATGTCCTCCCCGTGTCTCTACATTAAAGCTGTGGTACCTACATTTTCCCTTGCATTAATAATTCATAATAATGTTGGTTGTGCCCAAAAGTAAAATGTTGTGAACAAATCAAACAGAATATTGCTTTGATTTTTGTTTCGCTTTGCATTTTTAAGAGCGAGCCCTGTGAGTCATTATTTGACTTGGATTGAGTGGATTCTCTGAGCTGATCTAAGCTTTAGCATTAAAAAGAAGCAAGTATAAAATCTCCATTAAGAACCACGCGACAAATGGAGTGAGTACCAAACACCATCTGCTGATACTCTTCTGAGTACCTCACTAAGTTATATTCACCCCTGCTTATAAACAAGAGTTGCCTATCTGCGGACCAAAAGGATTTTCTTTAACACAGGTGGTAGGTTTATAATCCCTAAAGTACGGTAATAGATCTTATTTGATATATGTGCATAATCTGAGTGCTCTTATTTCTCTTTCTATTCTGCTGTAATGTGCACAAGCATGATACAAATTTCCCCACTTAGGGACAAATAAAGATTTACCCAAGCCCATCAATCATGAGTTTCTCCTCCTCGGTGCCCATGCGCACAGACAGCAGGGACCGGATCTGGCCCAGAGACACCAGGAGGTTGATGGCGTCTTGCACGGAGGCGGCGCTGATGGTGTAGGACTTCTTCATGGCGCGCAGCAGCTCTCCGATGCCGTCGTACTGTCTCCGCAGGAGGCTAAACATCACCCTGACCAGCTCCGGGTCCTGGACGTGAGAGTTCTGAGCCCAGCTGGAGATGGTCTGGGAGATCAGCTCCTTCAGGTTGGCTGCAAATAATAAACAAGCATGATTATTACATCAGGTGTAGCGCTAACTAAAGCTCAGTTGTTTGGGCTCATATCTGGAAGACAATAACGCAATATAAAACCCAGAATCACAGAGAGCGCTAAACCACAGATTTTGAAGTTCAAAATGGTGAGTGTGACACAAATGGTAAATGAACTTGAGGAGTTGAGTAAGTCAAAAGGAGCCAGAGGGAGTTGGAGATAAACTTCACCATGAGCAATTCCCTATTGGGCTTCATTGAGCTCGTGGGTTAACATACAGTCCATGGATTTTTTTCCCCGCTGTGGGACGAATAAAGAATCTCTTAATCTTAATACACACTTGTCCTACTCATTTGGATAGATAGATACTTTATTGATATCCGTAAGAGAAATTCAGGTGTCCAGCAGCAGAAACATATCCATATCCAAAATGAATAAATAAATATTTCTTAAAGTTACTAACAATAGTAATAAAGTATACATGTTTAACTCAGACAGATCTGTTTCACGGTCTCACAGCCGAAGGAGTAAGGGATTCAAAATGTAATGTTGGAGGGGTCTCAAATGTCCTACAATGAATATAAAATCAAATGTAATATTTACTTATTTACTTATTATTTACAAGCAGCAGTGGCTCAGTTGGTAGAGGATTGGACTTTGGGCCTGAAGGTCATGGGTTCGAGCCACAAGACCTACTGCACGACTCCCACTGATGTCTGCTGTCGTTATGTCCTTGGGCAAGACACTTAACCCCACTTTGCCTGAAGCTCCCGCTCAAAGATCTCAGCTCCTGTTGACTCACCACCTGCAGGAGGATCAGTGAGGGGCTGGTGCTCTGTGTACTGGGTGCAGCTCTGACTGCCACCCCCCTGACCCAGAAATCTATCCAATCCATCCAAAAATTGATGGATTTTACAAGCAGTGCTATTGTCTGTGTCTCTCTTGTTTGTGGACATAAACGGACTCATTCCATTTGTCAGAAGTTGGCTAAAGGCAGCCTCTCTTCTTCCAGGAAACCGGGAAAGACCCAAAAAGAAGTGCAGCCGAGGCATATTTGGTCCATTTGGACTCAGGATGCTGACGCTCCAGCGCAGTGTTTCAAACATGGAACACAAGATCCAGAGTGTCGTATTGCTTTCCCATCACTACTGTTTACTCCTAAAACTTCAGCATGAACACTTCCCTATTGAGCTTCATAGAGCTAACAGGTTTGCATTATCCATCTATATAAAGTCTATGCTTTAAACCAGATCATAATGAAAGAATATTACACTTAAAGAAAGGCAATCATGTCAAATGTGTTAAATACATTTTATCATAGTCTTCTTCAACAATGACTGTCTTTATCTGGGCTCCTCTTCAAAAACAAAAATATAGCTGTTGTATTATGCAGGGTGTTCCAGCACAATAATTAGATGTCTGAAGTGTGAGGCTGAGAGCAAGCATGAATATTTTAATCTATTAATATTTGACGCTGAACTTTGGATCAAGGGCAACTGGAAATATCTGCTTGTGGTGGTAAGACAGGGCACTTTTATACATAAACATAATCTCTGTTTTCACCTACTCTACTTGGCTCAATTCTCCTCTACCCTCCCATTTTGTGTTTCTACTTTGCTTCAGTATCTGGTACCACATACAAAACAAACCAGCACAATTTAGTACCAGCTCGGCCTGGATAGAACCAGACCTCAGAGGGACTAAAGCAGGACCTGGTACCGGTTTAACACTGGCGATGGTAGAGTAGAATAGAGTAGAGTAGAGTAGAGTAGTAGTGTGGCTGGTGGAAAAGGGGCTATAGAGTAAGTGAATTAGAATTCCCCAGTGGCTGATAATAAAATCAGTAATATCAAAACTTTAGCCTTTAGCTTCATGCATCTTGTCCACTTCACGTTATGAATACATCCAGGACTGAGGTGTTTCAGTGACCGTGTGAGTGTTTAGTGCGATGGAATGTGCAGATGTCTTACTTGGAGCAGCCTGCTCTTTCTCTGAGGCATCTTCCTCTTGTTTCTGAGGTGGGCCCTTTATCTTGTACAACAAAGCAAGAAGACGTCCTTTTATCGATGTGTCTGGCTCCTCTTCTTCCTCCTCAGCAGGAATTCCTAAAACATGCAAATGGCATTACAGAGACTGAAGAGCCTTTGTATAAAACAGTGGTTCTTGGTCAGTATTCTGGTATGATGCAGTAACTACCGCAGTGCAGTCGCAGTTCCTGGTGGAAGGCGTTGAGTTCCTCTTGGATCTCCTCGGGACAGGGGCAGTCTTCCCCTGCACTGAAGTTCAACAGGATGTTGATCTACAGAATAGTGTCACAAACAGCAACAATAAAATGTCGTGGAAAAATACATTAAAGTGCTGTGCTGCATAATAAGCCCCATATCTACCAGCTCTGCTCTTCTCTACTCTGAACTACTTTACTTGGTTGTGTTTAAATGTCTGGTACCATTTGCAAGAAAACTACCATTAATGTCCTTGAACTACAAACTCAGTCCTGGATCTACCTGAGGTTTCTTACACTTTTATTACTGGGTTTCTTAGGGGTCCCTCGCCGTTACAGGAGGATCTAAGGACGGTGATGATCCGGGACATTTAAGAATATTTAAGAAAAGGTCTCGACAGGGGTCACCTGCTCCCTATGGACCAATAGCTCCAATGAGTTTGATATTATGCATTTCTTGTGCTCAACTGCTGTTGTAATTTAGGAAGATGCACAAATAAATTGTGTTTTCTTTGTGCGTTTGTATAAAATATACTGTACATATATGTAAAAATATGGTAACATTAAAATAAAGAGAAAAAAACGCTTAAGTTCCCTCTGTGTGTTGGCGGAATCTGTACCTGCTCGTGTGGAGGAGAGCGGAACTCTTTGGTCTTTTTGGCGGTGACGGCAGCGGACATGGTGAACGCCTGCATCAGCTCATTGTAGCGGAACTTCTGGTTGAACTGTAGCTTAGACACAAACCGATCCGAGAAGGAGACGATGGCCTCAATGCGCTGTTTGAGCTCACAGTCGCAGAAGTAGTGCAGCAGCTCACACATCTGCAGAAACATATGGATGAGCCGAGATAGAGTCTAAGCCAGCTACATTTCACAAAAGAAACTGGCAACCCAAATAAGTCTCCTTCTTTGAAACCTGAAACCGCAATATTGTGGAAATCATGTTACTTCTATATAAGAATAACCCTAACTCCACTTTAAACTTTTGTGAAGAAAAGCTCGCTGATGTGTAAATGCGACCTGTTATAGAGAACACATGTGTCATAGTACAGGCCTGAGGCATACTGTCCCGAGGAGGTGTGCGTCCCTCGCTGCACCAGCGGTGTGTGGGGGCTGTTAATGAGCTAGAGTTTACTTTTAATGTAAGTCAATAGGAGCCAGAGTGGGAGCAAAACCATGAGCACTTCACGTTTCATTAAGAGAGCAGGTAAGCATTGTCCGTCTGTAAAGCTGTCTGTTAGGGAACTACACAGGACATAGTTTATGGACTCCATCACGTCCTAGTTGAGATGAGACACATTTATTGCCAAAACAGACTGCATTTCCCAGAGTGCTTTGAGTCAACCGTTCCATAAAACATGAACCTGTGGCCTATATTCAGGTGTGGCCTGTCTGTGGACAGTGTTAAAGTTAGTGTTACAAAACTGGATAAACGAAACAAAGTGAAATACAGTATTATGACAACGCTATGATGACGTTTTAATAAAAGCAAATAATAGAATGTGCTCCTTAATATTATTACTCTTTCTTCACGGTTGTAAAAGCTGGCTTCAATAGCTGTGGAAATATGATTTTCTCATCAGTATTCAGAGGAGAATACTTCACTGCTGTACAAGAACCTTTCAGAGTCGGATAAATCCAAATCTTACATCTGAGAAATGAGGATTTAGTGCCTTAAGCCAGACACAGAGTACAGGGTTTTTCTCCTTTCTTTTCCAAAACAACCTGACCTTTTATGAGACAATAGCCCCTCTCTTCTCCTCTCCTCTACTCTAGTGGTGGTAATAAGTGTTGATGATAATTGCAATATTGATGTGAAATGTATTTAAAATGAGAATACAGGACGGACGTTTATTTTCTTGCTTTGTTCAGCACTTTGATTGCCTTGTGTATGGACCAGTGGAGGCGGGTCCTGGTTCAAAAATGTCCATGAGCACGTGCCCTGAGACACTTGCAATACCACTCCTAGCCGGTGGGGGTGGACCCAGAAAGAGAATTATTTAATGCTTTTGTATGGCATGTTCTTTCCTCTTGAAAACGGCTATACAGGATGGGCCAAAAGTCAGCTCTTGGCCAAAAGCTACGTTCCAGGTGTGTGTCAATGCTGAGCATATTTTTTTGGACCACTCTAGTTTAGCCGCTGTGGACTTCAGAAGGTACTCGTTAAATAAATGGGGCTTGCCCCGGCTAACGCATGCGGGAAATAGCCCCTTAGAAGCCAAAAGTGATGGCACATTAGTTTCAATGGCAGACTGTGGACAGTGCCTCATGTCTGTGGTACCATCTAAAATTGATTTTCAAAAGACCTTTGACAGATAGTTGTGCTGCTCGTTTATTAGGGACTGACCTGGCGTTTGACCGACTCGGGCAGAGACTTCTCCAGCAGCCCTCTGACCGGTGCTTTGCCGTCTCTGTTCTCCTCCTCTCCAGCCTCCACAGCTTTCTCTTCATTCTTACTGGTGTCCTCCTTCTCCGCAGCCACAGCCACCTCGACCCCTTTGGCCTCCTCCTCCTTCCCCTCCCCGAACACGTTTGGGTCGATCAGAAGCAGGATGAGCTGGACCTCGTCGCTGGTCAGAACGCCCATGATCAGCAGCGTTGCGATGAGTTTGAGGATGGGGACAAACTGGTACTCCACGCTTCCTCCCACGGGGTCGCGGATGTGCGCCCCCCCTGCATGCACGGCCTCGGTGAGCATGCTGATGGCCTTCTCCTTCAGGATGCCGAGAGGGATCTGGGGGCTGTAGAGGAACTGGTGCTTGGTGGTGGTGAGGATGCCCACTGGGGAGAAGTTCACCCGTGGTTTAAGAGAGGTGCTGAGGCCGACGCCGGGAAGAGAATGCTGTTTGGATTCGTCTGGGAACAGCCTGATGGAACGGGTTTCGTCGGTGACGGGGATAATGAACTCATTGTTCATCATTAGACGAGCCTCCTTTGCTGTTTCCAGATGGATGCTGCAGAGAAGAAAATGTGTTCAATAACTGAATACGGAGCTATTGTTCAGACGAGATTCAAATGAGGTTTTCCTATTTTCAAGATATCATGCACCAAACAGAATACAAACGCATTTATCTTTAAAATTTCACTTTAACTGGACCCATGTATGAGTTTTATATTTTATTTTACTTTTATTCAACCAGGAAAGTCCCAATGAGATTAAGAAACTCTCTTTCAAGGGAGTCCTGAAAGGTTTTCCATTCACAAAGTTCACACTTGTGAATGGAAAACAACCAAACAAACATGTATCCACTGGTGGTCCACTTTGGTAAAGGTAAAACATTTCAAAAATAAAAGCTATTTTAATAGTAATGGTATAGAGATAAACTACTGTATATAGAAACAGAAAAAGAGCTTAAATGTGCATCAGCAGTAATTACAACTAAAATCAGCCAAATTGACTGCTCTAAGAATTTGATCTAATCTAATCCATGTGTTCTGGGCCCACCTCATCAGAACGTTGTAGAAGCCCTCTCGGAGCATTCCGGAGAGGTACTGGTTATCGATGGTGTAGAGCAGCTGTGATTGGTCCAGGTGGCTGCAGAGGGCGTGGGCCACACGGGTGTTCCCCAGGGCACACAGGGCACAGTACAGCTTGAGGGTGTGGTAATGAAACTTCCTCAGGTCCTCAAGCTCAGACAGCTCCAACACATCCAAACACCTGAAGACACAAGATGCAGGAGTTTTAGTTAGCAGCACTCTCCTCTCCTACTGTATCTGTTGTCTTTGTGACTTCAGCTGTAGTCTGTTTATTGCAAATTACTCGCTGTTCCTTGGTCTGTTTTATGGACTGTCTCCCCAGCACCTGGGATCCTCTTCAGTCCTGGATCTACAGCCTCAGTACTGGATCAACAACCTATGTACTGGATCAACAACCTCAGTCCTGGATAGCTCGGGCTGGATAGAACCAGGGAAGTAGGTACTAAAACCCTGCTTCACAGGTACCTTATTGACAGGGCTGGGGGGAAACTTTCCCAATCCGGGGAGAGTGGAGTAGAGTTGAGTAAACTAGAATAGAGCATAGTAGAGCTGGTGGAAATGGGTTTGATGTTTGATATACTGTATCACAATGAAAAGTAAAACAGGAGTGAGACTGGTGCAGACTGGTACAGACTGGTACAGACTGGTACAGACTGGTACAGACTGGTACAGACTGGTACAGACTGGTACAGACTGGTGCAGACTGCTGCAGACTGGTGCAGACTGTTGCAGACCGTCCACAGACTGGTGCAACCTGGTACAGACTGGTGCAGACTGGTGCAGACTGTTGCAGACCGTCCACAGACTGGTGCAACCTGGTACAGACTGGTGCAGATTGGTGCTGGTGTGTCAGACCTGTTCTCCTCTGGGATGTGCACTGCCATCATCTGCAGAGGCTCTAGACATTGGACGACCCAGCCGTGGCGCTCGCTGACCCGCGCGGTCTCCACGTTCAGGAAGGTGTTGGGCATGCGGCTCCAGAGCACGGACACGATGGTCTGAACGTCCAGGCGCGGAGGACACTGAGGCACCGGGTTCCTGCGCTCGCTCTTGAACATGGCCGACGACAAAGGCATGGCTTCCTGAGGTCAACACAAGGACTGCACTTCAGCTGCAGCACAGAATATCGGCTAAAATACTGATGTTTTGGAAAAGACAAACCTTGATCTTGACAAACTCAAACTGGAAGAGGTTTGGACTCGTGGGTCGCACAAATACAGCTGGGAACAGCTTCGTGTTTGGTTCAACCTGAGAAGGAAACAGAATGATGAACAAGAATGAACAAGAGGAAAGTGCCCCAAAGGATTATACTCTAAGGCTGCATTCCACATACAGCAGAAGGATTTAGGATTTTGTTTTTGACTTTAAAAATAAATTGTAAGCTGTTTACATCACACAAGCTCTGGAATAACCTGAATATTAGCCTCAAAAGCAATCTCTAAAAAAGTGCTCTGTTCTGTTTTTGGCGTTGCTTTCTGGCCTCTCTCTGGCCTCGCTCTGGCCTCTCTCTGGTCTCTCTCTGGCTCCTCTCTGGTCTCTCTCTGGCCTCGCTCTGGCCTCTCTCTGGTCTCTCTCTGGCTCCTCTCTGGTCTCTCTCTGGTCTCTCTCTGGCCTCTCTCTGGTCTCTCTCTGGTCTCTCTCTGGCCTCTCTCTGGTCTCTATCTGGCTCCTCTCTGGTCTCTCTCTGGTCTCTCTCTGGTCTAGAGTATAGAGTAGAGTAGACTGGTGGAAACAGGGCTTATGTGGCATGAGTAGATGCTCATAAGTTATTTGAACTTCTACATTCTTCTATCAAGAAGCAAATGTATGTGTATTGTTTAACGCTCTAATAAAAAACAAACAAATACAAATAATAATTATATGTTGATTAAATAATATAACAGAAATACAGTCATTTTCAATCAGAATAATGTATTGTCTGTCCTCAGCAAATCTGAAACCACAGATCTAGAACAACCCATCACGAATGAGTCATATTCACCTGATATGTAGTGGGAAGCTCCTTTCCATTGGCCATAAATGTCACCAGGCCAGACGCCAAGTCGATGAAGCAGCCGATCTCCAGGTCAGAGTTTGATGACTGTCCCTCCACATCCGTTCCACACACCATGTAACAATTACTCCTCTGGACACTGTGGCGGAAAAAAAAAAATCCAATACGACATCATAAAGACATGTACACCATACAGTATACTCTCTCTCTCTGGTCCGTCTCTTTAGTCTCTCTCAGGTCTCTCTCTCCGGTTCCTCTCTCTAGTCACTCCCTAGTCTCTCGCCAGTCTCACTCTAGTCTCTCTCTGGTCCCTCTACCTAGTCTCTCTCTAGTCTCTCCCTAGTCTCTCGCCAGTCTCACTCTGGTCTCTCTCTGGTCCCTCTACCTAGTCTCTCTCTAGTCTCTCTCAGGTCTCTCTCTCCGGTTCCTCTCTCTAGTCACTCCCTAGTCTCTCGCCAGTCTCACTCTAGTCTCTCTCTGGTCCCTCTACCTAGTCTCTCTCTAGTCTCTCCCTAGTCTCTCGCCAGTCTCACTCTAGTCTCTCTCTGGTCCCTCTACCTAGTCTCACTCTAGTCACTCCCTAGTCTCTCGCCAGTCTCACTCTGGTCTCTCTCTGGTCCCTCTACCTAGTCTCTCTCTAGTCTCTCCCTAGTCTCTCTCTAGTTTCACTCTAGTTGCTCTCTGGTCTCTTCTTAGTCTCTCTCTAGTCTCTCTCTGGGGTCTCTCTAGTCTCTCTCTGGTCTTTTTCTGGTCAGTCCCTGGAATCTTGTTTAGTGTCATTAAAAATACTTTTATATCTATTTGGTTCATGGCTAAAATATCAAGCCACTAGATGCTTCTGCAACAACATGTGAAGTTAAAGTCCCTTGCCTTTCATGGACACGTCCACGCTCGTCTCCCAGAGTCACGGTGACGGTGCGTGTTTTGCTGAGAGCAAAGTTCTTGCTGTAGTAATGATAATCTGGAGAAACCCATCCGACCCACACAGAGGCCGGGTCCTGACCGGCAAAAACTCTGACCGAGTGGTAATACTGCAAGAACCACAAAGAGAAGATGAAGACATGTTTGGGCACATGAGTGTTGTAGCGGAACATGACAATTCATTATAACAATAATGCTATTCATGACAATCTGGTCAATGTCTCCCCTCTCTTCTCACCCCTCTCTAAACTGTCTCTTCTCTCTCCTCTCATCTCTCTTTAAACTCTCACTCTTCTCTTTCCTCTCTAATCTCTCACTCCTCGTCTCCCTCTCTAAACTCTCCTTCGTCTCACCCCTCTCTAAACTCACTCCTCTCTCCCTTCTCTTCTCACCCTTCTCTAAACTCCCACCCCTCTCCTCTCTTCCCTCTCACTCCTCTCCTCACTCCCCTCTCTAAACTCTCACCCCTTTCACTCCTCCCCTCTCATGTCTCTGGACGTTAAAAGCTGAGATCTGCGTTGTCCTAGGTATATGATCTTACATGAACCCCAGTGAGGGTTTGCTAACGGCATAAATTCTATTTTTGTACAAAGACACTTGTTTTCCTCAGATTATTATAAAAATACTGTACCGTGGTGATGCTCCCATAATCCACTGTCCCATCTTCTTTCGGCGGATGACTGCAGACATTTGATTGACATAAAAGTGTTGAGTTTAGTTACTGACGGAAATATAGTTGTTGAACTCTCTCGCCTCACCTGAGTTTGTGTGACTCGTCCAAGATCATGTCTGTAGAGTAGAACTCCACAGGAATGCTGAGTCTGCAGAACACCATGTCCGAGTTACTGTTCTGGGTACCGAACGTCTTATGTGTGACTTTGAGACACGGAGGACTGTCTACTGTGCCGTCAATCCTCGTCACCTTCAAAGATACAAAGAATAATTTTGGTTCCACAAGAGAGCATGAGATTACAGCCCTGTTTTCACCAGCCCTACTCGACTCTACTCTAATCTCTCTGGTCTCTCTCTCTCTTCAGTCTCTCTCTAGACTCTCTCCAGTCTCTCTCTAGTCTAGAACAAGCCTAAATCCGGGTAATTTCCTTGATAACCATGGCTTCCAGCAGCACATTGGCCAATCAATGGTCTGTTAGAACACCTCGATAGAACCAGGGACAAGAGAGACTAAAGAAAGGCCTGCTACAGATTAAACAGGGCCAGTGGAAACAGGACTAAAACAGGAGAAGAGCAGACTAAAGTAGAGTAGAGCTGGAAACTGGACTCATGAGAGAGTACCTCTACGTGCTTGTGTTGTGGGGGCACATTGACGAAGGTGGGCAGACGTTTGCTGAACCACATGGTGATGTCACGGTTCATGTTGACGGCGAAGGGTTGAAATCCCTCTTGCAGGCCGTACATGGTGTAGTACTGCAGCGTGCTGGCGTCTTTGCCCAGGTTCATGCGGCCAATCTGAGACTGCCCCATGCTGCACACGGGAATGAACCCTGCGGCAGGAGCCAGAACGGTTTTACGAGTCAGACAATTCAAGTTCAGAAGAGAAATAGTTTATTTGTGTAGCATAGTTCTTACAAAAGACAAAGTGCTTAACAAGAAAGGAAACATTACAATCACAGAAGGCATTAAATACAGGCCAGACACCTGGGATTATTTGTGTAGGTGCTTTTTATAAGCCTCTTTTTTGATGTATTGATCATTTCAATCAATTTATTTGTGTATTGCCCTAAGACACAACAGCAGTTGTATCGCAGGACTTAATAAAGTTGTCGATTCACTATCAACAGATAAGGGATTCAAACAGTTCTGGAAATGCAATAATAGCAAACACATAGGAGCCATTGGTATGAACAGAAATGTTCAAATACAGTGGGGAAAAAAAGTATTTAGTCAGCCAGCAATTGTGCAACTTCTCCCACTTATAAAGATGAGGGAGGCCTGTAATTTTCATCATAGGTATACCTATGATTTTTAAAGTTATTTGTAAATTATGTGTAAATAAGTGTTTGGTCACCTACAAACAAGCAAGATTTCTGGCTCTCACAGACCTATAACTCCTTCTTTAAGCGACTCCTCTGCCCTCCACTTGTTACCTGTATTAATGGCACCTGTTTGAACTTGTTATCAATATGAAAGACACCTGTCCACAACCTCAAACAGTCACACTCCAAACTCCACAATGGCCAAGACCAAAGAGCTGTCAAAGGACATAAGAAACAAGATTGTAGACCTCCACCATGCTGGGAAGACTGAATTTGAAATTATTAGAAAATGGAAGATTTACAAGACCACTGATAATCTCCCTCAATATGGGGCTCTACAAAAGATCTCACCCCCTGGGGTCAAAATGATCACAACGGTGAGCAAAAATCCCAATACACTTTTTGGTAAAAACTCAACTTGTCGTCTTTGGAGGAGAAAGAAAGCTGAGCTGCACCATACCTACTGTGAAGCATGGGGGTGGAAACATCATGCTTTGGGGCTGTTTTCCTGCAAAGGGACCAGGACGACTGATCCCAAACACACCACCCGGGCAAGGAAAAGTGGCTTTGTAAGAAGCATTTAAAGGTCCTGGAGGGGCTTAGCCAATCTCCAAATCCCAACCCCATAGAAAATCCTTGGAGGCGGTCAAAAGTCTGTGTTTCCCAGCGACAGCCCCAAAACATCACTGCTCTAGGGGAAATTGAGCATGGAGGGATAGGCCAAAATACCAGCAACAGTGTGTAAAAACCTTCTGAAGACTTTCAGAAAACGTTTGAGCTCTGTCATTGCCAACAAAGGGTTTATACTAAAGTACTGAGATTAACTTTTGTTATTGACCAAGTACTTATTTCTACCATAAATTACAAATACATTCTTTAAAAATCAGACATGTGATTTTCTGGTTTATTTATTTTTTTATTCTGTCTCTCATAGTTGAGGCCTCCCTGTAATTTTCAAGTGGGAGAACTTTGCACAATTGTGACTAAATGCTGACTAAATACTTTTTGCCCCACTGTACAGCCTCAGTCCAATTAAAGACTGTGGCTGTAGATCCTGGACTGAGGCGGAGGATCCAGGCTGTATACTGGGGCCCCTTACCCTCCGTTAATGTATAATGTATGTAATGTTTATGTATGATGTTTGCAACAGGTTCTCACCATCTTCAGTCTCAAAGTCGGCAAAGCAGAGCTCAGAGCCTTTGCCGGTGATCAACAATTCTCCATTCAATGTGAAAATCATGGACTTGTCCTCCATATTTATCATGCAGCCAACTACATCTCCCTTCTTCCATGGTTGGCCGAAGTACCGGCTGCCAGCGTGCATACGCCGACCCTGAGGAAAAGAAAGAATACAAACACATCTTATAGTCGCTGATTAACTAGCTGAGAAACATAGCAGCTACTTATTTAGTATATTTTGTGTGCTCCTGTGTGCTCTTACTACTGTCCTGTATGTGCACTGCAACATTGACTTTTAGCCACTGTGGGACGAACAAAGAATCTCTTATCTTATCTAATGTAAATACTTGTGTTCGTAACTTTAAGAATCATGTGTTTATCGATGATCCTCCTGGGATCCACAAAGTATCTATAAATCAATCTTGATAAATAGATTGTTACTTAAAAGATGATGCCATCTGCAAGTACACACATAAGAATGAGTCTGGTGTGCGTGTGTGTGTGTGTGTGTGTGTGTGCACGCGTGTGCGTGTGTGTGTGCGTGTGCGTGTGCGTGTGCGTGTGCGTGTGTGTGTGTGTGTGTGTGTGTGTGAATGATTGGTGGTGGTGGGAGGGAAGCAGTATGGAGATTAATGCTGTGAGTGTCCAGAAAAGTGCTGTATAAAATCTATGCATTCTCTATATGTTTATATATGTTTAAAGTCCAATAATTGAACAAACACAAAATAAAAATCTTGATCATCAAATCTTACAACATTGTATTCATTCAAATATAAATGTATATCGTCTAATGGCTCCAATCCTACAGTACAGAAAAGCTGGTTACACCTGACTGACCTTATAGCCATCAAACACAAAGGCCTGGTCGTCGATCCCGAGCTCCACGTCTGGCCGGCAGCCCGGTCGGGCCCAGCCCACTCTCATGTCTCCTCCAGTGATGGCCTCAAACTCAAAGTACCACTTCCCCGTTTTCACCGAATACGTTTGTTCCACACGGAATAAGCGGATGGTCTCAATGCTCTGGTCACCGTCACTGTGAACAGCTGAAGAAGAACGCTCAGTGAAGACCACTGTAAAGTCACATGAATGCTCAGAGTGAAGACCCATTCTCACTCTCTTGGTCTGGAGGATGGATGTCGTATCCGTATCCAACCAGTGTACGGATGGCCTCTCGCAAACTGTCGCGGTTTGACTTCTTTGTTCGTTCGTCCAATAAAGCATACGGCACCAGACGGGGATTCCGCCGACTCTTCAGATCCTGTCACAAACCAAACAGGAACTGCCATGTTACATGATGAACACCTGGACCCCCAGAGCAGTCATTTTGACAGCTCCCATTTTAATCAGTAGAATTCAGAAAAAAATCCCCCCAAAAAGTGACTTAAAGTAATTTATATATAAGTCATCTCTCACCTGCTGGATGCCATAGGTCCATCCCTGTTTGATCCTGTCTTTGGCCCACACATTGTGTGCGTTCTCGGCCAGTTTATCAACCAGAAACCCCTGACCTGCTTTCAGCTTGATGTCAGACAGCTCTAGTGGCGCGGGCTTGTATCCGTTAGACATCATGTAGCTGAACATACATCAAACAGAGATCATTAACTTAGATCATGAACTCATAATACTGTGTTTGTTATAAAGACAACACTCACTCTTTCGGAAGTTTAATTTTCTTCAGATCGTCTTCAGCGTGAACGTTGGCCTGAGCCACATGGCAGCCCAACGCCAACAGGGTTCTGGAACAAACACACGTACACACCACACAGGTTAAAGGTGCATTACATAAATACATATTAACGTAAATAATATATTTATAGTGTCTTTTCTGGGGGTTACTCCACAAGTTAGATGTACAGTATGTACTGTACACAATTTAAAGGAGCAATATGTAAAAATCTGGCCAAAAGTGGTACTGCAGTCACAGTCAATATTTTGTAGTCCTCTCCCACTCTCCCTGACTCAGGTTGCCAGATTCACACCAAATCCAGCAGCAAACACAGGGAATTATTTTATCAGTTGTTTGTCCGTCTCCATTCACATGCCATGACAGCCGTGCTAATGCTGAATGAATGTTTTGATTCATGTTTTTTTATTATTATAATTTGGACATTTGAGATAAAAAACAAAAACAAAATAAAAGCAATGTAATTATACATAGTTTATGCAAAATAAATAAGAAATTGATGTCCAAAATAGGAGTGGGAAGAATGGATGTTGGAACGTATTTCTTCAGCGTATCAACATCAGGGTTTGCTCAAGAGGATATCACCTTTCAATTTTATTTATTCCCTATTTTTTAGACAAACATGTAAAAGTCCCACATCAAAAAGAGACTAACATTATTTTAATTGGGGTACATGTGGTCTTAAATGATTATTTTTACAATTAAGCTATAATCTGCAAAAAGACGTCTTGACCTTCATCTTTTACCGTTTTTAGAGCAATCTGTCATAGAATGTGATAACATGCAATAAATACAAAAAGACATAGCCCGGGATCGAACCCAGGTTCCTGCATAGTAAGCGTGCAGCTTAGACCGCTAGGCCACCGGTTCACACAAACACCGTGAAGAACGGAGTCAAACTAGAAAATTCTGCATCACACGTAAACTTTTATCAGCTGTCTCAATTGTTCAAAGGCATCCCGATATAAATCCTCGTGTTAGTCTTTGTTTTGTCATTAATTATTTGAGAGTCATAACAAGACCTTTTTTAGTTCTACGCCACATGTTATTTTACCTCTAAGATTAGTGAGCCGCACAGAGTTATGGCAACCCGATCACGGACTTACATGACACTTCCTGATTGGCGAAACGGCGGAGGGTAGGACATCAAAATCAAAACAATAACAACTTTTACGGGTCGTAAAACTAATTTTGATGATCAAATATCTCGGCTGAACTACTGTTATCAGTTAAAGATGAATTCGAAAAGAGTATGATTTAATAACGCCTTTTGAAATATTCGGGTCATTTAATGATGACTTGATGCAAATATTACATATTGCTCCTTTAAAGCCAGTCTCTTTACAGAAAAATGTGTGAAATGTAAATGAAAAAGTAGACACAGACAATGGGCCTCATTCACGAACGGTTCTTAGGAACAGATTTGTACGTAAATCCTACTTACGCGGTTTTTACGAAGAAAGTGGCATTCACGAATATTTCTCGTAACCAGAATTTCACTTGGGCAAGTACAAATCCTACGAGTCCTCAGGAGCACTCGTACGCATTCAGTGCCGACATGTTCACACGCCGGGGTTGTCCTCTTTGGTGAAGTTGAATAAAAATACAACATTCCAGTGATATGTCCGTCATATCGATGTATGTATTTATTTATTTGTAGTAATCTTTATTAGTAATCTTTATTTATATACCGCCTTTTTCACTGCAGATCTGGCCTACTTTTTAATTCATTTTGAAATGAAATGTGCCAACGCTTTATCAAATACATTGGAAATCTTGCCGTGTATTAGTGACCCCTTCCTATTTATAGGGGGCATTTCTTTATCCACGGGCCACAGAACAACGGCATATATACTGCTGCTGCAGGAGGTTACTGGGTCCGCGCTGAGTCTCTGCGCTGGTCTCTCCTATGGATCTATACAGGTCTGCACTGGTCTCTCCCATGGATCTATACGGGTCTGCGCTGGTGTCTCCCATGGATCTATACGGGTCTGCGCTGGTCTCTCCCATGGATCCATACGGGTCTGCACTGGTCTCTCCCATGGATCTATACGGGTCTGCGCTGGTGTCTCCCATGGATCTATACGGGTCTGCGCTGGTCTCTCCCATGGATCCATACGGGTCCGCGCTGGTCTCTCAAGTCTGGTCTATGCGGTCTCTCTTCGGTCCGCGCTGGTCTCTGCGCACCGGTCTCTCCAGTCAGGTGTCTCCAGTCTATGCGGTCTCTCCTGTCCGCGCTGGTTTCTGTGTGCTGGTCACTCCAGTCTCTCCTCGGGTCTGCATTGGTCTCAGCGCTGGTCCGCGCTGGATCTCCTCCCAGGGTCCAAAATATTTTGAGATTAATCTCAAAACATTTTGAGATTCATCTTCAAAATAATACATAATATATTTTTAAATTAAGCTCATAACATTTTGAGATTAATCTCATCATATTCTTAGATTAATCTCATAATTTTGCTAGTTCGACTTTATAATCATAATATTTCGACTTTTAAGTCAACATTTTATAACTTTATTCTCAGTCTGGCAAAAGCCTGCTTTAGGCCTGTTGCTGTTTCCTCTGCCGTCTGCACACGGCCCTGCAGTCCCTTATATGGGCATTAGTGGGCGGTTACTTATGCTAAGTACCTATGGTAATGAAGCACCGGGCACGCGCGCGCTGTACTTACGAGGAAATGGGATTCATCAATCTGAGAGAACAGCTGCGAACAATTCAGCGGCTTACGAGTGCGTTGATGAATCCCACGTGGGGACTTCTTAGAAATCTACTTAAGGACAACTTGAGAAGAAAGTTGAGTAGTTTCTTACGAAGTTATTCGTGAATGAGGCCCACTCTCTGCGCTCAGCTCAGAGCAAGGAGTGCTGCCCCCATCCTAATTTGTTTTGGCCGTCTGAAAGGTCTCTCTCCAGCTTCTCTCTGGTTTCTAGCTATTCTCTCTCTAGTCTCTCTCTGGTCTATTTCTGGTCTCTCTCTGGTCTCTCCCTCTGGTTTTTCTTTCTGGTCCTTCTCTCGTCTCACTATGTTTTCACTCTCTGCGCTCTCCCTGTTCTCACTCTCTTTCTTTCTGATGTCTCTCTCTCAGGTCTCTCTCTTTGATCTCTCACCGGTCTCTCGCTGAGGGTGAATTGTTCTTTTGGTACTTTAAAAATGAAATGTTTTGTTTGGTCACATTTGTGGAGAAGACTGGACACTGAGACAGAGGACACAGACAGAGCAGAAATGATTGTTGTTGCTTAAACCATCTTCCAGTTTGTATCGTATTAGGGCCATTTGGCCACTTACTCAAATAACACATGACCATGAACCATCATTTTATACAGTAACAATGGGCCTCATTCACGAATAACTTCGTAAGAAACTACTCAACTTTCTTCTCAAGTTGTCCTTAAGTAGATTTCTAAGAAGTCCCCACGTGGGATTCATCAACTCGCTCGTAAGCCGCTGAATTGTTCGCAGCTGTTCTCTCAGATTGATGAATCCCATTTCCTCGTAAGTACAGCGCGCGTGCCAGGTGCTTCATTAGCATAGGTACTTAGCATAAGTAACCGCCCACTAATGCCCATATAAGGGACTGCAGGGCCGTGTGCAGACAGCAGAGGAAACAGCAACAGGCCTAAAGCAAAGAGCTACACAGAGCAAAAGAGTCACCCTTTTTTCTTCTTTTACCAGACTGAGAATAAAGTTATAAAATGTTGACTTAAAAGTCGAAATATTATGATAATAAAGTCGAACTAGCAAAATTATGAGATTAATCTAAGAATATGATGAGATTAATCTCAAAATGTTATGAGCTTAATTTAAAAATATATTATGTATTATTTTAAAGATGAATCTCAAAATGTTTTGAGATTAATCTCAAAATATTTTGGACCCTGGGAGGAGATCCAGCGCGGACCAGCGCTGAGACCAATGCAGACCCGAGGAGAGACTGGAGTGACCAGCACACAGAAACCAGCGCGGACCTATAGGAGAGACCGCATAGACTGGAGTGACCTGACTGGAGAGACCGGTGCGCAGAGACCAGCGCGGACCGAAGATAGACCGCATAGACCAGACTTGAGAGACCAGCGCGGACCCGGATCCAGGAGCATGCAGCACGGACCCGTATGGAGAGAGACCAGTGCAGACCCGTATATGGGAGAGACCAGTGCAGACCCGTCTAGATCCATGGGAGAGACCATGCAGACCAGTATAGATCCATGGGAGAGACCAGTGCAGACCCGTATATGGGAGAGACCAGTGCAGACCCGTCTAGATCCATGGGAGAGACCAGTGCAGACCAGTATAGATCCATGGGAGAGACCAGTGCAGACCCGTATAGATCCATAGGAGAGACCAGCGCAGAGACTCAGCGCGGACCCAGTAACCTCCTGCAGCAGCAGTATATATGCCGTTGTTCTGTGACCCGTGGATAAAGAAATGCCCCCTATAAATAGGAAGGGGTCACTAATACACGGCAAGATTTCCAATGTATTTGATAAAGCGTTGGCACATTTCATTTCAAAATGAATTAAAAAGTAGGCCAGATCTGCAGTGAAAAAGGCGGTATATAAATAAAGATTACTAATAAAGATTACTACAAATAAATAAATACATACATCGATATGACGGACATATCACTGGAATGTTGTATTTTTATTCAACTTCACCAAAGAGGACAACCCCGGCGTGTGAACATGTCGGCACTGAATGCGTACGAGTGCTCCTGAGGACTCGTAGGATTTGTACTTGCCCAAGAGAAATTCTGGTTACGAGAAATATTCGTGAATGCCACTTTCTTCGTAAAAACCGCGTAAGTAGGATTTACGTACAAATCTGTTCCTAAGAATCGTTCGTGAATGAGGCCCAATGAGTGCAGTCACAACATTACTCAGTGTTGAAGATTCTACAATAGCCTCACTTTAGAGTCTCACTGGACATCTGCAAATTGTAGTTTCTTTCTGTTTCGGGCAGTTTGGAGAAGTCCACGAGACACGGGTGCTGCCTCTTGTTGTCATCCCGAACCTGAAACATAAATATATATTAAGAATGTTGTTCCATTTTTCTTTTTCTCTATCCGTTGCCGGGTTGCAGGGGCAGCACACTTCCTCCAGATTATCTGGGGCATTTTTCACTGGGACTATTGAGTCAGGAGTAAATCATCCAAGCATCTGGTTGAACTTAACCCTTGTATTATGTTAAGGGTCAATTTGACCCATTTCAGTTTTTGAGTTGATCAAAGTACTGGTTATCCTTTCTTTTTCTTGCTGAAATTTGGTGACTTTTCCTCATCTAGGGTCATGAACTGGTGTGTAAAATCTGGACACTTTGATGTGTAGTGGAATGTCTGTGCAGAGTTTGTATACAAAGATGATGTTGCGGGTCATTTTGACCCAGACACTTTAATGTGGGTAAATAGTTGTTAAGATCCAAAAAAACATGTCTCTTTGACATTGTATTTTGATTGCCCCTGAGACCCAGAGCCAGGTGTGTGAAGGGAACTTTCTCACACTTGTCACTGTTCTCATGTCATCTCTTTTGCCTAGCGTACATCGGACTGGCAACTCGTTTTATCCGTCGCATATGAGTTGCTGCCCCGCACACATTGACAATCTGGTGAAAACGGGCAATTTATAGTAGCAGGCCAGTCTCGGGAATAACAGCGTGTACATCGACAGTAACTGGCCTCAACTACAGTGTGTTTTCTGCATAAACTGTGGAGGGCGTGCAATACACGCAATACACACATGTTGTTGGAGCGCGCCATGGAGCGCGCACATCGGGTGATATCTCCGGATCTGAGTACAACTAGTTGCCGAAAAGTAGAACACGGGCAACTGACTGAAACTGGAGATTGACTGTTTATCTCCAACTGTAAGAGCGCTCACATCGACCGATTACGGCAACTGATCATCTACTCTCAGTTGCCAAAAGCTAGTTGTCTCCAGTTACTCTGTTGATGTGCGCTAGGCTTTAGACAAACTCACCAAAAATGAGCTCCAGAAGGATGACATGTGAGGAGGCTTTATCACAGATTTTTAACTGGGATAATGATGTAGAGGAAGAGATTTCAGAAACAGAGGATTTTTCAGAGACAGAGGACAATGTTATTGCTGATCCAGATTGTCAATTTTCCTACGATAAGGAGGATTCAGAGGACGAATCTTTGGTCAAGGAAAGAGGAAGGGAGGAAGGAAGGAAGATAGGAAGTAAAGAAGGGAGAAAGGAAGGAAGGAAGGAAAAGAAAAGAAGGGAATAGAGGAGGATGAACAGAGAGAAGGAAAACAGGATGAGAAAAAGGAAGGAGAAAGCATGGCAGGAGGAAAGGAGGGAAGAATTGTCATTTTGACCCGAGAGGAGGACAAGAAAATTAGACTAAATATTTCTTAAATATAGCGTTGGAATTAAAAATGTATTGTATGTCACTTTTCTAAATGTTTATATAACCTAAAATAAAGTTGTTATTGGTTTTTATCTGTTTTCTTGACTGTTTTGAGTGCATTTACACAGTACGGGTCAAAATGACCCGCAACATAATCAATGTCATTTTTTTTCAACATAATACAAGGGTTAAATTGTTTCTGTTATGAATTATAGTTGCAGTCTTCTCTACAGAACTCTCACTCATACTTTTAATTAAAGTGTCATGCTCCCAAAAGCGCATCAGTTAAATGGTCCAAAGAACGAGGATGTTAAAACCAGTGTGTGTGATCAGACTAACAACCAACCAGTGCCTTACACAGAGATTACCAGTGATTTCATTATACCCCTGTTCAACTCTATCTACTATCTATCTACTCTACAGGACTATACTTACTCTGCTTAAAAAGAGTAAACATACAAGAAATAGTATGCATTATATATCATAGAATGCCATTCAAAAATGATAATGAGACTTTTTAATTTAATTTCATGTTTGTGAATATGAAATATCATATGAAATACAAAATACTGTATATGGTATGAAAAACCCTTCTTTTCTCCCATATCTGCTTGCTTTAGGCCAGGGGTGGCCAACCCGCGGCTCTTTGGCTGGTTCCGTTTGGCTCTCGGGCTTTCACACGACAAGGGTCGAAAACGCTGCCATTCATTCCCTATGTAGTGTATCTTTTACTAAATGCATTTTACTAAATGCAAATGAATCATGGTTCGATAAAGACAGTTGTGTTTCTGCTGAACACTGGGTTGAAACTCGATTTTTTTTCTTGGTTAGAGATTGAAAGCATTCATTTCGGAATCATAATTGATGTTCGCTGACGTCAGATTATTCTGGTATCGACTCGCCCGGTTAGAACCAGGGCCAAACTATTAATAAAAAGTACCGGGGAGCGGCTGAAGCGAGCGGTGGAAGCGCCCGCAAACCAGGGAGAGTCGAGTCCAGCCCTTTAGTACTGTACGAGTCCATTTCTGTCATTATCATGTTGATGACATTTCCAATAAATCTGTCTGAGCTGAGCACACCTCTCTCTGCTCAGACAGATTGCAAGTGTGTGCGTGTGTGTGCGTGTGTGTGCGTGTGTGTGTGTGCGCGCGTGTCTGCTCCTGTGCATACGTGCGCGTGTGCGTGCGCGTGTGAGTGCGCGTGTGAGTGCGTGTGTAAGGGTTGGGGTGATGTTTATGTAGTGCACATTTGTATGATGTGGCTCTTTGCTGTAACACAGTAAAAAAATTGGCTCATAGTCTAAAGCCACCCCGGCTTTAGGCCCTCCTCTGGGTCAGACCTTGCTCCGCCTCCAAACCATATATGGCACATCCTCTGTCCTGCCTCTCCTGAGCTATCGCTGGAGATTCCTTGTTCCTGTGGAGAACTGCGTACATGTTTGTGTGTTTGAACTCTTATGTTCACTTCCAGCTAGGGCTGGGCAATAAATTGAATTTAGACAATTAATCAGCTTTTGAAATAATCAAATTTGTGAAAAATGTGAAAATCGTGAAATTTAATGAAGGATATTGTGAGAGTTCCAGCAGCGCATGAACTATGTACTGTACTTGCAACTTCAGCGCAGTCTGAACAAGACTTTTATAATACGTATTGGGGGATACAAATTAAAAATAGTTTTGAAACTTGAATATTGAGTGGAAAGATCAAAAAATATTGTTAAGGGCAAAGTCCAGTTACTTTAATGAAAATCGATTTAAATTAGAAATTGTACAAAGCAAGAACTAAAATCGAGATTTTACTTTTTTGCAATATCGCTCCGAGCCCGACTTCCAGCCCTGTTTTCAAAAAAAGATTACCTGATCTTTTTATTCTCTTTTGTAGAAGTGCCACTGCTCCACCTCTCTACTTCTCTCCATACTGCTCCATATTCTCAAACCAAGTCTCTATCCACTCCAGCTCCACCCCAGCTCCACCCCAGCTCCACCCCAGCTCCACCCCAGCTCCACCCCAGCTCCACCCCAGCTCCACCCCAGCTCCACTCCAGCTCCACTCCAGCTCCACTCCAGCTCCACTCCAGCTCCACTCCAGCTCCACCCCAGCTCCACCCCAGCTCCACCCCAGCTCCACTCCAGCTCCACTCCAGCTCCACTCCAGCTCCACTCCAGCTCCACTCCAGCTCCACTCCAGCTCCACTCCAGCTCCACTCCAGCTCCACTCCAGCTCCACTCCAGCTCCACTCCAGCTCCACTCCAGCTCCACTCCAGCTCCACTCCCTGCCTCCTCCCACTACCTGCCCATCAACTATTTTTCATATGGTAAAACAAGTATCAAGGATTAGCAATTTTAATTTATTTTTTTCAAAACGACGAAACAAAGATGTGTTAACTTTAGAATTGACATGTATTGTTTTGGGGTTTTTTGAGTGTGATGTCATAGTGGTACAATGACATACTCTTACAGGACTGGAACAAGAGCTTTTAGACAGAAGGGGTGGAACTTTATGTTTTAGCCATCTCTCTTGCATCATGGTTAAATGTCTCCTTTGTATTTGTTTTTAAATTGCAGTTTTTTTATCTCCCTACAGCACTTTGGTTAGCTATAGGCGCTCTTTAAATGTTCTTTACAAATGAATATTGGTTGATTGAAATAAATTGAAAGACCTTTGTATAATGTATGTGCGTAATGTAACAATGTAAAATGTGTTTTTAACTGTGTCAAAAGTTATTATTAGGACGAACAATGCAGATAACACATGGTGATTGTGTGCACTTGTCTCAACCCCAAATAAAAATATATTATTTTATTTTTCGCATACCTTCCCAAAGGTCCAGCCCAACTCGATTTTGTTCATAGCCCACAATTCATGGATGTTTTCTGCCAATTTATCTCTGACGTTGTCCAGCAGAGGAGGAACCACCACCTGGAGAGAGGAGAGTCATCACAGAGCAGTTCCATATAAACAACATTTTAAAGAAACATTTCTCCTAACCTGAGTAGTGTCGACAGGCGTGGGGATGAACGAGGCCTGGGAGAGGAACTTGGTTGTCCCCAGCAGGTCTCGGACTCCTTCGACGTCCCTCTTGTACTCCTTCACTGGCTCCACATGCATCTTCTCTTTCGGTAGAAGAGCTTCATAACAAGGAGAATAACCAGCGGGAGGCAGGAACTTAAAGTCTCCATGACGGCCACCTAACAGGAATCGGACCCTGGTGGGGGAAAAGAGTATTACAAGTGTAATTTGCCTCATGATAATCTTTCTAACCTACTACTAATTTACTCGGCTCCGATTGGTAGCGTTTCCACCATATTTTTCCGAAAGAAAAGTAAAAAAGAGAAAACTACCCTTATTCAGCCAATCAGCTCTCAGCCCTAAGTGTAAAATATTTCTAAAATTAAAATTTGCCTTTTCTGTTGGACAAACATATAATAGCCTATTTGTGCTCCCATAGACTTGTAGAGATTTGAACATAAGCTAGCTGGAGTCAATTTCCTTATATGAGCATTTGTTCAGATGGTGTGAGCTTCGCACAATAATGGGAACAGATGCGTTGCTAACATAGTTGCTATTGTAAGCTGGAGTTTCATCTGATTGGTCAGATGGGTTTATGGCTCTTATCAGGATTAACAGACAATAAGGGATAACGTATAATACGCAGGTCATTATCGGAAAATAAGTACCGACAGGGCGAAGCGGACCCCGACGCGTCTGCTTTCGCCCTGAAGGTAATTATTTTCCGATAATGACCTGTGTAATATACATTGTCCCGCTTATTATATGGTTTTATACCAACAGAACACACAACATAAACTTCAGTCCACTTTTAGGAATGCCGAAAGGTTTATTTGAAATAAGAAAGAAAATAATATAGTTCCCAAAGGCTTTCCCGTGGCTATGCTAGCAACAATTAGGCTATCAACTTCCTAACTAGAACTCTCTGGAACTGCATGAAAACTGAACAAAGAATTCTGAATATCAGCGGTGAGTGACCCGAACATAAACCTAACCTAAATCCATAACTCGATCCTCTGCAAATGTATCTAAAAATGTGCCGGTATCTACATCCGGGTTTTTCAGGATCGCCTTTTCTCGCATTACATCAGTGTTTTTGTCATGAAAACGTAAACGGAAAATTCTGAAAACTTCCGTGCACTTGTATTAAGAATGTATATGTATAATGTACTCTCCGATTAACATTTAATTGCGTTGATTGATTGGCATTTGCGTTTAATGAGCGTGGCTAGCTCCGGAGTGGCCGGAACTACTTGCGGAGTTATCCATGCATCTGAAAGACAAGCAGAGAGTGCGTTGCCATGGGCAGCGGTCATTATTGTTTTGAGAGGTCCGTTATAGAAAATAATGACCGGTAGAACGTTTTGAAATTACATTAAAATCAATGGAGCATTCTACTGCTGCTGTGAGGAGCCGTGTAATAACACAATATAAACACCAGGACCACAAAGAGCACAAACCGTAGATTTAAACCCAAAATGGTGAGTGTGACACAAACGGTTACTGAGTTAGAGGAGTTTACTTTTACATGTAGGTCATTAGGAGCCAGAGCAAGTTCGAGCCACACTTATTCATGAGTACTTACCTTTTGGGCTTCCTTGAGCTACCGGGTTAACATTATCCAACTGTATCTTATACTGTCTCTGAGTGCATCAATTAAGTTATGAATACAAGAATATAAAGATGCGTACTTGACCCCAGCAGAGAAACTGACAACAGGGAAGAAGAAGCCGTCGGTGTTGAAGTCCTCGAACATGCCCTGCACCGGCTGCCCGTTGATCCTGAAGGACATGGAGGGAGTGCCCAGGTCCAGGCAGCAGCTGACCACATCGTCTGAGTTCAGCAGGTGCTGGTTTATGGAGGCCACAGCTCGGGGGATTCGGCCTGGACAAGAGCAGCAGAGGTACATGTTATTGCCACAAAGCCACAGCACATGTGGGGAAGGGTGAGGGGAAGAGGATTAACTTCACATATGCAGCTAAAGCAAACATTTGGACTGGAAGACATGGTTCTCAGTGCTTCTCCTACTACAACTACACATTGAAGAAGTACATGTGGAAGAAAGAGTGATGCCCTTGGCGCAAAGCCAGTAAGGGAAGAGAGTGTGTGGGCCTTTGTTTTGTGTAGTGCAACTACAACTACTACTTCCACAGGTAATTGTGGCCCTCTGTGTTGTTGTATGTGGCCCTCTGCCTCGCTAACTCAACGTACCCAACCAGAGCATAAACACAATCTCACCTTATCATGTATACCGACTTTACTTTCAGTACATTTGTTTTGTGGCACAAAATTCTGTATGTGGCTCTGATGTAGAGAGAAAGTAAACATTTGTCATTCAGTCAACTTCATCTCTGTCAATTGGGAATCTATATGGACCTCATTTTTAAGCCAAAACCGCCTGAGTCTAGTCCAATGAATTTAAATCCCTTTGACTTTGACCTTTGACTCCAGCTTGAACAATGAGGCCTATATGAGGCAACTACTACTACTACTACTAATACTATTACTAATACTACAACTACTAAACAGAATCATGGTAAAAGCAGCCTTGTGTAAATGACTGAAGAAACGTTGTGCATTCATACCTGACCATAGATGAAGCCCGTCAAAGCTGTAGGAATACAGGTCGTCCCCCACACCATTGCCCCCCCACCCTTCTCCTCCACCGGGGTACGGGGCGTAGCCTTTAGAGTTGGCCCAGCCCACCCTCAGATGAGTGGGCTCTCCGGTGACAAAGTGGTCCACCTGGTCAATCACCAGCTCAAAATACCACTTCTTATACTGTGCAGAACCCTCGGCCACGCCCAGGAAAATGTTTGGCCTCATGCTGTGAACAAAACCACAAATCTCAGTGTGTTATTTAATACTGATACTACTACTACTACTACTACTACTACTACTACTACTACTACTACTGCTACCACTACTATAAAACATTGAAGAAACACGAAAGAAGGAATGGAGTGAAAACCCCACAAATCCAGTAATGGAAGGGAGGTGTGGGGTTAGAGAGTATTTGGGTCTGTGTCGTAGAAGTAGAAGGTAGCATCAGTACACTACGACCACGACTAATACTAATACTACTCTTCGTCCTCTGCAAGGTGCTGCTGTGTAGCCACAGGAATGCTTCTTATTGAGACCCCTTTTATTTGCATCAAAAAACTTTTTTTTTTCTCCAATTTTTTTTCAATTGTCTAATTTTACCTTGTGAAGCACCTTGTGAGTCAATCTTTGAGGGGCTACTTACGTGGAAGAACAGGGCCTCAGCACAAAGCCAGTAATAGAAGGGAGGTGTATGGTCAGAGTGGCCTGTGTCTATGAAAATAACAACTGCAACAGCAACTACTACTGATACTGCTACTGCGACTGCTACATACAAACATACAGTATACTATATCTGTATGTCTATATACATATTTATATATACATGTACACTGCATATATATAAAGCCTTTGTATACCTTTGGACATCATTCACCAGTTTGGTCTGAAGCAGCATGTCCCTCTTCGGGAGCAGGTGGTCACAGATCAGGTTCTGATTGGCTCTCACTGCGACGCCATTACAGACGCAGAGAGAGCACAGCACGTCCAGAATCTGACAAAAGATTATATTATCAAATACTTAGAAGTATTGATGCTATTCTATATTACAACGATAAATTGTAATTAGTGATAACGTCACAACATTAAGACCATTGTAACCATAGTTATTCAGATAAAATATGGAACAGTATTTCTGAGAATGTGAGACAGGCATCTATGACAAATGTTCAAATCCAACGCTATAATCAGTAATAACATGTTGCTGGAACAAACTGAGTGAGGTGCAGCGGTTGTGGGCCTCGTACACAAGAGTGAGGACTGGGCCCCTGTGGTTTAACACAGCTGTAAAACACATAGTGAGAACGTAAACACAACAGTGTTATATGAGGAGGGTTGAGTGACAGCAGGCATGTCCAAACTGAGGACTACGGGCCAGATGCAGGTCACTGTGTCTTATTATGTGGCCACTAACGCAAAGTTATTATTGTGGTACTTTCATTGTGTCATCCAGCCAACTTCATCACCAGTATAGTATAGACTGAGCCTTCTGAACCCCGAGGACCGAACCTGTTTAAAACTTCTGACACGTAATTCATTGTAGTTTTTTATGTTTCACTTTTGCTTCTTTTGAATCTTTCTCTGTAAAAAATAAATTAAAAAAAAGCTCAAAATAAGTATGATGTACTATTACAATAATTGATATCACTATGACCAGAATCTTGTTTGTGTTTCATTGGAGCCAGTGACCCTTATGAAAGTTCAAGGTTCAAGGGTCTAGTCTGCGAAGGAAAAACACTCTGACTATCAGGACAATCGTCTGTACAATATCAACATGAATATACCATAATATTACACAGCGATACAAATAAATATACAAATAATGTTGATGTTTATGTCCCATAGTTATATGTAAAATGAAGTTAGCTGACAAACCTTGTGATTCCGTCCATTTTTGTAGAGCAGAGAAATAATTGACTTGATGTGGCTTTTTTGGATGATGTTCAGAGCCTCTGGACTCAACACCAGGATACAGTGGAGGACTTCCAGGATTCCTAAACAGGGTCACAAAAAAACATTATTTCACAATTAAGAATGCATGTTAGAAAATTAACTGAATTTATTTTGAAATACCGGACGAAGACTCCAGCCTCTCAAGTTTACTAATGAGCCAGTCCAGGTTCTTAGAGAACTGGGTGCAGTTGGTCCTGTTGCCACGAATTAAGGCAGCTGAAAAATGGCATCAAAAGTAAATATAAGGTCAATGTCATTGTGTAATAAAAGTCGCTCTCTGCACTCAATCTCTGGTCTCACTCTCTTGTCTTTCTCTCTGGTTTCACTATCTGATCTCTTGGGTCTGTTGGGTTCAACCAGAGAAAGAGACTGACCAGAGATTTCTCTCTCTGATCCCTCTCTAGTCTCTCCCTGGTCTCTTTCTGGTTTCTGTGTCTTTCCTCTCTCTAGTCTTGAAATGCATCAGTGTGCTCACCCAAAAGTTCATAAAGAAGGTTACAAATATCCTTCCACGCTGCACCAGCCTCTTCTCCAGCGACTTCTCCAAAATGCGCAGCATTGTTGTAAACATTCATTCGGTCAATGCATTTGACCAAGAGAGCCAGCATACCCTACAAACAAACAGCAAACAAATAAACAAACGTAACACAATTTACACAGAAAAGCTTTAGTGCTCCTCAAATGGAGGAGTTCAGGTATTTCTCTTCACGAGTGAGGAAAGAACTGAGCGAGAGACTGAGATATACCAGGTGCAGCGTGTGCAGTGATGCGGTCGCTGTATTGGACTTTTGTGGTGAGGAGGGAGCAGCATCTGCAGTGAGAGGTTTTCAACACCTCCCTCACCTCTGGTCATGAGCTTTGGGTAATAACCGAAAGGACGAGATCGAGGATACAATTGGATCATGAGCGTTTCCACATGGAAGGAGCTTGGAGTAGAGCCACTGCTCCTACACATTGAGAGGAACCCTTTGAGGAGGTTTGGGCATGTCCCACCAGGAAAAGACCAGGGGAAGCTGGAGAGTGTATCTCTCAGCTGGCCTGGGAATGCCTAAAGATTCCCCCGGATAAGCTGGAGAGGGGCATCTCTGCTCAGAATGCTGCATGGATGCATGGATGGATAGTGAGAGATGCATTGCTCGATCAGGAAGTTCTCACCTCTTCTTTGAAAAGGTCTTGGCGTTTAATGAGTGACCGTAGGAGGGTTTGTTTCTCCTCGTGCTCCAGCTCCAGATCCGGCTGCTTGAAGTACTCGATCAGGTCGTTGAGGGTTTGGAGCACCTCCTCTATGTATACCGCCACCTGCGTGTCGCCCTCTTTGGTAGCGTCCAAGGCCCTAGTGCAGGACAAAACCATTACGTTGACGGAAGCTCACCCTGTATTACAGAAGAGCGTGTGTGGTTGTACTTTATGAAGTTGCTGAAGAGGAAGGTGGTGTTGCGGATGATGCGTGCAGCTCGAGACTCCTCATGCTGACAGCGTTGGAGAATCAACCCATCGTCCATGTGGCCCTCAGAGTGTAAGCAGGCCTGGGAACACACACAGGTCAGTGTCAGAGTGTATGCACAGGATTCATGGTCCGAAGTGAACCAAGCGGATCAAGTGAAAATCCACTGGAGGAATGCTAACTTTTTGAAAAATACTAAAGAAGCCTTCAGCCTTTTACTTTGGACTAAAGCAGAGAAAATGGTCCGAACCCCGAGGCTACTCCATCTCTGCTGCTGTGAACCGTCCTGCTCCACCCAGAGGCTACTCCATCTGCTGCTGTGACCTGAAGGGCTGTTGTTTATTATTACTATTGTAAGCTTTGTTTGAATGATCATTTTTTAATCGTTGCTGCTACTGGAGACCTGAATTTCTCCTACGGGGGATCAATAAAGTATCTATCTATCTATCTTATACCATACTAAAGCAAAATGGAAATGCAATCAGATAGAGTAGAGTAGAGCTGAGTAGAGTAGAGTAGAGTAGAGTAGGGCTGGTGGGAATAGGGCTTAAGATATTGCCCTGGTTAACAGCTGACTGAGTGTTTTCCTTGATATAGGACACTTTAAGTGCCTTGAAACGTAGAAAAGCTCTACATAAATGTGGCCATTACATTTACATTCTACAAATCTTTAATTACAGATGAAATCATGGTGCAGACGTGTGTTTGAGACCCACAGCACCGACCATGTGCACCTAATGGAGAGCAGTATTGGAGGTGAAATACCAGCATGGTTAAAAAGACTACAATACCCTTCTCTTCAAAGGGCCGAGGCGGGAGGCTTTAGCGTCGGGGGCCTGGTAGGACAGCCACAGTCCTGTTGCCATGTGCATGACGAAACACATGGAGTCTCCATACTTGATCTCAGGCGTGCCCATGCCGTCGATGTCCCTCTTTGGGCCCATGTCCCCCTTCTCCTGTAGGTACACACATGCAGAAAACACTGGTTATACCAACAGTAACAACTCAAACCAGACAAAGTTAGGGAAAATCCAATCTGATTCTTTACTTTAGAGGGTTTCAAGCAGAAGGCCGTGGCAGAGGTGTCCGACTTCTCTCTGTCCTGAAGAACCAGCCCCTTGTCTTCAGTCAGGCCCAGGTAATACCCTGTGGCCAGATGGCGGAGTCGGAACGGCTGCCCCCATCGGATATGACTTCCGCTCCAGCTGCAAACAGATGAACCACACAATTACACACCATCCATCCATCCTTTTTCTTCCCCTTAATACATTTCTGGGCCGGGGGGGTGGCAGTCAGGGCTGCACCCAGTACACTGATCCTCCTGCAAGCGGTGAGTCCACAGGAGCATTAATCTTCCAGCGGGGGCTTCAGGCAAAGCAGGGTTAAGTGTCTTGCCCGAGGACACAACGACAGCAGTCATCAGTGGGAGTCGTGAACTAGGTCTTGTGGTGGGCTCGAACCCACGACCTTCAGGCTTAGGCTTATGCTCTACCAACTGAGCCACTGTTGCCCCACAATTACACACCACACAAGAAAAAACAAATCTTGGAAATATACTCAAATCAAGAGGCAGACTTAAAGGGTTGTTACAATATTAGTTACAAGAATCTGATGATTTTTATATTTCTTTTCTTGTTTTGTAAAGTAGTTTGAGTTGCAGTGTGTATGACTTCCTGTAACACATGTAGCTTCTAAGCACTGATTGCTGATCGACCTGTTTGAGTTTAAGTACACACAGTACAAACTATGTATACCCTCTTCTTTTTGCACAAGGTTTCATGCAAACAAATGAATGTTGTTTTATATTTATATATACAGGTCACATGCATATAGTGTGTGTGCATGTTATCTGGTAACACATATGTGTACGTGTGAGCTGTTATATGGGGACACATGTAAAAGATGTAGCTGAGATTTCAAATGAAAGGATTTCATACAGTCCATTTTAGAAAGGTATGCTATGCTGTGTTCACAAACATTGCAATTTCAATAAATCGTACAGCCCTTCAAACCAAAATGTCACTTCTGAAGCAGCTGTGAGTGTTAGCTGCTCACCTGATCCTCAAAGGCTCCAGTCTCCACAGCGACCGCGCCCTAGACGCTCCTTTCCCTGCTTCATAGTTCACTATCCTGGGAACAAAACAGTACAACACCTTCATTCATGATTGAAAATTACAGGTTGCTACCATATACATAAGGACAATGCTGACTCACTAGCTCAAAGACCTCCAAATGGGAAGTGCTCGTGAACAAAGTTTTGCTCCAATTCTCTTTGGCTCTTATTGCCTCTATAGTAAACTCCTCTGGCTCAGTAACCGTTTGTGTCACACTCACCATTATGGGCTTAAAAGATCTGTGGTTTAACTTTAATATAAACACTAGGATCACTGGGATTTCTCTAGGAACACTGAAATTTCAGAATCTCTTTTTCAGGGGAGTCCTGGCTCCAGAGAGTGCATGTTTTTAAAGTTTTAGGAACCCGGAGGTGAAAACCTTAGCAGACACTGGGAGAACATGCACACTCCACTCAGAATGGTACTGTCTGGTGGAACCCAACCCAGCGCCTTCTTGCTGAGAAGGGAGAGTGATAACCAACCATATTGTCTTTGTAAATCCAGATATGAGCCATAAAAGGATTGACCAATCAGATGCCCTCAGTCGAGGGGGAAACTCCAGCTTGCCTTAGCAACCATCTTGGCCACATGTTTGCACCTGTTACAGCGCCAAGCAAACGGCGTCTGAACAAATGCCCATACAAGGAAATTGGCTCCAGCTATCTTATGTTGACATCAGCCTCTTCTGCATTTAGGCTAACACTTTGGTGATGTCACTCTCTGTCAGAACACTCTTCATATACAGCCTATGGTTGCCACAGAGGCATTGAGTATCAAACACAGAGGACACATTTCAACAAAACATTCAATGATTTAAATGAATTAATGAATAAAACATGGCCGACCTCTGCTCGTCCTCGCTCTTGTCGGCTCCTGGGATTGTCAAACTCTCATCGTGTCCATGACAGAGTCTCATAACATGGCCACCAATCAAAAAACCTGAAGCGCAAACAGGACAGGGCCGCGAATGAGTGAATGTCTAACAAATACAACAATAAAGTAGCATCCAGGGAGAAATGTGAGGCCACTACACAGAGTCCGATATTTTTATGGTAACAGCCTCAGCGAGACGTACCTACAGCCATGCTGGCTGAGGAGCAGGTGGGCTGCACATTCCACAGCGTCTGCATGAAGGAGGCGTCCACCTGGAAGTTTCCCATGGCGACGGAGAGATGCTGCAAATGCACACACAACGAGACACACAGAGACGCACAATTACACACACACGCGCACCCGCGCACACACACAGATGGAATAATATTAAAAGAGATATTATGCAAATCAACTGTTTTGATCTTTTCTCCATGTTACCACGTTGTTCCTTCATCATTCATCATTGAGCTTTCGTATCGTGCAGGAACTCTCCTCCTCCCATCACCGCCTCATCAGCCAGACCAGCTCTTCAACCCTTCTCCTAGCTCCCACCACCAGGGTTTAAGCCCCAGGGGATGTCATTTCATATTCAGTTCCCCTTAGGCATTTGTCATGCAGTTCTCTGCCTGGGTCTAAGCGACAATCATTACCAAATTTCATCTATAGTATGCAATACATTTTTATCAAATGTAATTTATCAATTCATCAAATATCATATATCAGGATAGTCCTCAAAAAGTACAGATATCTGTAAATTAGGGCTATCAAAATTATTGCATTAACTCCCGTTAATTAAATTTTTCATTAATGGGTAAAAAAGAAATTAACGCATTAACGCATGTCCGAATGACCCGCCCATTTATCCATAATAACACTCAGAATGGAATTCAAGTTTTAAAAGAATACGCGAGTGACCGCAGGGCTGTTGTTTGCTATGAACTAAAGTCCGCCTCCCGGGGCACAGCCGGGGTCAGCTGCGGTCGCTCTGGTTGTTGTTAGCGGCTGTGAGCCGCTAACAACAACACGGTGAATGGCACTGCGGTAATGTGGACATTTAAGACCATACACACACAGAACTATTCTCTGCATGTTGTGTTTGTGTCTTTGCAACCTGTGCGTAACCTGTGCACGCAAATACCGTGTCTCCTCCTGAAACTAAACTAGCTAAATTAAAGCTGGGGTACATACATTTTCCCCTTTCATTAGCAGCTCATTTTGGTTGTGCCCAAAAGTAAAAGGCCCTAGTGTAAATACAAAATACCACACAGCAGATAGGTGGCTGTAGGTACATTGGAAATATGCGCATTACACATCCCCTTAACTATGGCACTGTTTCTTGTGTATTCTGTATTCCTCGTGTTCCTTTAAAGCCTCTCTCCTTGTTTCTTTATGGGGAAAGTTAATTGAGGTCAGGTGTAGAGCTGTGCATTCGGGACAGAGTCTCAGCTACAGGCTCATCACACAGAAGGCAGCTTTCCCAGAGGAGACGAGGAGAGACAGCTATGCAGGTATCAAGATTTCTATTATAGATATTTAAGTTTTCTTCTGAATCAACATGTCACTTCACTTTCACATGTTTTCCAGACTGAGATGATTTGTAAATTGTGTCTATGTGACATAAATATGACACACTAGTAATGAGCCCTGTTTCCACTTTACTCTTCTTCTAGTGTTTTCACCTCCCCTATTTAACAAGTACAAGTACCAGATCCTTCTTTAGTCCCTCTTGGCCCTGGTTCTATCCAGGCCAAGCTGGTACTAAAGTCATTGGTCAGAGTGCTGCTAAAAGCCATGTTACCAAGGAATTTCCCCGGGTACTGGTCTGTTGCTAGAATACAATACCAGAGACTAAAGCGTAATAAAAATGCAACCAGGTAGAGTAGAGCAGAGTAGAGTAAAGTAGAGTAGAGTAGAGTAGAGTAGAGTAGAGTAGAGTAGAGTAGAGTAGAGTAGAGTAGAGTAGCATATGTTAATGTTTATTAAAGGGATCCCCATTAGCACAGCAGAACTGTCGCTATTCTGCCTGGTATTCAAGTAAATAAAATGAAAATGCATGGATTATAATATCAGATAATATTCACAACATAAGAAATATAGTATACAATATATATATATATATATATATATATATAAGAAATTATAGAGGAATTAAACATATTTAATAGAAACTAACTCTCTTAACTATTAACGATTTTTTTCCATGCACGCATTGCTCTGTACAGATCAGAGTAGAGGAGAGTATAGTAGAATAGAATAGAGTAGAGCAGAGTGTAGTAGAGTCAAGGGCTGGTGGAAACTGAGTTATAGTGAGGAGGACAGAGTAGTATGCATGTTCTCCCTGTGCCTGCGCTGGAACCTGGACCTTGAAAACAACATTTTCAAATCTCAGCGGAACTGTCCTGGTTAAATAGTAAGAGGCAAACAGACCAGGAAGGAACCAAACTGTTGCTGTGAACTGTGTTGACCATAACAAGGTCTAATCAGATACTTGTGCTTGCACCAGTGACATTGTCGACAATTGTCAACAGCAGAAAGCAGGAGTTCATACGTACCAGATATCTTGCTGTGGAGACGCTCACAAGGATCAGATCGTCTCCAATCCGGACTTTCTCTCCCTCTGACCGCTGTTTGGAGGCGGGGTGAATGGTCCACCAGCAAGCCTCACCTGCACACAGTCAAAAAAGTCTGGGCTCATCGTCATGTCTTCAAGTTGAGACATGGCAATTAATTAGTTTAATAAGTTTATACATGTTAAAGTAATAGGTTACATTGTTTGTTATGTTAAAAATATACGTTGGAGCAGACCTCTCCATATAACATTGGTTTCCTGACCGTGCAGAGTGAGGGCTCTTGTTTTGCAATAATATAATAATATAATTTTATCTCTCTGCAACTTGAACAAGGACAGGGTTTCATGGGTTGAACCTCAACAAACTTTGGTCTTTGGGAGTGTTTCTATGTCCACAAGCACCTCAGGACTGCACAAGTTAATGCTAGCCTGGTCGTACCAGACCATAGTACAAATTACATTTCATACTAAGGTCTGGAGGTGCTCCATTGAGCTCCGTTTACAGGTGGGAGGGGTTAACTCCTTTTGCAGATTGAAACGATTGGATCCGAGTTTACTGTGACGTATGTAGTGCGCCAGAGTGAGTCGTTAGCATTCAGCGTTTAGCCTAGCCATCTCCTTTGCCGCTAACGGAGCCCGCGGGGAGTAACGCCACAATTTATTCTTGCGATTACATTTGTTAAACATTCCTATTGCTCCGGCTTCAATTTCTTGATAGAACCAGACCGGATTACTTTACTATCGCATTTTTCACCATTGTCAAACTACAACCTTACTGTTCGACGCAAACTCTTGACGTCACCCACAACTAACTACAACACCTGCCATCCGCGCTCTCTGAATGGTCGGTTGAAATTCAACCGATTGTAATCGCTAACATGGGGACTAGATCCATACGTTGCATGCAGTGAAATGATGATTGAGCGGAGTGTACGGATGGATAAGGCCAGGCTAGGTTAATGCTAGTACTGTGTGTATTCCGCTATGTATTTTGTCCTGTGTACGCTTGTCATTAGTGACTGTTGCAGTTGTTAATTTGTGCAGCAACCCTCCTCCTCCCCATCACCACCTTGTCAGCCAGACCAGCTTTCAACCCTTCTCTTATCTCCTACCACCGGGGTCATCACTTGGGTCATTTCCTGTTATGTTGTTTTCATTTGTGTTACAGTTACCGTGAAACAAGAAAACAAGAAAAGCAAACCTTGAGTTTTCTTAACCGTCTGCTGGCTGTCTAGCTTCACATGTTGTAAGGACAGAACACTTATATTTGTAAACTTAAAACTGATGGTAGCATTTAGTTTAGCTTATTGTTAGTGACCAGGGTCTAAGTAAATGATACAAAATTATGTTCACCAGATTTAGCTGCTGCTTCTTTCCATCTCTCCCTTGTCAAAAAATAATAGTATAGTGAAGTGTGATTTCATAGAGCAGACTTTAATACATGCATTTGTCTTCAGTATAGGTTAGACTTCTTGTGGTGCCACCTGCAGGTGAAAGACAGATCCCATCAAACCTCTGAAGCTAAGCAGGGCAGGTCCTGGTTAGTACTTTGATGGGAGACCACTGGGTAAAGACTGGTTGCCTCGCTGCTGTCAGTGTGCCTCAAGGCAGCTATGGCTGTAGTAGTTTCTCACCTTTGAGTATAAAGTGAATTAATAATTTTGTAAAGAGTGCCAGTAAGGCGTTGTATAAATATACATTATTTCTATAACAGCCTGGACTCTGTAACAGCCGGGGTATAAAACAGACTGCAACTTGAGTACATAGGGGATATAATGTCCCTGAACTTCCTGGATTGTCTAAGGACAGTGGTGATTGGGTGATTGAGCAGCATGACATAAGGAAGGATCGACTGACCCATCGGGTGAAACCATTGCAGTGTGTCCTTGGGCACTTACTCCGCCTCGCACCCTGTGTGATTGGCTCTATGATTTGAAGCACTTTGATGGCCTTGAAAAAGGAAAGAAACGCTATATACAGTAAATTTAACTATTTATTCCCATTTTGGGGCAGAGGTCTTTCCGCTCCATATGGAACGATGATTTAGGCCGATACACAAATACATTGAATCAAACTTTATGAAATGTACTACATAAATAAATTGGATTCGCTGATGCAGCATTCTTTACCAGTGGATTCTTCCTGTAGTCCCACATCGAACGACAGTTTGTCTGATAACGAGCGAGATGTCTTCAAACAGGTCAAATACTGCAGCAGGAAACACAGGATTAGACCAGCAGTGAGGAAGATAGGGATGAAGACAATGATGAAGACTGTTTATAGGGATCTCTTAATAAGACAAAGAGTAGAGAAGATAGTTCTACCGCATATTTGGGGTGGTAGACTTCATCACGACAAGCGATGGGGTGACGTGTCTCAGGTCAGTCTGACAGATCGGGCAGAACTTCCAGACTGACCACGCTCCCTCAGACTTACCACGCTCCATCAAACTGACCACGCCACCAGCCGCCCTGTAGTCACTAGAGAAGAGAGTATCAAGTAGGAGTCAAGGTGAAGGCCCCCTTGTCTATGTTGATGGTCTTTGAAACCGCTTCCTGACTCCTGAGGAGGCGTCACCAGTCTGGCCCGCATCCGGTAACCACAGCTGATCAGAGACACGTCACATCATCACGTGTCTTCTCTAACAAAGGCGGAATTCAACCGACCAAAAATGTGGTAATGGTAAAGATTCTTTTTGGAATAAACATTAAGAAACTTTATTCATTTCAGGCTATGCACACAGCTGTACTCACCATCGCACTGAAGGAGTGCCTCAGGAGGATGGCATGACCGTACAGGAGGGTCCGGTGACCGCCTCCTTGTCCAGCCTGAGGTGAACAACAGCAGTTATTATAGAGGAAGAGCACATGTGAGTATTCTTCTCCTGCTGGTGTTGAGGTCGTGACCATAGAAACATGTTAAAACCAGAGCATGCTAGAGCAGTTCTTTTACAAATGTTTGGATTTCAATCACACTGCAAGCATCAAATACACACTTTCACAACCAAATCATTTACACAGCAAAAAATGTAAGTCCAAAAAAGAGGGGAAAAAACAGGATAAAAAACAAACACAGCATTGAGTTGAACCAACACTTAACCAACTTATAGTGGAAGAAAAATATATGGAAGCATCTTAAAAAGTGCTGTTTAAGATGGAGAAATTACAAGAACATTAAGAGCCCCAAGGAGATTGGGCAGAGGGCGCTGATGTTGGATGTTGTTGAAATGTTTTGAATTCAGTTTATTGGATTCATTCTTGTGCTGGTAAAATGGCTACCTGTCACTAAACGATTGCTTCAAAGCATAGACTGTATATTTGGACAGTAACAACAACTCCAAGCCCATTTGAAGATAAGCTAGCTGGAGTTTCCTCACACGGGCATTTCTTCTGAGGCGTTAGCTTTGTGCTGACGTTGGGCAGACTTGTTGCTACGACGGTTGCTAAGGCAAGCTGGAGTTTCTCCGGTGGATGCAGGCATTTGATTGGTCAATTCTTATATGGCTCTATTTACAGAGACATAGAAAACTAAATTCCAATATAAACACGAGAACCACAGATGAAATCCCAAAATTGGTGAATGTGACACAAAAAGTTACTGAGCTTAAGGAGTTCACTCTTACATGTAAGTCCATAGAAGCCAGAGCGAGTTGGAGCAGAACTTTGTCCCTTAGCACTTCCCTATTGGGCTTCATTGAGCTAGCAGTTTATGCAGTCTATGCTTGAAAGCCTAATCCCGACATGGTTAGGCTGTGATGGGAGACAGCAGTAGCAACACTAGATGCTACAGTGGGGCAGCTGAAGAACTAAAGTTCCTTAGGCAAGATACTTTACCCATATCTAAAGCCCTAACCCTGTACTTGAAAAGGCTTTGCTATCTTCTTGTCAAAATGCCCGCTCAAATATCTCTATGTTTGAAGTTACACAGAGGAACCAAAGGTGCTGATTGTCTGGGCGAAGGTCCTCTGGTTTCGTCTGTATATTTGCATTTGTATTTAGTGTTAATTGGTTGGAACAGTGCGTGTTGAAAGACAGACACAACACCTGTATTGTATATTTGTGTGGGCTTTACACATGAGCCCCAACTAATCCAATAGAGGGCTGGCATGAAGTGGTTTGATAAAAAAGACAAATGGTAAGAGTCTCAGAGCAGCTGGGACTCAAGAGGTATTTCAGGCCTGAGCTCCTGCTGACACATCAGGGGAGAGAGGCGTGACCTCTGCTCGCCCATGCCCCGAGCGTCACCAGGGGACAGCAGGACCCCCGTTTATTCTTTTTCACGTATATCTTACATAAGTGTCGCCAGGGCATATCATTGATTAAATCTTCGGTTTGTCCTACTCTACTCTACCCCTGATTGGGAGTGTTTCCAACAGCCCTGTTTAATCAGTACCAGGCCCTTCTTTGGTCTCTCTTGGCCCTGGTTCAATTCAGGCCGAGCTGGTACTAAAGTGATCAACGGACAGTGATTGGCCAGAACTCTGCTGAAGGCCATGGTTACCAGGGGTAAAGTAGAGTAGCGTAGAGTTGAGTAAGATAACGTTGCATAGAGTAGAGAAACGGAGAGTAGAGGAGAGTAGAGTAGGCCTGTTGGAAAAGGGGCTTTTGAAACCAGAAAAAGTTATCTATGAAATACAAGGGTTTTGTTCAGGGCCACGTTAGTTTGGTAAACTTGCCAGATTGTAAAATTGACTAAACTGATTTGACTAGACTGAGGCTGTTCTGAGCTTTAAAATTAGCTATGACAGAGTTGAAGTTGGCTGAATGACAAATGTTAACCATCTCTCCAGCTGCATAGGCGCCATAAATGGAATATTGTGATAAAATAAAAAACAATGTCAGTATATGCAAATAAGGTATCTATGAAGTAAGACAGTTAGGTTTAAATAAAAGAAACATAAAGGAGATAAAAAGGATGTAGATGACATTTCCTCAAGTCAAAATCCATTAAATTAAGTGTGAAACCAAACCCAGAGAAAACAGAGCTGCAGTGAGCCAGAATAATATAGATATGTCTTCAGAACATGTCTGACACTGTCATTGCTGAACGGGACCAAGCAAATATTTCACTTATGTGCACAAGGAGATGGCTTCATGTCTATTTCAGGATTGTCATAATTTAAAGTTTAGGGCTCTGTCACACAGGAAATGGATTGTCTCCGGTTTAATGAGTGATGGTGTGAGGACTATGAGGACCTGAAAATAGAGTTATGATTATTACATATGTTTCTGTTTGTGAATTATGTTCAGTGTTATGTACAGTGTGGGCAATGATTTGACCGACAATCGAGTAATAGACATTAGACGTACAGTATGTGGAGGCAGGAGGCGGGATGTTAAACCTTCAGAGGGACATGCAAGAGGAAGAGGGAGCAAACACATGAACCTACCCATTTTTCATGATCAGCATTCTAGTGACACAAATACAGATGAGATTGTGTTATTTCAAATTGCAGCAGCAATTACACTCTTGGAGAATTATGAGTGTGAGAAGGACCCTCCCTCAGGAAGTGAGGTCCATGATTTATGAGGCCCTCTCCAGAGTTGTATTGGAGCCAACAGAGCTGCTGCCAGAGCTACGCTTCTTTGTTGACTACAATACAACTCTGCTCACTGCTTAATCACATGCAGAGCTGAGTCTCAGAGAGAACAGAATCTGTGAGAGGAGCAGAGCTGAGAGCCACTGTCACACCGAAGAGCACGAGTAGAACACTGTGTGGAGAGCAGAGTGTGGATACGAGCGTGGCAAACATTCCTGTTAGAAGTTTAGTTCATTTATTTAAAAGGACAGTGTGCAGACATAAAAGCGTCCATCTGCCGTCCATCACATAAAACAAACACAGTAGTATTCTCATCTCTTCCTGAACGATAAAAAGCACAGAGCAGATGTTCCCTCGGGAACAGAGAGAGAATGTCACTGCTTTAGAATCTTCCAGTCTGGTGTCTACATGATAGGTTAAAGAATTAAGCAATGTTTTCTCTTTGTTTTGGGTAAAAGTCTTTTCCCCATGGAAATGATACTTACTGGGGTTAAAGGGTAACGACACTGAAACCAACAAAGCAGAGTGCACACAAAGTGCACTCTCTGGGTCATCTCCTCTTATCCCCACATGGTCTTTCCTTAACTCTGGTCCATCTCCTCCTGTCCCAACAAGACCTTTCCTAATCTCTGGTCCATCTCTCATCCCCACATGGTCTTTCCTTGTATACAATCACTACTCCTGCTATCTACTCTGTCGCATCTTCTGGATACTCAGATACCAAAGATTCACTTATGTGCACTTTCCCCAATCGCAGAATACTAGTTTTGATCAAACCCTCTTTGCTCCACATTTTGACCCCAGTATTAGTACGGTATTACTCTTTCGTCACATAGTATTGAGTGCAGTATAATAAAACAGGAAGGGTAGAGACTCACCCCTTCGCTGCTGGATGATGTGTTGGCCAGCATCTCCTGCAGAGCCCTCACAGACAGAGACTGTTCCAGCACAAAGTTGCAGACGCACAGGTCCGGAGGAACATGCTGCAACAGTGGAAAATTTGTGAGTTAAATCAAACAACTACTAATGCTATTGCTAAAATCCTCTGTTTTATTTACATTTTTTTTGTTGTTGACAGGGACATTTCACAATAAATGTATAGTACAGACTGGACTTTTCATCATTAGTCCATGGTACAACAAGTGTAAAGTGTGCATACGGTATAATTCACAAATAGATTGGCCTCATTAGCATTGACAATACAGGTCCAATGTAGCATCTTTAACCACAAAGAGACACAATATATACAATATATCATCTTTGAGCCAGGTCCTTTGGCTGAGTTTAAACTTCCCCACTTTCTTCCAAGGTTCTAATATTTCTCTATCTAAAGCCAGCCTGAGGCCTGGATCTACAGCTTGAGTCCTGGATCTACAACCTGGATTTACAGATTCAGTCCTGGATTTCCATCCTGAGTCCGTAGGAGCTGATGGATCTCTCAATATGGGCATCCCCGAGACTACGTTTTGGAATGGTTCCTTGCCCCTGCAGGAGGGTCTAAGAACAGTGATCAAACCTATATCTCTGTTAAACAGCTACACATGGGAGCCATTGGTCCATAAGGAGCGGGATGATCACTGTCCTGAAATGTTAACAAATGTGTATAAATGTTCCGGATCATCACTGTCCTTAGACCCTTCTGCAACTTCAAGGAACAACTCCAAAACCCAGTGGAATTGAGGCGGAAGATCCAGGACTGAGGCTATAGATTCAGGACTGAGGCTGTAGATCCGGGACTGAGGCTATAGATTCAAGATGGAGGCTGTAGATCCAGAACTCAGGCTGTAGATCCAGGACCAGGAGCAGTTCTCGCATTGGGCATCTGCTGGAATCCTTAACACAAGCAGTTGATCCTTGACCCATAGAGTGAAGTGAGAAATGTGAGCAGAGAGAGGGGCCAGTGGTGATAATGAGAAGAACCGGCCCTGAAACTCAACACGCAGGACAGACGGTCTTTCCGGCAGTCACCACACGCCTGTGACAACGCACACTTCTTCAAATGAAACTAGAATCATAAAGATATTAGCTCTGTTGTTCGGAAGAGTGAGGTGTGAGGGATTCTAACACAGACCTGAGTAAGCTCAGGTCTTATCACTTCATAACCTCCTTCAGATGAAATGCACAGCTTGTGAAGCAGAACGACCTGGTGGGTAGGCCCAGGCTTTGCTTCTCGCCCTGCCACATTGGGACGTGTAAAGCCTGTTCGGACCAGCACATGTTGTCATGACAGGCTTAATTACAGAAGACAGATTAGATATTATTGTAGAGGCTGAAACTTCACTGATTTCTTTCTTACTTCAATACATTAAATATGAAAAATCGGGCTCGGGATCTCTGGGTTCCTTGCAATATGATGAGATACATGCATCACCATGATGTTAGCCTTAATGCAGAAGAGGTTGATTGGAACGTAAGCTAGCTGGAGCCGGTCTCCTTGTATTTCTTACGCAGCGATAGCTTCAGTGCTGTAACGGGGCAGACGTGTTGTTAAGTTTTCCCTGTGAATGAAAGGGTACACAGCCTGAGTCCTTGATCTATTCAATTCAATTAATTTTTGTATAGCCCTAAGATAAGATTTGCTTTATTTATCTCACATAGGATAAATTTACATGTCACATTTGGCATGGATAGAGACACTCAGATTGTGCAAAAGGAGGAAATGTGCAAACATGTTACATGCAGGATATATGTACAATAAAAGTGACAATAATTATGTACAACAAAGGTGACAAGTGTCAATTGGAAACAGTGTCAATAGTAGTGCAGGTTTTCACACAGTGATCATTTAAAGTGACTTATTGTACAGTCTGACAGCGGTGGGGATAAAGGCCCTGCGGTAGCGCTCCTTCCTACACTGAGGGTGCCTCAGTCTTCCACTGAAGGAGCTCCTCAGCTCCTCTACAGTCCTGTGCAGTGAGTGGGAGGTATTGTATGCTGGAGGTGGCTTTGGCTAGCACCCTCCTGTCCCTCACCTCCTCCACAGAGTCCAGGGGCCTCCTGTCCCTCACCTCCTCCACAGAGGTGGAGCCCAGAGTGGAGCTGGCCCTCCTGACCAGCTTGTTCAGTCTGTTTCTGTCCCGCTCTGTGCTGCCCGGGGTCCAACACACGGCAGCGTAGTAAATGGCAGAAGCTACCACAGAGTCATAAAAGGTCCTGAGCAGAGGCCTGCTCACTCCGAAGGACCTCAGCCTCCTCAGAAGGAAGAGGCGACTTTGGCCCTTCTTGTGCAGGGCGTTTGTATTATGGGACCAGTCCAGTTTATTGTTAATGTGAACAATAATAATGTAAATCACAACATTATCATCTCAGAGGACTTAACAAAACCGTTAAAATCGCCAACACAGAGCAGAAAATCAAACAGTTCCAACACAAAGAATAGAGAACACATATGTATTGGTCCATAGGAAGTTGACCGATGTCCATGAATGGATAAGTGTCCTAGATCATCCCCACAGTCCTTTTTGTTAGACCACTAACAGTCTAACAGACCCTCCTGCATCAGGAAGGAAATACTCAAAAACCCAGTGGGATATAAGGGAGAAAGTCCACATTGAGATAAGGATCTGCTCCAAACGGACGGACGGGCTGTAGATCCAGGACCTAAGCTACAGAACGAGGACCAAGGCCATGCAGCAGATCTACAGCCTCGGTGCCTGATCTACAGCCTGGAAGCAGATCCTTCTCTCATTGTGGGCTTCCCTGAGGTTTCTCACATTTTTCCCACTGTTTTTGAGTGTTTCCTTGCAGATGCATGAGGGTCTAAAAACAGTTTAGATTAGTTTAGAACATTTCTGCCCATTCATTAATATTTCTGGACAGTAGTCATCCCGCTCCCTATGGAGCAATGGTTCCTATGTTGGTTATTATTGCATTCCCTGTGTTTCAACTGTTTGATTCTCTGATCTGATGTTAGTGAATCCACAATTTTGGAAAGCCCTCCAAGACCACTGCTGCTGTTATGTTGGCCGATGTAATACACTCAATGGCCCATATCTGAGGAAGAGCTCTCTGTGACAGATTTTTACAGTTTGCTCTCACCATGAAGTTCTCTCCTCACCAAACTCTTATGCCTCTCTCTCTCACTCTCTCTCCTTTCTCCTCTCTTTCCTAATAAGCTGTGATATGCTTTTGTTTTTGGCAGATGAATTCAACTGACCTCCTCAAATCTAACTAACAGGTTTTGCCACCGCTTAAATACTCTTTTTATACAATGATTATGTATATCTTTCATTACTAAAATAAATCACACAAAAGACACCCGCATCACTATTAGAAATGGCCATAACAAGCCTTAAAAAGGTGTTTTGCCAATAAAAAGTGTGTGGACTTTCATTTGTAGATGGCCGTCTTCTAATTAACTCGATGCATGGAGTCTGTGTTCGGAGACGACAGAACGAGGATACAAGCTTTAGAGTCTTTGATTTACGCTCTATTAGGAGAAACGCCAAGAAACATCCAGACCTATTGCTCTCATTTATTTCAAACATTAACATAATTGTAATTAATACATATTTCACATTGATTCACACTCTCAAAAAAATAATCAATAAGCAATCAGTGATATTTCTAAATCTTGAACAATTTTCTAACTGTTTAAAGAGAACATTGACTTCTCAGATTTTGGCAACGTTATAGTTGTTTCCCTCGACATTTACACACAAAGCTGTTTCAGCAAGATTCCAGGAGTTTACTTTTCAAAGTATAAGAGCCAGAGCCAGCTCCACCCAGAGACTGCTCCACCCAGAACCTACTCCATCTATGCTGCTTTGACCCGTCGTGCTCCACCCAGAGGCTACTCAATCTGTGATGCTGCGACCCGTCCTGATCCACCGAGAGGCAAATCCACCTCTGCTGCTCTGACCCATCCTGCTCCACCCAGAGGCTACTCCACCTCTGCTGCTCTGACCCATTCTGCTCCACCGAGAGGCAACTCCACCTCTGCTGCTCTGACCCATTCTGATCCACCGAGAGGCAACTCCACCTCTGCTGCTCTGACCCGTCCTGCTCCACCGAGAGACTACTACACCTCTGCTGCTCTGACCCGTCCTGCTCCACCGAGAGGCTACTCCACCTCTGCTGCTCTGACCCGTCCTGCTCCACCCAGAGGCTACTCCATCTCTGCTGCTGTGACCTAAAGGGCTGTGGCTGATTATTACTATTGTTATCTTTTTTTTTAGAATGATCAATTTTATTTTTTATTTTTGCTACTACTGGACACCTGAATTTCTCCATCGGGAGATCAATAAAGTATCTATCTATCTATCTATCTAGTTGGAGCCAAACTAGTAGGAGACTAATAAAGGTTTATCTTATCTTAAACATCGTCCCTGTTGGACTTAATATAGCTAGCAGGTTAGCATTGTCCATCTGTACACAGTCTGTGATTAATCCAGACTCGAGCGGCTCTTACTTTGGCCTCGGAGGTGGACTCGAGGTAGCCGAGCCGGTTTCCCAGGCCCTCCGCGGCCAGGCAGAACTTTTGATGCTCCTTCTCAATGCTGGCCACACTCTGGAGCACCACCTCATCGTCCTGCAAACACACAGAGGGCAGCTGTTACTCACACGCAACAATGGGATTAAAAACACAAAGCGTAAATAAAGTTATACTGATAGAAGAATGTGATAAAATCATGGATCTATAATTATAACCATAGGGTATTACTAGCTTATAGCTGTCCCACCCACAGGCGCAGGGGGCGCCCGTGGTACTGCAGACTAAATTCACGTGGGTTTACCCAGAAAAAAGTCCCATAGAAGTCAATGTAAACTAATACTGCTCGACCTCAGCTGACAGAGAACTTACAGCTTTCATAAAGGTCGGATTTTGTGTGGATTTTAGTGTCCCTTGTCATCCTGAACTTTTTTTCTTCTTAAATCCATTTGTTTTCTTTAAATCCACACTTTACTGCCACAAACTCTGCTCCTTTCCTTCTCGCTCTGACTCCGCTCTGTTGTTGTTCTGATCAGCAGCTCTGATTGGTCAAAGCGCAGCCGAGCCCCTCTGAGCACGTGCATGAGAGCCACACACGCGTATTTGGCGCAACGCATCATGGGAGCTCGTCTACTGCGCAGAACCGGGAGGACCAGACGATGCCGAAATATGGGCGAGTTCTTCTAATCTCCCGGTCCCCGTGAAGTCCCATGCGCTAAGCCATTCATTTGAATAGGGCGCCATCTTGGATCACCAGGGCTTGAATAAAATACAGTACTAAAGTGTTTAGTCAGAGTGCTGCTGGGAGCCGTGGTTGCCAAGGAATTTCCACAGTTACCGGTTTGTTGCAGGTAGGTTTCTAGGCTACAGTGCCAGATACTACAGAAAAATGGAAACACAAGGTGAGTAGAGTAGAATAGAGTAAGGCAGGTGGAAACGGGGCTTAAAGTAGCAATATGTAAGATTTACAAATAATATGTCAAAAGTCATTCATAAAACATGCTCTTTTCCAATACTTCTTTAACTGATAAGTACCATGTGGCCGCAGAACTAAAAAAGGTCCTGTTATGATTCTAAAATCATTAATGACAAAAAAGGAATAAAAAGAGGATTTCTTTCTTTATGAAAAAGGAGTTTGTTATGTGCCTTGCCCTCTGCAGGTGGGTGGGGAGGTTCTTCCTCAAGTGGAGGAGTTCAAGTATCTCGGGGTCTTGTTAACGAGTGAGGGAAGAATGGAGCGTGAGATTGATAGGCGGATCGGTGCAGCGTGCGCAGTGATGCAGTCGCTGTATCGGACCGTTGTGGTAAAGAGGGAGCTGAGCCGAAAGGCAAAGCTCTCGATTTACCGGTCAATCTTCGTTCCCTCCCTCACCTATGGTCATGAGCTGTGGGTAATAACCGAAAGAACGAGATCGCGGATACAAGCGGTCGAAATGAGCTTCCTCCGCAGAGTGGCTGGGCGCTCCCTTAGAGATAGGGTGAGGAGCTCAGTCACACGGGAGAAGCTCGGAGTAGAGCCGCTGCTTCTCCACGTCGAGAGGAACCAGTTGAGGTGGCTCAGGCATCTGTTCAGGATGCCACCTGGACGCCTTCCTGGGGAGGTGTTCCGGGCAAGTCCCACCGGGAGGAGGCCCCGGGGAAGACCCAGGACACGCTGGAGAGACTATGTCTCTCAGCTGGCCTGGGAACGCCTTGGGGTCCCCCCGGACGAGCTGGAGGAAGTGTGTGTGGATAGGGAAGTCTGGGCGTCTCTGCTTAGACTGCTGCCCCCGCGACCTGGCAACGGATAAAGCGGAAGAAAATGGATGGATGGATGGATGGAGTTTGTTATAGATTTGTTGTTGACAAAACTCTTTATTCAGATAATATGGTCCCAGATGGATTCGTCTGCATATCTGGAAACCTGAGTCAGGGAGAGTACAGTACCACTTTTGGCCAGATTTTTACATTCTGCTCCTATAAGTGGACCTATAGAGTACAGCCATTCCACAGCAGTTTGAATTGCACTGAAAAAGTTGAGGTACATAACTTCAATAATGTGATAGAAGCAAAATGTTTAAGCGCCAGGAGCGCGTGTGTGTATGTGTGCGTGCGTGCGTGCGTGCGTGCGTGCGTGTGTGTTGTGGTGTGGTGTGGTGTGGTGTGCGTGCGTGTGTGTGTGTGTGGGGTGTGCGTGCGTGCGTGCGTGCATGTGTGTGTGTGCCTTATCTGAGTGTGTGTGCGTGTGTGTGTGTGTGTGTCCCTGGGACACAGATTAGACCGAAGACTTAAATGATGCCATTCAACAGAATATTCTTAATTAGTGCAAAAATGTTTTATCTTGGCAGAGAGTGAATATATACAACTAATTCAACAAAACAAAACAAAACAAAGTCCCTGCAGCAAAACCATAATTTTCTGACTGTCAATCTACTGAACGTACTACCCACAAAAATGGAACTATGTCGCAAAATATAATAAAATAAATATAAAAAATATTGCTCTCAAAACAGTTTGCTTCTATCACTAGTTTTCACAAGCATGTATTTTTGGTCACATCAGTGTTTTCAAACAGAAAAGGTTATGGACCTCAGCTTTAAGTAATTATGAAATATTTCTGTAGACTCGACTTCTACTGAACGAGGCAAAGACAACACGATTCAGGAGTCAGACAAAGTAGAACAATTAATCCCGGACAATACTTCCACAAGACTGGGCAACATTATAACCCGTTCCACAGCCCCAGGCGGGGTGCGTGTGTATTTGTATATCACAGTTCATCCACAAGGCAACTCGAAGTAGTGCTGGGCAATAAATCGAATTTCGGCAATTAATAGTTTTTTGAAAAAATCTAATTTGTGAAAAATGTGAAAATCGTGAAGTCGAATCATACTTCATTCGACTTCACGATTTTCACATTTTTCACAGCAGCACATGAGTTATACTTGAAACATCAGCACAGTCTGTACAAGACTTTAATAATACCTATTGGGAGAAACATATAACAAGTAGTTTTGAAACTTGAATATTGAGCGGAAAGATCAAAACAATTTTTTTAAGGGGAAGTCGGTCTTCGGGGAAAAAAATTGCCCAAAGCAGAAAATAAAGATTTTTCTTTTTTGCCATATCGCGAAGCCCAGACTCAAAGTGCTGAACAAAACATTAAACACCAGACATTAAAATCCTAAACAATCACAGTACATCCTTCAGTAGTTGCAGCGGCGGCACAGTGGCTGAGTGGATAGCACTCTCGCTTCTCAGCAAGAAGGTCCTGGGTTCAAATCCCAGTCAGAACAGGGTCTTTTTGAGGGGAGTTTGCATGTTCTCCCCATGCCTGCGAAGGTTTCCTCACTAAAAACATGCAGAGGATGAATTGCCCTACGGGGATTAATAAGGTGCACCTTTACCTAGTAAAATAGAACTGTTTTTAACCTGGATTTGAACAGTGTCAGTGACTTGTCTCACATGGAAGTCTGCTCCAGATTGTAGCTGCATGAATCTGTCCATCTGTGGGAGTGGATCCCTTTCTCAATATGGGCCTCCTTGGTGTCTGAGTGGTTCCCTGTTGATGCAGGAGGGTCTAAGGACAGTACTATACACTTCTGAATATGTCTGGACAATGGCTCCTATGTGTTTGTTATTTTTGCTTTTGCTATGTTTGAACTGTTTGATTCTCTGATATATCGTTGGTGTATCGACAACTTTGTTTAGTCCTCCGAGATGACTTTTGTTGTGATTTAGGGTGATGTACAAATACATTGATTCGAATTTGGCAGTTCAGGATTAAGTGTGGCACAGTATTGATTACCATTAATGTCCTGAAACCATGAACTCAGTCCTGGCTAAACCTGAGCTTTCTGAATTGTTCCTTGCCGATGCAGTAGGGTCTAAGCACAGTGATGATCCGGGACATTGAAGAACTTTTACGAACATTTCTGGACAGTGGTCATTCTGCTCCATATGGACCAATGGCTCCTGTGTATTTGTTATTAATTCTTTGATTTGTTTTTAAACTCCTCCAAGACATCTGCAGTTGTGATTAAGTTGATTAAGTTGTGATACGCAAATTAATGAAATTGAATTTGGTGTGACAGTAGCTCAGTTGGTAGAGCATTGGCCTTAAGGCCAGAAGGTCGTGGGTTCAATTCCCACCTCTGCACCTTCTCCACCGACTCCCACTGATGACTGCTGTTGTTGTGTCCTTGGGCAAGACACTTAACCTGACTTTGCCCAAAGCCCCCACTGAAAGATCAAGGCTATGCTCACACTCAGAGAGCAGCCGTCCTCCTGTGGACTCACCACCTGCAGAGGGTCAGTGAGGGGCTGGTGCTATGAGACGTGGGTGGCATCTCTGACTGCCACCCCCCTGACCCAGAAATGGATTAAAGGGTAGAAAATGGATGGATGAATTTGGTGTTTCAGGCCACAGTTAGTAAGTATGTGCTGGTCACTTCCCACCTCTTAAACCAAAGAAAACCTGATGTTTCTTTGAGCTGGTTCGGATTCCCGGGTCTTAGGAGCAGCAGTGGAACCTGGCACCTTCTCTGATACTATATTGGTGTTGGTCTATGGTTGCCCGGCTTTAAGCTGCTTTAAATTGGTAGCAGGTCATTATCAGTACTTTGCTATTTGAATACCAGGTGCTAAATTAAACGCAATGCACCTTGAGCAGTGTCGGCTAATGTCTGTGACTGGCACAACTCTTGTCTTGTTTAGGAGTAGACCACCGTAACCACACTCACAAAGCCCCACGCTCGATCCCTGCGGCTGGAGGCATCTGTGTAAGTCATATTATGGTTGGGCCGACTTCCTTCTAAAAAAAACAAGGTCATGCGCGCAATCTGAGGTCAGCTATAGTTACATATTGGAGCGCGCTCATTAAAACTGGACGAGTATGCACAGACTTTTTCACGGCTGAAGCTACTATGTGTCAACTACGGCTTCTTATCAGGCTTTCGATCAGCCCTTTGCGTCGCCGTCCTCAGAGAGAGCCAGAGAATGTGACGAATCTGAGGCGAAATGAGATCACGGCACCAGTGTGAGCCATCTGCTAGACCGCTCAAGACCCGGCTTCACTGTGTATAAGGGGGAAGGAAGACAGAGGAGATAGGAGCTGAGAA